ACGCGTGCGCCCATGCGCCGCGCATCGTCTCCTGCACTGCCGCGCCGAGCGGCGCGCGGTGCGCCTCGGCGGCGTCGGCCCACATGGCGAGGTCCGCGGCGGGCGCCGCGAGGAGCTCGCCGGGGCGCGGGGCGCGTGCGTGTACCTCCTCGAAGCCGACGAGCGGCGCCAGCGCATCGAGCAGCCGCTCGATCGCATACACGAGCATCGCCGGCTGCTGCCGGTACGTGTAGCGGTGCATCCAGTCCGAGTGGTTGCACGCGCGGTCCGCGTCAAAGAGGTCCATGAACCCGTACGGGCCGTAGTCGATCGTCTCGCCGAGCAGCGCGATATTGTCGGTGTTCAGGACGCCGTGCATGAACCCGTAGGCCTGCCACAGCGCCCACGTCCGCGCGTTGCGCTCGCCGACCTCGCGCACGAGGCGCAGCGCCCATGGCGGGCGCGGCGCGTCGCTCGCGCCCTGCGCCACGTCCGCCCACCCAAAGAGGTGGCGCGCGACGTACTCGCCGAGCACGCGCACGCTCTCCCACTCGCCGCGGTCGCTGTGAATCTCGAAGCTGCCGATGCGGAGCCACGACGCGGCGAGCCGGAGCGTCAGCGCGGCCGGCTGCGCCCGCTCGCGCTCGACGCGCGTCGGCAGCGACACCACACACAGGGCGCGGCTCGTGGGGATCCGCAGGGCGGCCATGAACTCGGACGCAAGGAACTCGCGCACGGAGCTCTTGAGCGTCGCGAGGCCGTCGGCGAAGCGCGAGTACGGCGTGCGCCCCGCCCCTTTGAGCTGCAGGTCCCAGCGCGCGCCCGTCGTGGGGTGCTGCGTCTCGACGAGCGAGACGGCACGGCCGTCGCCCAGCTGGCCGGCCCACTCGCCGAACTGGTGGCCGCCGTACCGCAGCGACCACGGCGCATGCGCTGCGCCGCTGCCGCGCTGCGAGGCGTGCAGCGCCGAGAGCGCCTCGCGCACGTTCCGCTCGGGCTCCTCGTCGCGCGCGAGAAAGTGCACGCCGGCGCCGTCGCCATCGCCTACGCGTGTCGCGGGATCCAGCGCGATGGAGACGGCGCGGCCGGACGCCCACTCACTCAGCGCCTGCCGCGCCTCCGCGTCGCGGCCAGGCACGGCTTCGCCGTAGAGCGCCGCCTCGTCGAGCGCGAGCGAGGGGCCGGAGCTTACGGCGGCCTGCCCCGACGTCGATGCGATCCACGCGGCGGCGTCGCCTACGTCCAGATGCGGCACGCAGGCCACATGCGTGTCGGGCGAAAAGGCCACCAGCCGCGCGTCGGGGTACGGTGGCGTTCGGCGGCCTGGCGCGATGGGCGCCGCGTGCGCCGCGCCATGCGGCGGCACGGGCGCCTCGTACGTCCGGAGCACCTGCTCGATCTGCTCGTTCCGGTCGCCCTGCGCATCCACGGGGATGTCGTACGGGAACGGCAGCGGCAGCGGCGACACATACGAGAAGTGTGCGCCATCGCGCACGGCGCGCGAGCGGCGCAGCAGCGACGGGAACGAGATGGGCGTCGCCACGAGGGCCGCAGGCGCTGGCGTCACAGGATCGGGGATCAGGTTCGCCGTCAGCTGCTGCGCGAGCGGCACGCGGGGGAGCGACAGCGGGCGGTACGGCGGCATGGCGTCCGTGCTCGAAGAGGCCGTGCGCCCGATCCCCCGATACCCCACCTTCCCCCCCCATGCTTCGCGATCGCCGGCGCTGGCTGTACGTCGGCCTCGGCGTGGCCCTGCGCGCTGCGCTCCTGGGCTGGGGCGAGTACCAGGACCGGCACATGCCCCTGGCCTACACGGATGTGGACTACACTGTGTACAATGACGGGGCGCGGGCGCTGTGGACTGCCTGCCCCCTCTCCGAGACGGTCGAGTCGCCGCTGTACCACGACGAGGAGGACTTGTTCAGCGAGCCTGCCCTCGTGGGCCATGTGCACTGCGCGCGGGGTATCCTGCCCGTTGTGTCGCGCTTTGTGCTGAAGAACGACCCGACGCTCGACGAGCCGGTCGAGCAGTTTTTCTACAACAGCGAGTCGGTCTGGTCGCAGATCGCCTCGGGGTGCTTTACGCTCACGCACCCCTTCTTCCGCTTCTTCGCGAGCCTGGGAGATCCCTACGCACGCGATACGTACCGGTACACGCCGCTGCTCGCGCTCCTCCTGGGCCCCGCACACGCGTGGGACGCCGTGTGGCCGCTGTTCGGCAAGGTGCTCTTCGCGCTCGCTGACGTCGCGTGCGCGCTGCTTATGTGGGCCATTCTCGACGAGCGTGCAGCGATGCATGCCCACGAGGCGCGCGCGCTCGCGAGTGCGTACACGACGCACCTCCCAGGGCTGCTGTGGCTGCTGAACCCGTTTCCCGCCCAAATCGCGACGCGCGGCAGCGCAGACAGCCTCGTGGGCCTCTTGGTGCTCGCGTTCCTGTACCTGCTCATCCGCGCGACGCCCGAGGTGGCGCTGGTCCAGGAGCCGCGCGTGCAGGAGCTGCCCCCGCCGCACGACCCGAGCGAGCTGCGCGTCGCGAGCCAGGCGTGCTGGTGCGGTGCGGCATTCTGCCTCGCGCTGGCGGTTCATCTCAAGCTATACCCGGTCATCTACGGCGCCAGCGTGCTCGCGCACCTGGCCAAGTACCGCTACCACGCCCTGCGGCTCCTGTGCGGCATTGCCAGGCCACAGCGCCGCGACGTGCTGTGGCTCGGCACCGAGTTCGCAGCACTATGTGCGGTCATGTACCTGCTCATGAACGTGGTCGTGTGGCTTGTGTGGGGCGAGCCGTTCCTGCGGCATGCGCTCCTGTACCATGTGATGCGCCAGGACCACCGCCACAACTTTAGCGTGTACTTCCTGCCCACCTACCTCGCGTGGGACTGGGATACGCACGCGTCGTGGGTGCGCACACTCGCTGCATCGCCGCTCGCCAGTTTCGTGCCGCAGATGGTCGCTGTCGCGCTCGCGGGCTTTGGGCTCGGAGGCCGCGATCTCGTGATGGCGTGCGCGGTGCAGACCGTGGTCTTTGTGGCGTGGAACAAGGTCTACACGAGCCAGGTATGTACGGCCTACTCACCCAGTACTTCTTGTGGTACCTATGGTTCTTGCCGATCGTCGGCACCACCCTGTCGTTTCCGCGGCGCGCCGAGGTCGGCGCGCTCATCGCGCTCTGGGCCGGCGCGCAGGCCGTGTGGCTGGCACTCGCCTACCGCCTCGAATTCATGGCTCAAAACACATTCGTCTACCTATGGCTCGCTAGTCTGGGGCTTTTGTTCGTGCATGTGGTGTGTGTGCAGCGATGCCTGCGGGCCTGGGTGCGGTGGCGGCACCGGCAGGTGGTGGCCCGGCAAAAGGCCGAGTAGCCTACCGCGCGCTCAGGTACCGCACCGTCGTGATGTAGCCCGACACGGCAAGGACCACCATCACGGCGCAGATGCCGCCGAACCAGTTCAGGTTCTCCACGTCTTGCCCTGGCACATGCACGTTCATGCCCCAGAGACCCGTAATCACGTTCATCGGCACAATGACGGTACCCAGCGCCGTAAGCTTGGTCAGCACGTCGTTGATTTGGTTGTTGGCATCCGTCATCTCGATGCTGATCTGCGCCAGATAGTTGCTGTGGGAGCGGGAGAGAATCATTTCGTAGTGGTTCAAGTTTTGTGTCATCGTAATCAAGTGGTCCTGGATGTCGGACAGGTACATGCCGATATCCGTCTTCGGCGCCACACTCCAGTACTCGTTACTGCGCTTCGCCAGACCCTTGACCACATCGGCCTTGTTGCCCATCAGGCGCAGCAGCCCCATGACCTTCTTCCGGCACGTGCCGATCCGCCGGAGCATGTCGCTCTGCTCGGCCTCCTTCAGAATCAGCACCAGCTCATCAATGCTGTCGACTTCGAACTCGATGCTCTGGATGAGCGGCGCGAACGCGTCCGTGATGTCGTCAATGAGTGCATACGAGATCCAGTCGGACGACACGTTGATATAGTCTTTGAGCTGCTTGATGCGGCGGCGGACATTGTGCGGATGCGGCGTGTGCCGGAAATGGAACGAGAGGGTGCCCTCTCGAAATACAAGGATGTACATGTTGAGTGGCTCCAGGTATGTCGGGCTGTAGGGGTCCTGGTCAAAGGAACGGAAACACACAAGGTAGTAATTGCGGAACAGCTCAATCTTCTCACGCGTCTCCTCCATGAGAATGTCCTCCGTCGTCAGCGGATGAATTCCAAAGGTGCGCGCCAGCGTCTTCATCTCCTGGTCCGTGGGACACAGCACGTCCAGCCACCACGTGTTGGTCGGCGGCTCGTTGTCGTGCCGGCCATGGCCCATCAGTGGGCGGCCGCCCATCAGCGCAGGGCCCTGTCCCGTCTTGACAGCCTTGATGTCCTCCTCGTTGGGCACACCACGGACCAGGTCCTCAAACGACTGCCCAGGCCCAGGCAGCTCCGATAGATAGCGCGCATGGATGGTGGATGGGAGCGCATTGGAGTAAAATGTAAAGCGATACGGCTTGTCGTGCATAGCACCAGGAATCGGCACATTGGCCCGCGGCCCCCGCACCGGATGCGAATTCGCCCGTGGGAGCGTCTTGGGCGGCTCACTTTCCGACATGCCCTGATACGTAGGCAGCGTGTTGCTCTGCAGCAAGGGGCGCCCCGCGTCGTCGGCACCCTCCTGGGTCGCCATGGACGTGCTCCGATGCACTTCCGTCGGGCGGGTAAGGGACGTGCCCCCCTCGAACATGGCCAGCTTGCGCTGGTACTTGCCGCCACCTTCTCCGCTGGCAGTCTGCACGCGACGCGGCCGGCGACTATACAGCGTGGCATCGCCGCTAGTCCCTGACGCAGGGAACGAGCCAAAGCCATGCGTGCCGCGCGCATTCTGGGAGGGCGGGCTGCCAAACGATGGTATGGATGGCCACGAGCCGACGTGACCATGCCGCTCGCGCTCTTCTTGTGCAAAGTTGTCCAGGATCGAGAAATCAAACGTGAACGGATAGCCTGGGCGCTGTGACTCGTCCTTCTGGCCAGACTGCCTCGTCTCGACCAGGGGCTCGTCCGTCTGGTTCGGAAGCGGGAAACAAACGTCGTCTTCCAGATGCGTCCGACGACTCGACGACGTATGAGTCGATTGCGCTAGGTCATTCAACGGGTCGCCCGGCGAGCGGCGCGGCGAGTTTGCCGTCGTAGATACAGGCGACTCGACCAACTCCGGCTCCGTGTTCACCTGCTTGCTCAGACTGCTGCGCCCGTGCGGTACCGACGTGTCGTGTACGCTTTTTGTGCCTTGCATCGCGCGCATCGCAAGCGGGGAGTTGGGGTTGACTGAGAGAGAATGCGATTGATTGCGGTGGTCGATAAAATGGGTCTGACTGTCAAGACTGGCCGCAGAGCCGGTTTTATGCTGGTAGAAGCGCTGCTTCATCGACGGACTGGGTCCACCGATCGGAACTGATCCCGTCGCCACGGGCGCCTCATCTTCATGGTCATTCATCCACATGCCACTCGTATCCCGAGCCTGGCTCATCACACGCGCTGCGTCCAAATCCTGCTCACGCTGAGCCTCTTCCTCGGGGCCTCCCACCTCCCACTCTTGCTCGTGGTCTTCTACATTCATGTCCAACGACGGGTCATCACGATAGGGTGAGAGAGGCGCAGACATATCTAGCGTCACGCAGCCACGAGGAGAGCAGCCAAAGTGGAATCTCAGATTTTTCGCCATCATTTTTATTGCAGTTCTACCAAAATACGCTATCTCCCAGCAGAAAAACCTCAGAAAGACCGCGAGCCGCTTCAACCCGCTTCTATGATCAGAGAAAAGGGGCAGCTCAGATAGAGTAGTGCTGGCTATAGCTATCACGTAGACGACCTGTTTGAACAGGTGCTGCCAGACTTGACATAGCCCAAGGGATGCTCCGCAACGATGTTCGCCCGATCTGTCATGCCGCGGCAAGCGGTAATATGCCGGGTTTAGTCATCGAAAATAGACATCGCGACGGACGCGTAGTGTTGATCCCAACACTTGACGATCGCTCACCATTTGCCCGCCTTTGGCTACTACTTGAGATGCGTATTGCACTGGCCGTCCTCGGTATGTCTATGTATTTTGACTGCCAGCCCAGTTTCTCCTGTTTAGTGCGACTGCGCTGGTGATCCTTGCCAACATGGGCCAGCTTACCCACAACATGGTGGCACGGAATATTCGCGTAATGAAAGCCACCGTTCAGGCAGATGCGTTGTCCCAATATATGGCCCAGTCCTTCACGAATCCTCTGGGCCAGGGTCTGGGCCTTCGCGAGAAGTATTCATGGGGTCTGTACAACTATTGCGGGGGCTCCTCTGATTTCGAGCAAGTGGCTTGTGAAGACAAGAGCTTTGGTCACCGCATTAACGTCCCTGAGGCCATCCGGGTGGATCTGCCGGCCGGCCAATCCAGTGCCGCTGACGGACAGTATGCGAACCAGGACAACATTAACCGTTACACGCGTGCAGCCTTCTACCTCCTCTTCGTGGGCACCATCATCGCGGGTGTGGCGTTTATTGTGTCGCTATTGACACATATGGCCGCTCTGTCGATCGCTAGTATTCTGGCTTTCCTTGCATTTGCTGTCTTGGTGGCGGGTGCAGGTATCGAGACCTACTTCATCGCCAAGATGAAGGATAACTCGGCTCAGTTTGTCCAGGTCGATTATGGCAATGCCTTGTGGATGTTTTGGGCAGCTGCCGGTGCCTGTTTGGTTTCGATTCCGCTCCTCGTTGGTGGGGCAGCTGCTAGCCGCGTTCGATATGCCGAGGTGTATTAGTTGCACAATAGTGGCTGATCAAGTCCGTCACACACACGAAAGACTCCATTCTATCCTTAACTCTCGTGCCCGTGGATCCCGACCGTGCTTCTATATATCACGAATGACGAAATAGTTCCATGCCGGTCCAATGAGCAATAATTAGATAGGTGGTAAAGGGGATCATTAATGGAAGCCAGTAGGCAATACAGTGGGGAAGCGACAGCCAATGACCGCCTTCGGACCACCCCCCCAACAGCCCATAGGCAGTGATGGCTAGAATGGCATAGCCTACAAATTCAAGGAACAAATGCCAACTTGTCCATAGACCCCGTGCAGCCATAGAAATACTGCTTCGTATAGGGCCAACGAAAAAAGACCAACTCGCTTTAGGTCCGTTCACGGCGCTGGCTGCGCGCGGTACACCTGCGACTGACAGCTAGTCCACGGAGGAGGCAACTCTGAATGGCAGGGCGCTAAGTCTGTGGCGTCCCAATGAGATAGGCCAAGACCTAGAGAATGTAGAGTTTCCATGCATAAGCGAGCGACCCTTGCAGGTGGTGATTTCTATTGGCTGGAATCCCCTCGCAGGGGCCAGAACCAAGAAAGTATCTACTCAGCCACAGCGTCGCTGACAACTTAAATTACTGGCCTTCTGTGTGCGAGCGTCAGTCACACAAGTCCTTGCGTGGGAATACTGATCAGATGGTCCGTTTGTCTTCGTTTGTTGCTTCCCTTGTTGCTTTGGCTGCGGCCGCTACTTCGGCTCTGGCCAGTGATGAGGCCTCATTCCAGAAGCGCATCGTCTTCAGCCCTAAGATTGTGTATCCTACGGCAAGCACTCAGTGGAAAGTTGGCCAGCGCGTGAACGTCACCTGGGACGTGTCTCACCTGCCGAAGCAGCTGAAGAATGCTACGGGTACGATCCGCCTGGGCCACATCGAGTCGGGTGACTCGAACGAGCACCTGGCAAACACGCTGGCAAACAACTTCCTGCTTCGCACCGGTAATGTCACTTTCACCGTTCCAAAGGTGGAGCGGCGTGACGACTATGTTGTGGTTCTTTTTGGTGACTCAGGCAACCACTCGCCGAAATTCTCGATCCATTAACCTTTGAAATAGTAGCTCTGTGCAGCTGGCCTGTACTTAGTTTCCTGTGAGCCGTAGAGTGTGAATTGTCGTGCATGCATAGTAGTCGACCTGTTGGTGGTATAGAGACCATGCTACACATCGTGCGCATTAACTCAGCGTAGGTGTCTGAAATTGGGCAAATTTGACGAGTACTCCACATGGTAAAGCAGCAGCTGGCGTTGCCGGATCTAGTAGATCACAACACTCAATATGGATTGTGTGCCAACGTATACGGACAACACGACGCAACGAAGAGACAGTCTCAGCTAGTACTCGAACTATGACTATACCCTCACGAGGACGCGGTGCTCTCAGCACCCACCCGGTCTATGATGGACAACCAAGAGCAACGCGCCCATGCGCTGCTGTAGTCGGCCGAGAACCCGCTTGCCGGCGACTTGCATAATGTTAAGCCGGTACTAGGTTACCAACTGTCTAGGCTCATGTCGTTCCTTGCTCACCGTTCTCTGACCGCATCCAAGGGTCTTGGCCGTCTCACTACCAAGGCGGCCCCTGCTGCGACCCGTCTCTTCTCGCAGTCTGCCCCTGCTAAGTCCGTCAGCTTTGAGCTGAGCGAGGACCAGCAGGCCTACCAGGACCTGGCCCGCAAGTTTACTCGCGAGCACATCATTCCTGTGGCTAAGCACCATGACGAGACCATGGAATACCCCTGGGAAGTGATCAAGAAGGCCCACGAGCTCGGTCTTGTCAACACTCACATTCCGGAGAAGTTCGGTGGTCTTGGACTGGGTTTGATGGAGTGCTCACTTATTACGGAGGAGCTGGCTTTCGGTTGCACTGGTATCCAGACTGCCATCGAGGCCAATGGTCTGGCAGAGGCTCCTTTGATTGTGGCCGGTAACGACCAGCAGATGGCCAAGTACCTGGGCCGAATGACTGAGGAGCCCCTCGTGGCTTCTTACGGTGTGACTGAGCCCGGCGCGGGCTCGGACGTTGCTAACATCTCGACCCGTGCCGAGAAGCGTGGGGACAAGTGGGTTATCAACGGTACCAAGATGTGGATCACCAACGGTGGCCATGCCAACTGGTACTTTGTGCTGGCGAAGACAAACCCCAACGAGCGCCCCCACAAGGCTCTCTCCGGCTTTATCGTCGACGGCGATGCACCGGGCGTGATCCGCGGCAAGAAGGAGATCAACATGGGTCAGCGCTGCTCGGACACCCGTATGATCACTTTCGAGGAGGTCGAGGTGCCGGAGGAAAACATGCTCGGTAAGCCGGGCGACGGTTTCAAGATTGCTATGGGTGCTTTCGACATTACCCGTCCTCTTGTCGCATCGGGAGCTGTGGGCCTTGCCCAGCGTGCACTGCACGAGGCTGCCATCTACGCCAAGGAGCGCAAGACGATGGGTACTCCGATCATCAACCACCAGGCCATTGCTTTCATGCTCGCCGACATGCAGATGGCCGTGGAAGCGTCGCGCAACCTCGTGTGGAAGGCGTGCTGGGCTAAGGACCAGGGCATGCGCAACAGCTTCTACGCCAGTATGGCCAAGTGCACAGCCTCGCGGTATGTCCACCCCTGTAAGACTAACTCTTCAGTGCGGCTGTTTCGAACGCTGACCAGGCCGTGCAGATCTACGGTGGCCTCGGCTTTAACAGTGAGAGTTCCGTGGAGAAGCTGTACCGTGACGCGAAGATCTTCGAGGTGCGTGACGTTACGATCTAACGAATACACAGCTTTACGAAGGCACTTCGCAAATCCAGCGTCTCATTATCTCGCGCATGCTTGCTGACCTTTACAACGCCTAATTAAATAGAGGCTATAACCTAAGGAGTAGTGCGGTATGAATACGTATGCTGCCGTGACTTGATGGTGTTAGATCGATGGATTGTTAGCGAGCTTGGCCCGTAATCGTTGCTTGGTCGTATGCCTCAATCTGGCAAGTACTTGGTGGCGTGTCCGAGATTCAATGGTTGGAGCGTGATACTTGACATGACTTGCTTTGGGTATGGATGAATGTCGCGTTGATAAGATCCGAGACACGGGAGGAAGCGCTTGCAGTCTTTGCGAAGTGTTCCTGTCAGAGATCGAGGGAAGAGACACGAGATCCGATGTTTCCTCCATTTCATGCCATCTCGAGCGTGGACCGCAGTCCCGGCTGGAGGTGGACCGGTTCAAGGTTGAAGCGGTACGGAGGCAAGGCGACCGACTGGCAGGCAATACGGTCCTCGACACCGCATGTCTTGAACGAAACACTGAAGTGCCAATAGACGGGGCTCTCTCCTCTAAGGGCCCTCGTAGATAGTCCCACTTTGTGGTTTGCACATATTTGGTCGTTGATTGGAACGTCGGAGATATCGGCTCCGATACGGCCACGGGCGGTACTGATGGCCTGCTGCGAGTCGGTAGACGATAGGGGCCCAGCTCCGTATATCTTATACTTCTGGAAGAATGTTCACAACAAAGGTCCTCCTCGGCCCATTTCCGGCCCTTTTCGGCCTGAAACGATGTACGTGTTGGCCGGTCGATGCACCGGTCCACGTAATTGCGGTCGCACATGTGCCGTGCGTAGGAAGACCACCTTAGCGACCCTGAGTCATTCAGCTCGTCATCCTGCGAGGCTACTTGCTCCCCAACCAGGTCGTCCCTGCGCATAAGAGACGGAGAGAGAGGTTGGAGACACTCGCCGCCGTTCCGTTGTGTTGCTATTTCCACACAATGCGCCAAAATCTGCGCCGCAGGCCATACCTAAAGCACACGGATTATTGTTCGAGGGTAGCATTGATCCAATCAAACAAGCCAAACTCATAAGGTGTACCCTTGATTTGCTCATCTGCGTGAGCAACTATTTTTCAAATCCACGGTATGTTCATGCATATTTATGTAGTTTCGCCTTGGCCGGAGAAACCCAAAACTACCTGCACCTAAGCAAAATATACTCAGATTCAGCATATGTTGCATGTCCTTGCATGTTAGGATCTGTACACGGGGCCCGTGGTAGTGTCAATACCCCAACTCATAGACAATTCTACAGTATCCCTGACCTAAGGGCGTCCAGCGAAGCGGAAAATGCAGGCGGCTGCAAGGCCGACCACACTCGCAAAGCCGATGGCAGCAGGTAGCGCCATATCCCTAGGAAGGAACCCGAACAGGGGCTCGTTACTAGGTGAGCTAGCGGCACGTCCCGGCTGTTCGGAGCGCTGTACATTGCGTGCCTGATCCTCGGCAAGCTCGCGCTGGCGCCGGTGGTTTGCGGCTGTGACAGCGGAGGCCGAGGAGTATTGGCCGTCGCGTGCCGCGGCCTCGTCCCACGTCTTCCCGCCGTGCAGCACAAGGAGAACGCGATCCTTCCCCTGGTGCTGCGCAACTTTCACAGAGTCCTGAACGTCCGTGTCAGCTGTCATGAGTACTAGATCGTCATCATCGTCCTTGTAGGCCAATGTATAGTCTTTCACATCAGGAGGGTTGGGCTGGGGACCTGCAGGCATAGGAGGTGTAAATATATGCAGCGGTAATCGCCCATCTTCGTCAAAGGCCGTCGATGCGGCCTCGACGGGCATGTCCTGAGACCCACCTGTGTACACAAAGAACGGATCCCCAGAAAGCTTGATCGTGACGATTTCACGGATGGTCTCGTAGGAATCGTAGCGTGCTTGAAAGCGATGCACACGTCCGCTGGGCGTGACGAACTTGAATAGATACGTGCCATCATCAGCCGCCCCGAGCGGAGCAGCATCCACTGCAGAGCCGCCATCGTGCGTGCTGCCACCCACAGCACTGGCACTATCGTTGGGATGGACCTCGGAGCTAATATCCAATGCGCCACCGGTCGGCGACAGCTGTGCGTCCGTGCCTAGTCGCTGGCTCCCACTCAGCGCACTATTCGACTCCTCAAACGCGCTGCCGGCACCCTGGCCAAAGCTGTTCCAGAAGCGGTTCCACATCGGGCCACCATCACTGTCTTCGCCATTGTTCATACTGTTAATCTGCTCGAGGGTGGCATATGTCAGCTTCAGCACGTCCACGACGCCCACGAGCCGCGCATCGACGTCTACCACCGGCAGGTTCAAGTAGCGCCCATCTGCGTGTGAGTCAATAAGTACACACCGTGCATCTTGCGAAGAGCCTCCTGTATTGACATGGAGGGCGGCGCTGTGTCAGGGTGGGGGGTCATTACACGCACGACACTGCAGCGCTCCGGGTCGAGCCCTGCAGCAATCACACGCAGCACAACATCCTTGGACGTGAAGATGCCAGCAATTTTTCCGGAGGTGATCGCACACTCTCCATGATTGTTGGGGGCATTTTCCAAGACGCAAACGGCGGTCGTCTTGTACTGCTTCATCAGGCGAGCTGCATCGCGCACGCTGGTGCGGACACCCACGGTGCATGGCATCGTACGTGAGTCGAGAATCGAGGCAATTTCAGGCATACTCATGCGCTGGCGCAGCGTTTCAACATATTGCATCATCGCCTGCTGGGGCCCACCGCCCCATTCGTTCTGCACACCCTCTAGGGCATGGTACAGTTTCTGCGAGGACCCATGTGCCCGCTCGAGTTTCTCCAGCGCCTCATAGAATACCTTGGCGATATCCAAGAGACCGACTACGTCGCCGTCTTCGTTGCAGACCGGCAGATGCCGGAATCCGCGCGTGACCATTGTGCTGAGTGCCTCTGTGGCGCTGGTCGTATCGCGTGTCACCATGGGCGACGTTGTCATAATTGCACTCACGGGGGTGGTGCGAGGGTCAACGCCAGCCGCAACAATCTAGGTATCAGTCTTTATACACATACACGGAACGCCAAGTCCTTGGCGGTAAAGATGCCGGCCAGGTGTTCGTCGTCGTCGACGACCAGGACGCAGTCTGTACGCTTGGCTGCGCACAGCTGACTTGCGTCAGTGATGCTCATAGACTGGGGAACGGTGAGTGCGGGCAGGGGGCGCAGGGCCGACACGGTACCCGCCTGCATGGGGTTCCGGCGGCGGTTCTGCTGAGGCGTGCCGGGCTTGCCGGACTTGCGGCTCAGCTCTGTCTCAATGCGTCTCCGAATGGCCTGTGTAAGCTGAATCAACTCACTTCGTCACGACGCGACTGTCTCTTACGCGTGTCGCTCCCCATCGGCGAGCTTCGGTACGATGAGCTGCTCATCCTGGTGGGGCTGTCAGTGATGGGTGTTGCCCAAACAGCTGGACGCGTATGTCACGTGCACCACTGCCGCTAGGCGCGATCGGGGTGGAGGTCGAGGGCGCCGTTCGTGCTTCCTGGCTGGGCCCCGACGCAAGCCATCATGGGTGTGACAGAGAAGATTAAAGAGATCGAGGCCGAAATGGCCCGTACTCAGAAGAACAAGGCCACAGAGTGAGTTGGATGCTACTAACGGCAGGTACCATATTGGTCTGCTTCGTGCGAAGCTGGCCAAGCTGCGAATGCAGCTGCTGGAGCCTGACAAAAAGGGTGGCAAGCCTGGCGAGGGCTTTGACGTGATGAAATCGGGCAGTGCGCGCGTGGTACTGATTGGTTTCCCGTCGGTAGGTAAGTCGACGTTGCTGTCCACCATTACGGAGACGGAGAGCGCGACGGCTGCCTATGAGTACACGACATTGACGGCCATTCCGGGTGTGCTGGAGTATGAGGGTGCACGTATTCAGCTGCTGGATCTTCCAGGTATTATCGAAGGTGCAGCGCAGGGCCGTGGTCGTGGGCGCCAGGTTGTTAGTGTGGCCAAGACGGCCGATCTGGTTATGGTGCGTCGGCGAGACTGACCGCAGATAATGCTGGACGCCACGAAGTCTTCGCAGCAGCGCCCGATGCTCGAAAAAGAGCTCGAGGATGTAGGCATTCGCCTGAACCAGACCAAGCCCGACGTGGTCCTGAAAAAGAAGTCGGGCGGGGGTATCGTTGTGACCAAGGCCATGGGCCTCACGCTGACCAAGATTGACGAGAAGATGATCCGTTCCATTCTGCAGGGCTACAAGATCCATGTGCGTCATTGCCACTAACGCAGAACTGTGACGTGATGATCCGCGAGGACATAAGCGTGGACCAGTTCATTGATGTGCTGCTGGGCAACCGCAAGTACGTGCCGTGCCTGTATGTGTACAACAAAAGTATGTGCGCTCGCCTCACACGCAGTCGACGGTATCAGCATGGAGGAGATGGACCGCTTGGCGAATGAGCCGCGCAGTGTGGTCATTAGCTGCAATCTGAACCTGAACCTGGACTACCTGGTCGAGCGGATCTGGGAGGAGCTGAAGCTCCTTCGCATCTACACAAAGAAACGCGGCGAGCATCCGGACCTGACGGACCCGATCGTCGTGCGCCGTGGTGCCACCATTGAGCATGTGGTGCGTACAAGCCCCCTCACCCCAGTGTCATGGCGTGCATCGTGCGCTGGTCGACAAGTTTGCCTAGTGCGTATAATGTGCTCACCCCAGCGCGATGGTGTATGGCAAATCCAGCAAGTACGTTTCTCTTGCTCACCTAGATTCCCGCTTGCACAAAAAGTGGGTCTGAACCATTTGGTCGCGAACGACGACGTTGTGACAATTTTTACGCGTACGTTCGCAGCACTCACCGTTCAGGGTGAAATTAGCGACTCCACTTGTTCTCCCATAGCCATGTCGCGCTCGTCGCGCCCGTCTTCGTCGGAGGGGAGTTCACGGACATCGCGCCCTGTACTGCGATATGGGCTACTAGCGCTGGCCGTAGTGGCGGCTGCTGTGGCAATACTTGTGAGCCGCGACCAGTGGCATATGCGCCACGCTCGCTCGCTCATGGACATTCTTGATGACCCCATCGAGGCGCTGCAGTTGTCGTCGCTCAAGTACGACTCACTGGTCCCCAAGGACCTGCGCAAGAACCTGGAAGACATACTCACCAAGACGTCCAAGTGGTCCGAGACGATTGATTTCCAGGTGGGCTGGGAGTTGGCGAAGCAGGGGGCGAAGCCAGAGCACCCGGTGGTGCTGATTCCCGGCATTGTGAGCACTGGTCTGGAGAGCTGGACGACGACCGACGAGGAGTCGGCGTACTTCCGCCGCCGTCTGTGGGGCTCTACGTCGATGCTGCGCAGCGCCCTGTTCGACAAGGAGAAGTGGGTGAAGCACCTGATGCTGGACCCTGAAACAGGCCTGGATCCCGAGGGCATCCGTGTGCGGGCCGCGCAGGGCCTGGATGCTGCGAGCTACTTTGCGGCGGGCTACTGGGTCTGGAGCAAGATCATTGAGAACCTCGCAGCGGTCGGGTACGACATCAACCAGATCTATCTGGCCGGGTACGACTGGCGGCTGAGCATGTACAACCTCGAGGAGCGCGACCACTTCTTCACGCGTATTGTGACGCAGGTGGAAATGAACAAGAAGATTTTCGGGAAGAAGACCGTGCTGATCTCACACAGCATGGGCGGCACGGTGGCATTCTACTTCCTCAAGTGGGCTGAGTACCACCTTGGTGCCGCGTGGATCGACAAGAATGTGGAAGCACTCGTGAGCATCTCTGGCACGCTGCTGGGCGTGCCCAAGGCGATGCCTGCGCTCATGACCGGTGAAATGCGCGACACTGTGCAGGTGCCGGCGATGCTCGCGAACCTGCTCGAGAGCTTCTTCAGCTCGCGCGAGCGCGCGCAGCTCTTCCGCTCGTGGGCCGGCAGTGCGAGCATGCTCGTCAAGGGCGGCGACGTGGTGTGGGGCAACGCAGATGGCGCGCCCGATGACATGGACAATGCTACGGTGACGCATGGTGTAATGATGGAGTACCAGCCCAAGCCGGATCAGAACGTGTCTACGAAGCTGACCGTGTCGGGTGTGCATGACTGGCTGCGCCAGAACGCGCCCAAGGCGTTTGAGAACATGCTCGCGACGAACTACTCGTACGGCTTTGAGCGCAGCGCGCGGCAGATCCGCAAGAACAATGCTGACTTTACGAAGTGGTCGAATCCGCTGGAGGCGGCGCTGCCGGAAGCACCGCACTTGAAGGTATACTGCCTGTACGGCTACAACCAACCGACAGAGCGCTCGTATTGGATGCACCAGCTGCCGCCGGACGACGAGAAGCTCAAGCTCAACCCAGAGCACCCTCTGATGACGCAGTCGCTGAACAATGGATCGAACGCCAAGTCGCTCTCCCTGTCGCGCATCGATGCCTCTGTCACCCGCGAGAACGAGATCCCGGCCATTAAGCAGGGCGTGCGTATGGGCGAGGGCGACGGCACTGTGTCTCTCTTGTCCCTTGGCGCCATGTGCGTCGAGGGCTGGAAGCACAAGCGCTACAACCCTGCCAACATCAAGGTGGTCACGCACGAGGTGTTCCACGATCCAGCCGCCTTCGACCTTCGAGGCGGTGGCTCGTCAGGTGACCACATAGACATTCTCGGCTCGCACGAGCTGAACGACGCCGTCGTGCGTGTCGCCACGGGTCTGGGGCACACCGTCGAGGAGCGCATCCTCTCGCCGATCCGCACGTATGCGGCGCGCATCGCTTGGTAGAACCTAGTGCCTCCACATGACCACCGCTTCGCCGGCGGCGATGAGCGCGGCCGACGACGCGTACGCTGTCCTCGGCGTCGCTCCTAGTGCGAGCGACGCCGAGATCCGCACAGCGTACCTGCGCCTTGCTCGCATGGTGCGTGCGGATGACTGACCGTAGCACCATCCTGACAAGGCCGGCGCAGGGGACGATTCGGCGGCGCACATCCAACGCATTGTCCGCGCGTACGAGGTGCTGCGGGACGCGGATGCGCGCGCGGCGTACGACGGGCAGCGCATGAAAGCGCAGCAGGCGCATGCGCTGCGTATGCGCCCCCCCCGCATCGCCGACACACTTGACTTGGACGCGTTTGACGCGGAGGGCGCGCCGCCCACCCACTTCAGTTACCCGTGCCGCTGTGGGCAGTCTTATATTCTCCCACTCGAGCAGGTCGCACAGGGGCAGCATGACGTGACGTGCACGGGGTGTTCCGAGAGGGTGCACGTAGTGTGGGACGACTAGGGTATCCTATGTCACGCGAGCAGCTGCTTCGTGGCGATCTCATAGGCCATGCGCCGCCGCAGGTACGGCATATCGCGCTGGCTGAAATTCCAGGCATACTCCCCCGCATACTCCTCGCGCAGCAGCGCGAGTGCCTGGGGATCGGCACGCTGCGCGAACGCCCCTGCCTCGAGCAGCGGGGGATACGGCACGCCCGGGTCGCGGCGGCTTAACTGCTCGAGCGTCTGCGCAGCAAACACACCGCAGTCGTAGCCGTTGCTCTGCTGCGGCGATGTATCGCCTGCGCAGTAGTCCTCCCAGTCGTCGAGGTACAGTGCTAGGCCGTGCTTGTCCTTCAGCTCGTCGGCCAGGTACGCCCGCAGACGCTGCAGCACCGCCGGGCTTGGCATGCCCATACTGTCGTAGTACGCAAAGCGACGCAGGCGGAGGTCAATGGCCGCGCACACCCAGTGCGCCTGCCCCAGATTGATCGGCATCAGCACGACATCCTTGGTGAAGAGATCCACGCGGCGCGACCAGCGGCGCACGCCCGCATAGCCGCGCGTCGTGAGATTCTCCCAAAAGAACGACGAAAACACATGCACCGCCCAGCAGGGAGATGCATCACCAGGCTGAGGAGCGGCTTGATTCGCGCGCTGCTGGATCAGCTGCCCATAAAAGTTGATCACCTCGTCGTTGAGCCACTGGCCGGGGCGCAGCTTGGCTATGTCGTGTGCCTCGACTTGGGCGCCCGTCATCGACGCAATCACGCCACGCTGCACGAGCACCTGCTGCACCTGCGCCTCGGCGCGCGCAGGCAGCGCGGACGGCAGCACGGCACGGCCCAAGATGCCGTGCGTCGCGCGCCGCCGCGCCTTGGCCTCTTGCACAGCCTGCCGCTGCGCCTCAACAGGCACCAGACGCTCCGGTAGCCGCGCACGTGCACAGGCCTCACGCTCCTGCAGCGCCGCGAGTGTGCGCTTGGTATATTCGGCTTCGTCCAACACGGGTGTGCGTGGATGCGTACGCAGCGTTTCGAGGTCCAGGAGCTGCTGTACATGGGCACGCTTGCGCACTAGCGCCTGAAAGTCTTCCCACGTGCCGCGTGTGCGCGCACCACGCAGCGTGTGGAAGGCATCGCGCACCATGGCAGCGATGCGCGCCTGCTGCCGGGCTTGTAAGCCTGCACGGAACTCGGCCATGGCTAGCGGCGCCTTGCGCCGCTGGCTTAGTGACGATCGCGAGCGGCGCGGCAGCGGCCCCGCCCCTCGCGATCGCCCAGGGCGGATTGGCTCAGGCGCCGGCACCTTGAGTGCGCCTGTCGCATACACGGGGCGGAACCTCGAGGTGCGCCGAGGCAGTGCTGTGGGCCGACGCGATGCTAAGTAGCGGCTCAGCGCATCGGTGGGCATGGGGCAGGGCGTCAAAGGTGGGGGCGGCGGCCCGCACGGGGCCTCGTCACTGTCGTCAATGACAATGACCTCGTCCGAGTCGGCGTCACTTGGCGTCACACGTGTAGGCCACTCGTCTGGGTGCTCGTCGGGGCCTTCCTTTTCTAGTTCTTCAAAGCCGTCTTCGGGATCCTCTTCAGAGCCTTCTTCGAGGCCCTCGTCATAATCTTCGCGATCCTCTTCGGAGCCCTCTTCAAGGTCCTTCTCTGCAACGTCCGCCTCCGGTTCCTCTTCGAGGTCCTCGTCCGTGTGCTCGTCGGGGTCTTCTAGTTTTTCTTCGAAGCCGCCTTCGGGGTCCTCTTCAGAGTCTTCTTTAAGGTCCTCTTCAGAGTCTTCATCAAGGTCCTCGTCAGAATCTTCTTCGCGATCCTCACCAGAGCCCTCTTCCGGGTCTTTCTCTGCAAGGCCCGCCCGTGACTCCTCTTTGGGCCCCTCGTAAGTGCTATCCCCAGGCCCTTCAGATACCTCATCAGACTCGCTATCGGCGAGCGACTCTTGCGGAACAGCATCCAGATTCTTCTCACCCGGGTCTACCATGTGCTCTTCGGTGGGGCTCTCATTGCTCAGGTCCTCCTGGACGGTGTCCTGCAGGTCAGCCCCATGGGGATCGTGGCCTACCGCCTCTCCTTCAGCTGCAGGCAGCTCGCTGGCACCCTGGGTAGCCTCGATACTCTGAGTGTGGTCGTCTTTGGTATTCTCCGCCCTCTTTCTGGCGTCGACCGGCGTATCACCTGCCTCGGCAGCCTCGTGCGTGGTATCCGCCTCGGGGCCGCTCTCGGCGGTCGTAGTGTCAAAGATCCTGACATATTCCTTCACAGGTGCTTTGGCTGGTTGACTCTCAGCAGGCGCATCGTTGTGCTCATCGCAAATGCCTCGCTGTTCCGTGGCCTCGATCGTCGCGGGCAGCTCAGCGGCCTCTGCCGGGGCTTGTCGGGCTACGTCCGCCAAATTCTCGCGCGCCATATCTGCGTGTAGAGCCTGTAGACTTGCATCGGCCACACTCCCGTGTTCTGGGGCACCGGGCGCTGCGTCCTTGGCGACGTCGATGATCTGTGTCGTCGGCTCATCCGAGCGTGGCGCCTTCGCCCGCTTTCCGGCGCGAAAGAAAGATAGCACCCGAGCCCACCAGCTGGTCTGTGTAGGCTCTGTATCGCGTCCTCGTTCGTGCATGTCGCTCCTCTTGCGCTTCGGCATCCCAGGCAAGACACCTGGGCACCTTGCGTCGCGACGCGTCGTAGGCGGTGAACGAACCAAAAAAGGCCGCGCGTTTGATTGGCCGCTTGGCGGCCAGTCGACACTGACGCCTGCCCTGCGCGACACCTTATTCAGCATGGACGCCCCTTCTGGCGCCCCAGCATGGCCCATGCCTAGCGATGAGGCCGGCGAGGCAGCCGCCATGTTCGTGGCGCGCCTTGTTCCCGAGCCCGGCACGGACCTTGGCGCGCTCGCTGCGGTCGTACAGCGCTTTCTCGACGGCCACTGCGATGCGCCGCCACCCCACGGCGCCGGCGGCTACATCTGGGACCGCGAGGCCCCTATGATACATCCCGACGAAGACGACGACAATGTCCTTTTACTGGACATGCGTGTGCAGGGCTGCGTAGATGACGAGTGGTTCCTCACCTACGTACTGCGGGAGCTCTCACGCACCCAGGCACTCTGCATTAGCGTCGAAGACGAAGACGGCGAGTTTTTGCTCATCGAGGCTGCTGACGAGCTTCCTAAATGGGTCCGACCAGACAACGCAGCGCACCGCGTGTGGATGGCCGGCGGCGCGCTGCACCTGATCCCGCCCGCCAGTGCGCCACTCGACCAGCCTCTCTCTGTGGCGGCTGCGACGGCACTCGTACGCGACGCTGCACAGGCGACTCGCGCACCGACCGAGGTCGAGCAGGCAGCTTTTGCGCGCCTCGCTGCGTACCCACAAGCGGCGATCGATCATCATCACTACACACTCGCCTACCTTCCCAGTACGGCGGCCAAAGTCCTGGCATCGCACCCGCAGTGGGTTGCCGATGCCGTGCATATGCTCACGACGCGCGATGTCGTCAGCGCGCGACTGACGCAGCCCTTAACCTACTTTCCGGTGGCCGTGAGCGACGAGGCGCCGTCGTCTGTGCCAGCGCCCGAGCTGGTGCGTGTGCGCATGACGCGGCACCTGTATGCGCGGCTGAGCATGGAGCGCTTCTTCCCGGCAAAGTCGTTTGGACGCTCATGGCAACGCTCCGTCGAGCTATACCGACTGGCACAGAGCGGCCAGGATGCGTCGATCTCGGAGCGCGACCGGCACCATGGCCGCTGGTTTGATATCGGCGCAAAGCTGACGTCAGGTCTTGAAATGTGGGTGCACCATCTGCATGCACAGTCGGTGCACACGCCTTCTACGGATCCAGCATTCTCGCCCGAGGAGCGCGCACGCCTCGTGGCATCCCTCACGCGCCTCGGCTACTTTGGCAGCGAAATACCGGGCAGCGCACAGTGGCAGGCGCTGGAGGCGCAGGCCCTACGCATTGCTGCCCAACAGCCATCGGCGGCTCGTGCGCACGATACGATGCCCACGCTGCGGCGCGTTCAGGCGGCTCTCCAAGCGCCCGCGGACGAGCGCGTATATACCCTATCGCCTGAGCGCGATACTGCCACACTTCGCTCTCACGAGGATAGCGATGCATGGATGAGCGAGGCGCCTCGTGATATCGAGGCCCTCTTGTCCCAGCATGGCGCAGATGGCGCGGAAGATGCAACCATGGACAGATTTCAGCTGTTCATGAACAAGATGCAGACGTTTATCGACAGCCAGGGCGACATGGAAGGCGCCCTGTTTGAGGACGACGATTGGGACGACGACGACTCGGCCTCGGAGTCGGAGGCGCGCGAGCACCAAATGCAGAGCCTTGTTGAACCGGTGCCCGCGCACGAATGGGGCGCAAAAAATGCGGCAGTGGCTGGTAGCCGTGCCGAAGGCCCTGCTGCTGCGCCACCTGTAGCTGCGCCTGCGCAGCGCACGGGCGGAGCGGCGGAGAGCGCGGCGCCGTCTGCGCCCCAGCGTCTCGAGGGCCTCTCTCGCCTCGAGCCGCTCGAGGGTGATAGCGATTCTGACAGAGAATCGCTCGAGGGCGACGACGACGACTCTCCGGAGGAGCGCGCTGAGCGCCACTCGATGCTGGGCATGCACGAGTCGAGCTCGCACGCCGACGAGGCCGCGGTGGGCGAGGATGGCCCGATGGAACAGGACATGGACGACTTCCTCGCATTCACACGGCGCACACTCGGCCTCACTGATGCACAGTATGCGGATATCCTACAGGAACGACGCGAACGAGGCGGTACGTGGTGCCCACTCACCTGCAGCGTATGTTCCCCCTACATCAGGACCTGTGGATACGACAGGCCCGCCCCTCGAGCGCCTAGATGCTGTACTGGACGCGATGGAGCGTGAGCTTGCCAAGCAGCGCCCCAAGGACATGGACGTGGAGGAAGAGCCCGAGCTGGACGACGAAGACGCCGAGTTGCTGCAGCATCTGCTGGCCAGTGGTATGTCACTCCCAGACAGTCTGCAGCGCTTTGTTACGGAGAACAACGTCAATGAGGCGGAGGCGGCCATGCTGGGCGACTTTCTCGAGAGCTTTGCGGCCCAGGGTGGCCGGCCGGGGCCCGTAGGCACCCTTAGTGCGCGGCTGGGCGTCGGAGCGCTGCCCCGCGATGCGCCGCCGTAGCCACGTGGAATTTGACCGGTCGCGGGCGGCTGTCTTTTTCCTTCGGCGCACCAAGGCGACGGGGCGACGTGTGGCGCCTGTGTCCCTGGCCAGGCCTCGGCCTGTGCGTGTGCCTAGAGTATCTGCTGTCGGTTGAATAGGCCATGCTACGACTGTAGGTCGGATGGGCATTGGCGTAATGATGACAAGCTACATGACAGCGCTGTCTCCGTAGGCGACTAGCCACTACTTCTTGTCCTTGGGTTCCTCGGCAGGCTTCGGCGGCGTAAGCTTGTACTCGTTTGGCTGGTACGAGACACCACTGCCGACCTGCTCCCAGGCCGAGTTGGCCTCAAAGTTGCGGTGAGCCTGCATGAGCTGGACAGGCTCGTGCACCACACGCTTCTTCTCCTCATCCCAGCGCACCTCCGAGTAGCCCGTCAGCGGGAAGTCCTTGCGCAGCGGGTGGCCCTCGAAACCATAGTCCGTCAGGATGCGGCGCAAGTCAGGGTGGCCAGCAAAGAAGATGCCAAACATGTCCCACGCCTCGCGCTCGAACCAGTCTGCACTGCGGAACAGGCCCGTGACCGTAGGCACAGGCGTCACCTCGTCCGCGTACGTCTTCACGCGAATACGAGCATTGAAGCGCACGCTCAGCAGGTGGTAGTTCACCTCGAAGCGCTGCGAGCGTGTCGGGTAGTCTGCACCCGAGATATCCATGAGCGCCTTGAATTGCGTCAGCGTGTGGTCACGCAGGAACGCCATCGTGGGAATCAGACCCGAGGGAGCGACGTAGAAGGTCAGTTCGTCCTTGTACACGCTGAACTGCTGGATGAAACGAGGCAGCGCTGTCGTCAGTCACATGTACGTACCCGACATGATCCAGCTGCCATAGTCATGCAGACTACCCTGCATGGGGCCATACTTGTCCATGGGGTTCTGGTTTGCGCGCTCGACGTACGGCGTCTCCATCATCACTGCCGGTCAGCCCATGCAACATACCTTTGTCGCCCTTCTCCAACGACACCGAGGACGTCGAAAAAGCACGCGCGGCGAGGCCACGGCGCACCGACGACATCATCGCCTTTGAGACCAGGCTCGGCGTCGCCGAGCGCAGAACGTTTCGTGCAGCAGCCATCTCCAGCGATTGAGGGCACCGCAGAGCAACTGAGAACTCGGGACAGTCTCGCTCGCCGACCGCCGAGTTCGGCCACGTGATTTATCATCCCCTCGCCCTGCCCCCCGCGCACTCGCCGAGGCTCGGACGATGAGTACGCGCGCGAACCTGCCGCTCACAGACGCGCTGCCCTACTATGATACGGACATTGATACCATTGCGGGAATGCGTGAGGCAGTGCAGCGCGAAATCGAGTCGGAGAAGGCGGCTATGCGCTCTTCTCACGAGGCGTACGCGCCCCCTTTGCATGCGCTCTTCGTTCAGCAGCCAGCGCTAGCCGCGGAGCTTGAGCGCGCCGAGCGTGGCGAAAAGCTCCAAGCGATTGATACAGAGCGGTACAAGCTGCCAGCTCCTGCGCCGGATGCACCGGAGGAAGCGTGGCTCGATGCCCTGCGTAATGCCGAAGTACAACTTGCTCACATGGACGTGCGGCAGAGGAATCTCGAGCTACTTCGTCGGTATGGACGTACGTATATTCTTCTCACAACAGCCAACTTGTGGCGCTTGCACAATTACCAACAAGAAGCCATGCTCGGTTGGATTACGGATGCCCAAGAAACGGCAAAGGAAGAGACCGATGACCTGAATCGCGCGCGCAAAGACACCCATTTGCGTCTCGGCGACAAGATATCCACCTACGAATCGCGCTGGCGTGATCTAGTCTCTAAAAGTCTTTCGATTACCGTCGCGAACCTTACGGCACGCGCCGAGATTGCCGACTACCATACAAAGATAGCGGACTTGCGCCGCCAGCTCGCGCGGATGGACCAGACAGGTGTATAAATGTACATGTACAGATCTAGGGATTCGGCTCGGTATGAGTAGTCTTGGGGCTTTGGCGCAGCAGCTCAAGGAAATGCGACTTACTCAGTTGCTTCACCGCCATCTCCTTGTTACCCAGCGCATTCACCTTGCGCGCCTGCTTCGTGGTCTGCATCGACCTTGCCTTATCGATATCGTCTTCTGTCGTAGTCTGCGCGGCGCGAATCGCATTGAACAGCTTGACAACTAGTGTCAGTAGTGCTTACGTACCACCACGCTGTGCCGTCTTGCGCAGTCGCCGCTCATATCCCTTCGTGCCGCCCTGCTCTAACCATGCATCCATCGCTTCCGTATACACAGGGCCAGACGATGCCTGTACCCCTGGTGGACCCCATTCCCCAATCACGTCCTTGACATGCGCTCGCTCTTCGCGTTGGCGACGCTGTTCGAGCATCATGCGCGCAGCCTTGGCACGCATCGTAGATGCATTCGCTGTCTTTCGGATTCCGGGCGCGAGCGACAAAATGCCGTCCCGTGTCTCTGGCTGCTCGTCGCTAAGTTGTGTCTCACCAACACCCAGCAGCTGTTCTAGCGCCTCACCAAATGCGCCGGGCGAAACGGCGCGCCGCTTGCGTTCTTTTATCAGAATTGAATATACATACTCATGGTTTTCCGGCTCTTGCCATCCAGCACCTTCTCATCGCCGTCTTCTTCGTCGTCGTCCTCTTCGTCACCATCTTGCTCCAGGTCTTCCTCGGACGTCTCATCACCGTCCTCGTCCAGCGCGGGAGAATCTTCCGCCTCTCTCTTGGACGATGCATTCGTCTCCTCCTTAGCAGCTTGCGCCCCCTTGTCCAAGCTCATTTTGAGCTTTGAGCGCCCCCCCTGCGGCGCTTTCGCGGTCATGGCGCGTGCCAGGACGTTGAGCGCCAAATTTTCGTACAGTCAGCATCACACACGTGACCGTCCCGCAGCGCCAGCTGTGCGGTCGGTGCTCCGAGCTTGGGCTCCTAACGACCAAACCCAGTCTAGCGCATTGTCACAATGATTCGCGCTCTTAACATGTTCCGTTCGCGTGCCACCGTGGCACAGAGCCTTCTGCGTGCTGGGCCGAATGCCGCTGTGCAGAAGCGCTTCTTGTCCATCCACGAGTACCTCTCGATGGGTCTACTGAACAAGTACGGTATCAACACCCCCAAGTCGATCCCCGCCAAGTCGGCGGAGGAGGCCTACGAGGTAGCGAAGAAATTTGGTGGTAAGCCGATTGTCATCAAGGCCCAGGTCCTCGCCGGCGGTCGTGGTAAGGGTCACTTCGACAATGGACTCCAGGGTGGTGTTCACCTGATCAACACGTAAGTTTCGCCCTTGTGCACTAACGCTAGTCCCGAGGAGGCGCGCGACCTTGCCTCGAAGATGATCGGCGCTAAGCTGATCACCAAGCAGACTGGTGCTGCTGGCCGTGAGTGCCATGCCGTGATGATCGCTGAGGCTCGTACGCCGGCGCACGAATACTACGTGGCTGTGTTGAACGACCGCGTGAACCAGCTTCCTGTCCTGATTGCCTCGAACCAGGGCGGTATGTCGATTGAGGATGTCGCCAAGGAAAACCCGGATGCGATTATCACTACTCCCATCGACTTCACCAAGGGTCTCGATATGGAGACTGCCAAGTCGATTGCGCACAAGCTCGGCTTCTCCGGTTCCAAGCAGGAGGACCAGGCTGCTGACACCTTCGTGAAGCTGTACCAGCTCTTCTCGGAGCGCGATGCGACGCAGGTGGAGATCAACCCCATGGCTGAGAGCAAGGATGGCGAGGTGCTCTGCATGGACGCCAAGTTGGGCTTTGACGAAAATGCGGAATTCCGTCAGAAGGAAGTGTTTGACATGCGTGACCTGACCCAGGAAGATCCCAGCGAGGTCCAGGCGGCGGAGTACGGCTTGAACTTCATTAAGCTGGATGGCAACATCGGCTGTCTGGTGAACGGAGCTGGTCTCGCTATGGCCACTCTCGATGTGCTCTCGCTCAACGGCGGTAAGCCGGCCAACTTCCTTGACGTCGGTGGTGGTGCTAACGCTGAGGCGGTGAAGCGCGCCTTCGAAATCGTCCTCCAGAGCAAGGACGTCCGTGCCATCTTTGTGAACATCTTCGGTGGTATTATGCGCTGCGACGTGATTGCCGAGGGTATCATCAAGGCCACGAAGGAGATGGAGCTCAAGGTCCCCCTGGTTGTTCGTCTGCAGGGCACCAAGGAGCAGGAGGCCAAGGCGCTGATTCGCGAGTCGGGCATGAAGATCTCGGCCTTCGATGGCCTGGACGAAGCTGCCCGCAAGGCCGTCGAGGTGGCTGCGGCTGGTCAATAAAAGCCAGTCCATAGTGTTGATGAGCTATAGATACTGAAATGGAGTTCATCCGTCACGAAAAGGACGAGGTTGTGACATCCTATTTTTGGAGGAACGCTATGATACTCGGCAAACGACTTCGCCCTCAAGCTTCCTTCGCATGGCCTCCTTGGCTTCAAACCATCCATGCTTACCGCAGTCAATGATACCAATTTCTCCTGCCTTCAGAGGCGTAACAAACTTGGAGCGACGTCCCGTCACCCAGCGCAAAAGTTCTTCACTCGTCATAGACAGGCGGCGCGACGGCTTGCTCACCAGATTGATTTGCTCTAAGACAGGCCTGTCATCAGAGCGATACTTGAGGTCCACCCACAATCGCCGCCGCACCTCTGGTGCCGTATTCCAATCCACAGCACTTGGCCCTGCCACTGTGCCACGAGTTAGATTATAGATGAAACCATGTTGTAGAAGAATGGAAAGAATAGACACATTGGCCTTTGTGTTGGGAATTGAAACAGCCTTCAGCTTGGCTCGCGATGCATTTTGAAGCCGGACGCACAGGTCCGCATGCAATGGCATGACAGCGTCGATGAGCCTGCTCGCCGTCGTTGGAGCGACACGACCTTCTTATCACGTGATCTATGGTGTCTCAACGCGCTGAAATGCTATGCTCGTCACAGTGGAGCCCTTCTGGCCACCCTAAGTTGTAAGCCCATCACACACGTACGAATTGGAATGTAGGTGTAGGAACAACGTGGACCACTGAAAATCCTGTGGCTATTAGCCCATATAATACGCACCGGCAGGACAGAACGTGGCAATAAGCTCTTCCTGCGTAAAGTTGCAGCTAGTAATGAAAAAGATTCCACTAGGGGTGTCAGGTGTCAGAGGCCGTGTCAAGGCGCGAACTGCACCAACGTAGTGCTCCACGGGGAGCTTTCCATCGATAGGCTGAGAAGATAGCGCAATCTAACGTCAGACTCCATGTCGTACCGCATCGTACTGTCGTTAGCGCAGTGAAAACATACGGTGCCCTTGTCGCAAACAATATCCCAACCAAGCCCATCGTTCGCTTTGCTTGACAGATGGTCGACTTGCTGAGCATCGCGCAGATCTGCCACTTCAAAGACAACCTGCTCACATCCATTCAAGCGTTTCGAACCAATTGAGCGAGACAAGGCGATCGAAGCAGTCGAATAATCGATTCCACACAGTTTCGATGGGTCCACGATGCCTTCAGGCAATTCCTCTTCCTGAGCTTCCAATAAAGAAAAAAGAAGATGTCCATTTCCTGTACCAAGGTCCAGGATATAGGGTGCCTTATCGCCATGGTTCTCCTCAATCCATTCCAATAAGAAACGGATCATACGTTCAACGCTGTCCTCTCCAAACCTGCAAGTCAGTGGGATTCTCATACCAAATTTCACCCTCATCTCCAATATCCTCGTATACTTTCACTTCTCGTCTTTCATAAATTCACCCATCACATACTCATATACTTGGTCCCAGTGCTCCTTGGTTCCCAAATGCGACTCAGGCAGCGATTCCACTTCTGCCATGGTGGCTCCTACGGGGTTTCTCCACATGATAAAATTTGGGCTCTAGGACAACGCGTGGATAATCTCACCCCCCTCTTAGATAACGCGCAGGACATCTCTACGATGACATAGATCTCTACAGCCATTGATAGAGCCCTTTTATGAACGTATGCACGCATTGAGGTTTTCGAGCATGTCTCCAATTTTTCTCTAACATAATTGTGCACGGTCATAATATCTATTTATCAGGTCGGGTTCCATTTCGTCCCTTCTACTTCTGCTTAATTTCAAGACAGAGCCAGTGCTGAAGAGAATGAAACTAATTTAGACTCCCGCCTGTGTAAAATGTCGATGCCACCGATTTCTAACTCCGACAATATACCAAGGTGCTCTGCGTGTAGGAGTATGTATAACACGACAACCACGCACACTCTGTGACGTAGTGGCAATCTATCCCATGCATGTTGGTAAATTCCAAACTGACTTCTGAATTCCAGTCTGACTCGGTTGCGTGTCGATTTTATCTCCAAAAGAAGCACATCAACCACTGACAAGAAAGATCGATCATAAACGTTCCATTGAGATCAAGTAAGTCATCACTGTGGAACTCCTACAGTGAGGAACTATTTTATGAGCTCCTCTTGGAAGCGTGAGAATGTACCTGGGTAACCGGCCGACAGAGTAGCAAGAGGCTTCCGACGTGAATCTCGTCAAGAGCATTTTCGATAGACGATGAAATCACAAACAAATTTACGCCTTGCGACGGAACGAGCAGCCTAGAACGAGTTAGCTCCATTTCCACTCTTGTTAATACATACCGACAGCAAGACGGGCCTTACCACCGGTGGGCTGGCTCAGAACCTGAGCGCAGCTGCCGCAAAGGACAACCGACTGGGCGTGCGAGAAGACAGTAGTGATGGCGAAGCAGCCAGGGCACTTCACGTCCATAAAGAACGAGTTAGGGCTCTGGACCAGACGCTTCAGCTTGTGGGTGCGCAGCTGCTGCTCTTGCGAAGGGTTAATAAGGTCAACAGTGAGAGTCTATGTTGTTAGAAACATGCTTCTTCGTCTTTGCCACACATACCATATTAGCGGTCGGTGTATCAGAAGAGAAAGGTCGGTACGGCTCGATTCCCAAGGCAGCTGATGCCTGACCAATGGTTCCCAGCAATATTTCATACTGGAACTATATAGAGGATCACGTGTGCATATTTTTATTTGCTCAATTATGCCTACCTTTCTATTTGTAGGACCTAACAGGTGGAATAACATCCACTCTGTGACCGGCCAGCAGGAGTTTTTGCGCTCGACTTTCCTCAGTTGCGCTACTCCCGACCCTTCCTTACAAACCAGCACGCACGCAAGTTTTGAGTCATGGTTAACCTTCGTGTGCAAAGGCGTCTGGCTGCGTCCGTCCTTGGTGTGGGTAAGCGTAAGATTTGGCTCGACCCCGCCGAGCAGAGCGACATTGCGAACGCGAATTCCCGTGCGAATGTTCGCAAGCTGATCAAGGATGGCCAGATCATCAAGAAGCCTCTTGTGTCGCATTCGCGTGAGCGTACTCGTAACCTGCACGCTGCTAAGCGCGTCGGTCGCCACACCGGCTACGGTAAGCGCAAGGGTACCGCTGAGGCTCGCTTCCCGACTAAGGTCCAGTGGATGCGTCGCCAGCGTGTGCTGCGTCGTCTGCTCCGGAAGTACCGTGAGGCTGGAAAGATCGACAAGCATCTGTACGTTTGATAAATTGCTCTAACATTTCAGCTACCACGAGCTCTACCTGAAGTCGAAGGGTAACGTGTTCAAGAACAAGCGTGTTCTTATGGAGCACATTCACAAGGCCAAGGCCGAGAAGCTGCGGTCGAAGCACCTTGCCGACCAGATGGAGGCCCGTCGTCTGCGCAACAAGACCCTCCGCGAGCGCCGCGCCCAGCGGGTTGCCGAAAAGCGGGCTGCCCTCCTTGCCATCGAGGCCGAGGACGAGGACAAGCAGTAACCGCATTCTTTCTCAACCCAAAAACTTGCACGCTCAGCGATGTGATGATATTGTTCCATCTTATCCAGCGCTTCATCCTGGCTGTCATTCCTTGCCAGTGAGAAATACATGGTCTGGAATCTTGAGGTGGTTGTGTATGTTCACTCATGTGGCTCTATGTAGCCCTGGGGGCTACTAGCTTATACCATCCAGGTGTACTTTTGCCTATCATGATTCTACTTTAGCGATTCGAGACTATGTACTTGATTACTCGACAGGCGAGTGTATAGCATAAAAATGCGCTGGGGTTCGTTTAAACAAGCCTGCTATGAGGGGTAGTGGCCTGATTTATGCCACTCATTCAAGTCCCTTTTAAGGCGGATTTACTTTTGCTCCTTAAGCTCTTTGGTTACCTTAGTGTGCTTAGAGAAATTTGCCAGACGGCTTTGTACGCAATCCTGCGTCGTCAGTCAAGCGAGCGTACCTGTGCTACTGTCGCCACAGCACCCTCGATGACATCGCTTAGGGCCTGTTCGACCCATTGATTTCGTTCACGTGGGATAGACACTGACGTTAGAGAGTGCATACGTACACCACCAGGAAGGTACAGCCTGGCTACATGTAACATGAGTCAGGTTGTGCTTCGGGTCTGCCAACCACACGAGGAAGTGTAATTGTTGCTTACTTTGACTTTTGGAATCACTTGTCTCTTCACCATCCGTAGCGGCAAACAAGTCTTCTTCGTCGCCAGAGAATACATCATCAAGAAAAGGTTGGATGCGCAAGAGCACTGGGCAAGTCAAAAATGTCAGACTCTTCTTTTCCGACATGTCCCTGTCTTTGAGCGACTTGTTCATAATACGATGCAAATTTTTCCTCGCGACCTGGATACCTTCCGCTCGCGTCTTCGCAGCATTCAAATCATAGACATTTCCCTTTTTTGTGTGTGCAGATGCTTCGTCGAGTTCGACAGATATATCCATATCAGCTTGTGACAGTGCGCGCGAGAGGACGTTGAAAACCAGATGCTCTACACCCCCATATCCTATCATGTCTGAACGTCAGGACACGCGATACATACCGTGGCTGACCGTCACATTTACCGAGTCGTGCACTTCGACAGGAAGCGCCACTGCATTCATAATATCATTCCAGCCCTTGCGGCCAGCCTCACTCAAATTCTGCCCTAACTGGTCAAGATGTGCATCATGTACAAGGCCACGAACACGCTTGGCCATCATTGCGCCTAGGTCATAAATTTGCTGGTCGGTGGAATGTCCTGTTTTGCCAGCATTTGTTTGAGAGATGGCTGCGGTCCGACGACCAATCTCATCACGGGCATGTCCCGCGAATTTCGTAGCTGTTGAAAAGAGATTGCCCCACGGCGCACCACTGCCCCACGGACCCCAGGCTTTGCTTTCGATCGCGCTGCTGTCAGTCGAATTCGACTCTGTTTCCGATGCGGTAGTCTGTGTGGTTTCTTCACTCTTTTCCTGTGATTCAGTGACTGTGGCATGATTGGCACTATCAGGAGGGGCACTTGCTTGTTGAGCGGACGTAGCATGAGCCTCCATTTTTAATGGACGAAGTGCGCCGGAGCGCGGTTTGGGTGCACTCGAAGTGACAGAATTTCCCCTTGAATCTCTCTGTGAATGGCGCCGACGCTGAACCAAGCCTTCCAAGTCATCTAACAGACTCTGTGCCTCGTCGGGACGCGCATTTGGTGATGTCTTTTCATTATGGCGCAGGCGATGTCCTGATGTCTTTTTCGGCATTTCCGAAGCCTTCATGTCTAAACTCAAGTCAGCAAGTAGGGAATCAACATCTTGTTTGCGAGGCGACGAGTTGGTCGCAGGCTTTTTGACCTCTTCGCTCATGGCAAACGTTATGCTACAACCGTCTACGCGGGGACGTTGGCCAAAACGCTCTCCACTTGTCACGTGGTATGGATGAACACGGTTGTACTTGCCCTGACCCCACCCCTTGTCACCGGATTGATTGCCAGTAACGGCTTGATATATCTACACGACATGTTTTAACTTTTTAATAATGCAGAAACGAAAGAGACCAGAATTCCATGATCGAGGAGCTGTATGGTCAAATTTTAGGACAACGGGGGTCGATGGAAGCGATATTGAATGGGCTGACGATAATCCTCTAAATGCTCCATCCTCGAGGGGATATGCGCCAGTCGACGCACAGCATGACAGAAAACGTCGTCATGTGGAATATGAAATGTCCAACATGTCTCTTGGTGAGACAAACCCATCTATGGTAAGAGATGAGGAGATGACCAGCGGGAGTTCATATGACATATCTCCCAACCGCGTCTATGTAAACTCACTTGAGGACTCGAGTGATGAAGAAGATGGAGGTCCCCAAGACATGTCTTTTTGGGAAGTAAATCCGCTGGTGGCCCGGCGTTTGGAGTCCAAGGCACGTGCGCAACAAGCTGAGAAAGTACCCCCTTGGATCAAACCAAACCAGCCAAATGAACAAGAATCACCCACACCAAATTCATTGGTTTTGTGGCAACCGCCTCCGTGGGCTGCAGAACCCGCTCAGGCAGTGGATCGTACTCAGGAGTCGGACATGATGGCGATCGAGCCCTAATTCAACACACACCTCCATAGAGCCAATCTTCATTAGTAATTCCGCTGCATCTCTCCCGGCTGCTGACAAGTAGTCCTCCGTCGGTTTAACAGCTGTTTCCTGTTGTTCCGGCTGTGCAACGACAGCGTCATGGAGCGCCGGCAGCGACTCGAAAAGGCCTACGATGAAATTGCTAGGAAGGCACCTGTTCCCGCCATTGACTTTACCGTTCATACCATGGACGATGGGGAACAGGTGTCTACCGTTGAACGCGTGATTAAAGATGTCCAGGCTCCCGCCTTCCAGCTCCCCACGCCCGAACAATTCTGGAGTAAGAAGGACCCATCAAAACCTGATATTCAATTTTTAAAAAACCACTTTTACCGTGAAGGTCGCCTTACGCATGATCAGGCTCGTTACATCCTGAACAAAGCGACTGAACTCCTGCGTTCGGAGCCGAATCTTCTCGAGCTAGACGCACCTATTACTGTTTGTGGTGACATCCATGGTCAATACTATGACTTAATGAAGCTTTTTGAAGTGGGAGGCAATCCTGCTGACACGCGATACCTCTTCTTGGGCGACTATGTGGACCGAGGATACTTTTCGATTGAATGTGTACTTTACCTGTGGTCTCTGAAGCTATGGTACCCCAACACACTTTTCCTTCTCCGTGGTAACCATGAATGTCGTCATTTGACGGACTACTTTACGTTCAAGCTGGAATGCAAACATAAATATTCAGAAGAAATCTACGATCTCTGTATGGAATCGTTCTGTGCGTTACCTTTGGGCGCCGTGATGAACAAACAGTTCCTTTGCATTCACGGAGGTCTCTCTCCTGAATTCCAAACGCTTGATGATTTGCGGGCCATCAACAGGTTCCGCGAGCCTCCAACTCACGGGCTGATATGTGATCTGCTGTGGGCTGATCCGCTGGAAGAATTCGGGCAGGAGAATACAAATGAGAACTTTGTGCATAACCATGTGCGTGGATGCTCCTACTTTTTCACGTACCATGCTGCGTGTCAGTTCCTGGAGCGGAATAACCTATTGTCGATTATCCGTGCGCATGAAGCACAGGATGCCGGGTATGTTATTTGTCAACTAACGAAAGTTACCGCATGTACAGAAAAACCAAGGTGACTGGCTTCCCCTCGGTTATGACTATTTTCTCTGCGCCTAACTACCTCGATGTTTACAATAACAAGGCTGCTGTTCTCAAGTACGAAAATAATGTTATGAATATCCGTCAATTCAACTGCACGCCTCATCCGTATTGGCTGCCTAACTTTATGGATGTCTTCACATGGAGCCTTCCATTTGTAGGCGAAAAAAGTTCGTTTCTCTTTGCACTGACATTTAGTGACTGACATGCTGATCGCGATCCTTAACATCTGTTCGAAGGAAGAATTGGAAGAGGATGAGGAAGAAGACAGGTTTCTTGGAGAAAGCCCTGCCAACATGCCGATTGATATGACACCTGGTGTGGCAAGTGACGATTTGGCCGAACGTCGAACTGTGATCAAGAACAAAATCTTGGCAGTCGGTCGCATGTCCCGTGTTTTCCATGTGCTGCGCGAAGAGGCAGAGCGCGTTTCTGAGCTTAAAATTGCTTCTGGCACTGGTCGGCTTCCCTATGGCACATTGGCTCTTGGATCAGAAGGCATCAAGCAAGCCATTCACAACTTTGACGAGGCTCGAAAGGTGGATATTGAAAACGAACGCTTGCCGCCGTCCCTCGTCGCGGCCGACCAGACCGACGAGACACCAATGATGCCTGCTCCTGCTTTAGTGGACAGTCTGCCATCCCAGATGGCGCGGCCTATTCTCCCTCTGGAGTCACGGACTCCGCCGACTCACCGCCGAACCCATTCAAGGACAAGTTCCTTTGGTACAACTATGACCAGCCCCTCCAATCGTCGACGTTCCCTTGAATCTACGGTCAGCATGATTAAAGAGGCTCTTGAACACGGAAGCAACTCATATTCTCGCAGTAGCGTGCCCTCTTCTCCTACGGCAAGCCCCAGGAAAGGAGCGCCATAGTTGTATAGACTCGCAACCTCAGCCTGCTAGGTTTTGACTCGCCACGTGAACCTCCACCGATCGTTGGCCGCGCGTCGAGCGTCGTTGCTCGTTCACCCCGTGAGGCTTTCACCGTCGCACTATGCCTGTGGGCCATCAATTTAGTCCGTATACCTCCAACGGAGGGTCTATCCTGGCCATCCATGGTGATGACTACTGTGTTATTGCTGGAGATACACGTCAAAGTGAAGGTTACAACATTCAGACACGGTATAAACCCAAAGTCTTCCGACTGTAAGTGCATGCTAGGCTAACGACCAGGACCGACAAGGCCACACTGGCCACGAATGGCTTTGCTGCAGATGCCGAGGCGCTAGTGACGCGCGTTCAGACACGCCTGGAAATGTATCAACACACCCATGGACGTTCCATGCCACTTCATTCGATTGCGCGCATGCTTTCCACCATCCTATACAGCAAGCGCTTCTTCCCTTATTATGTGTACAACATATTGGGGGGTATTGATGAAGAGGGCCGTGGCGCTGTCTACAGTTATGACCCTGTCGGAAGCTACGAGCGCATCGTCTGCAGCGCCAGTGGCACTGCCCAAGGCCTGATGCAGCCGTTTTTGGACAATCAAGTCATGTTCAAAAATCTCAACGCCCCGGATGGGTCGCCAATCCCCGAGCCTGGGCATCTACCTCTCGACCAAACACTCCGGATTGTTATGGACTCTTTTACGTCTGCCACCGAGCGCCATATCGAGGTTGGCGATGGTCTAGAGATCTATGTCGTGCGCGCTATTCAATCCACTGCTGAAAATGCTCCTTCGATGGGCACGAGCACTGCCGACTTCCCGCTCGCCGAGCATGGGGCTGTCGAGGCTTTGGGCGGTGAAGACGCTCACACACCAGGAGCCTGCATGGTGATCCGGCGTCAGCTCAAGAAAGACTAGGCCGTAGTCATCTAAATCCCAGCCGCTTTCGTTCACGGTCCTTCACATAGCGTCAGAGAAGCACTTTGACGGTCGAGAGCTATTCTAGCGGCGCGAGGGCTAGACACATTTCGGCCGACATGGGTGACACTTGGATGCGATCTTACTGAAGGTGTATCTTCTCAGAGATGTCGACTGCCGGGGATACGAGTGCCCCTGTGACTGTCCATGTCAAAGGGCCGAGTGGCCTCAAGCTCTCTTTGGAGATTGACTTGGAAATGACTGTATTGCAAATGAAAGAGAGAATTGAGCAGGAGAACCAGGACTTTCCTGCCGACAGGTATGCCCTGACAGCTTGTGCTCATATCACAGTCAGCGACTGATTTACAGTGGAAAGGTGCTCAAAGACCCTGAAATGCTGCAGTCGTACAATCTAAAGGATGGTCGTGCGTAGGCCTACGCTGACACAGACACTATCCATATGGTTCGTGCAGCCACACGTCCCAATGCGGGGGCATCTGCCAGCTCTGCATCGTCATCATCTGCCAACGCGTCTGCTTCTCGTGCAGCCGAATCCCAGGGTGTACCTGCTAGCTTCTCCGCTGGGCAGCAGTTTGCGAACAACCCTTTGTCGGCGCTGAATCGTGCCGACTATGCTGGTCCCCACATGGCCAGCATCCTGAACGAAGCAGGCGGTATGTTTGGCAACTTCGGTGGTATGAACCCTCGCGATCCCAATGTCATGCTTGGCATGCTCCAAAATCCCGAATTTTTGCAACATATGCGTGACATGCTGTCCCGACCGGAGGTCATTGACCAGATCATTGCGAGCAACCCTCAGATGCAAGCGATGGGCCCACAATTGCGCGAGATGAGTACGTATTCTGTCTCTTACACAGTGTCATCCGAGTACTTCCGCAACATGATTACCAACCCCGAAGCGATGCAGCGCATGGCGCGACTTTCTCAAATGTTCGGTGGCGGTGGCCTGGGTGACCCTGCGGGGCTGAGTGCAGCGCCGTCCGGTGCATGGCCTCCGCCGGGCGCCTTTGGGATGCCTGAGGGGCAAAATGCTAGTGGGCAAAATGCTGGCGCGGCCGGTGCCGCTCCGACGCCCGGTGCAAATCCATTGGAGAGTCTGGCGCAGCTGCAGCAGCTGCTGGGTGGCGCAGGTGCAGGCCAGCCGTCTTTGTCGGCCTTGGCAGGCCTTGGCGCCTTTCCCCCTGCAGCAGCGCCTCCTGCTGATTCTCGTCCGCCGGAAGAGCGCTATGCTACCCAGCTTGAGCAGCTCCAGTCTATGGGATTTTATGATGCACGGGCCAATCTAAGCGCCTTGCTCATGAGCGGCGGCAGCGTTGAGGCAGCTGTCGGTATCCTGCTAGGCCAACCGTAGATACTCCTTAGCCCTTTAGATCGTGCACATTCATGAGCAAACGTTACGTAAAACTATTCGAAGCTGGGGCGCTCGTCCGAGTCAATCGTGAGGATCACCTTGTCGCCCTCCCAGCGGGCCTGGACCTTGCTAAGATCGTCCACGACAAAGTCGGCGCCTTGGAGCCAGAGACGCTTGGCGTCATGCGTGGTCTTGAGGCCCAGGACACGCGCGCCCGCGCGCTTACCCGAGAGGACACCAGCAGGCGCGTCTTCAACGACGATGCACTTGGTGATGTCCACACCGCTCAGCTCGGCACCCTTTTTGTATGGCTCCGGGTTGGGCTTGCCCTTGTTGACGTCATCTGAGGACACAAACACCTTCGGCAACTCTGACGTCTTCGTCGACAGGAACGCCTTGCGGGCGTAGTCGCCTGTCGCGCTGGTCACGATGGCCCAGCCGGGGCGACGGCTCTCTTGCGCTGCTGCGCCGTCGTTGATCTGCTTCAACAGCTCCTTCACGCCAGGCAGACCTACGATGCTGCCCTGCGGGTTGGCAGCGGTCGGCTCCGACTTGGCCTTCGAGCGGTTCTCGTCGGAGATCTCAATGATGCGGTCCTCGAAACGGTAGGCCTCCGATAGTGCCTGCTCGGGCGAGAGTTGCGGCAAACGCTCTTGCAGGTTCTCGACGGTGCGCTTGCCGTGTGAGTTCTCCAGCAAGTCATCCAAGTCCATGTTATACTGCTTGGCGAACTCGACCCAAACAGCGCTCAGCGCTGCGGTGGAGCTGACGAGGGTCTGTGGGTTAGTTCTAGACACTTGAATACATACACCGTCCATATCAAATAGCAGCGTGTCGACTTCAACTTCGTAGGTGGGCATATTGGTGTGAGAATAGGTGGGAAACCTGGTGACAACGTAGTACCGACTTTCCGCCTGTGAGAGTTGCCGATTATGCACATCCTCCGGCTTGTTCCCTGAAATCGTGTGGCACGAGCGCAAGTGGTAGCTATGGTTACCCAATCGTTACATAAGTCTGGGCGTGATGCCCCGGATTGGCCCGTTATGATGTATGAACGAGGCTTTGTGATGCTTCATCAGCAAAAAGTTTGCCTCGCCGACGTACGGCCACTTAGATGCGGCCGAGCCCCACACTGCCGGCTACCGGTCCCTCGGGCCTTCCCCGAGGAACGTGGCAACATGTGCGCACTGTCTGGGGCAGACCAGCGATTTGGCCCCTGATTGGATTAAGAAGGACTCAGGGGCGCGCTTCACCGTCAATGGTAAGCAACAGTTTTTCGCCCTCCCAGCGGGCGTGTACATAGCTCAGATCAGGCACGACCCAGTCAGCTCCCTGGTCCCACATACGGCCGCCGTCGTGGGTTGTGCGCAGGCCCAGGACGCGGGCGCCCGCCCGCTTGCCGCTTAAGACACCGGGTGGTGCATCCTCTACAACAATGCAGCGCGACACGTCAGCGTGGCTCAGCTCCGCTCCTTTCAGATACGGCTCTGGGTCCGGTTTTCCCTTGGAGCAAAGATCCGATGTCACGAAGGCGCGGGGCGGGTCGGCGACATCAGCTGCCCTGAAACCCTTCTGGGCATAGGCGCTCGTGGCTGCTGCATGAGCACTGCCTCTCACGTACCACTTGTCACGATGGCCCAGCCGGGTCGTCGTTTGGGGTTCTCGTCACGCCCGGCATTGATCTGTGCTCGTCAGATGGCCAGTGCGCACCTCCGCAAGCAGTTTCTTGGCACCAGGCATTGGAATGATGGTGCCTTCCGTGGAGCCAGTCTCCTTGGCGCGCTGCAGGTTGGCCTCGGCAATGTCTAGGATGCGGCTCTCGAAGCGGACAACCTCTTTCATAAGCTCCTCACCTTCCAACGAAGGAATGTAGCGCTTGAGATTTTCTACCGTGCGGTGGCCATGTGCGTAGTGTAGCTGTCCGAGTGAGCCACCAGGCCACGTACCACATGGTCGATGTCCAGCTGGTACTGTTTGGCAAACTCGACCCACGTCGCATTGACAGCTGGCGTAGAGTCGATGAGCGTGCCATCCATATCAAAGAGCACAGTGTCCACTTCGACCTCGACAGGCATGGCGGGTAAGAGTTGGAGTCGCGTCCACAACATGTGGAGGCGCCTTAGCGAGGCCCGATCATGGTCCTTGCGACTTCGTGTCGCCAAATGCATGTAGTGGCGCAGAAAGGGTTTCATGCGACAGGCTCATCGGGACTGTACGATCGAGCTAGACCGTCCTGTATGTACTACTTACTGACACAGATCCTCCAGCGCTGATCCGCCAGCTCCTTGCAGCGACTGGCACACGGTCCCCGCGCGTCGTGGAGGTGGGGGCTGGTACGGGGATTGCGACGCGACTTCTTCTCCAGGAGAGCGCGCATGTGGGCGGATTATCATCCTTAGCAGCATTTGATCCATCTCAGGGCATGTTGGAGCATCTGCGGCGCGTTCTAGGTAACAACGACACTGGCTTGGTGGCTGCTCTTAAAGCGCAGGGCCGTCTGCGGCCGGAATCGCGCGTGTGGGCCGCTGAGGGCGCATTTGATGACTTTCAAGCGGGGACCGGGAATGATCTCGTTGTGATTGCACAGGCTTGGCACTGGTGCCCCGATTTTGACGCGGCTCTGCGCCATATCGCCGCTAGTTTGCGCCCAGGCGGCGTCCTCGCACTCCTATGGAACTTGGAAGACCGCGACGCAGGTACGTTGCGAATACCAACGGAGAGCGGAATGGGTAGCGAAAGTGCGTGATTTGTATGAACAATATGAGGATCACACCCCGCAATGTACGTGTTGGCAGGGTATTTACGCAGACCGGCATATGCTGTGGCATGCCATGTACGACACGCCTGCGTATCGGCAGCACTTTCGTGCAATGACGCCCGTCCATATGAAGCGCTCGCTGCCCACTACATTACGGGGCGTGTTGGACCGGATGCTATCCAAGTCGTACATCTCCGTGCTCGATGCTGGGACGCGAGCGCAGCTTGTGCGGCAGGTACAGGCGGTCTTCGACGGCGGCCTATGCGGACGCGAGATGCTTGATGAGGCCCAGGGTGTATGGGCATACCCGTATCAAACAGGTACGCAGGCGCTGCTAACGTCCTGATCTGCACATGTTTCGACGCCGTTAGTTTACGTCTGCACGGGGCGATACAGGACAGTCGTCACATACTTGTTCTTGTACCGTGTGACCATGCCCATAGCGAGGACGCCATTCTTAATGGAGCCCGTGGCCAGATGGTTCAGTACGGCATGATTCGGCGCTGGAAGAACACTGTTATCATCGACCAGTGCGGCGGCTGCATTGAGCTGGACTTGGTCACTGGTCACCGCAGCATTGAGGATGACCTTCTCGAGCTGCCGTGGGAGTTGGGGCGGGTTGGGCAGTAGCGACGAGTGCTCGGCTGAAATGTCACTGTCCAGGAGACGCTCTTCGGCTTCCTGCGCCACTTCCACGCAGGCCGGCAGCTCGCGCGTCCACGCCGTCTCTGTCGTACCTGGGAACTCATCACCTATAATCTCCCACTCGCCGCCCTCCTTTTGCGTAGCCTTGATATCGGCCATGGCCTTGGCCCATGCCTCGTCGCGTTCAATCGGCCCGGGCAGCTCCGCCTCGTTCGTCTGTTCCAGGAGGTTTGGAATCTCAACGTAATTTACCAGGGTACCGTCGCCGTCCGTGGCCGTATTCAGGTCCGGCGAGATGCGCCACCGATTGTCGACCACAAACTTGAGGCGATGCGTGCCAGGAGGCAAATACAACGTGCACAGGAACGGCGTGCCAGGACGCAGCTGGCGCAGAGCAATTTTGCTTTGCCACTCGTCGGCAAAGGTGCCCGTGACATAGACGTGACGTCCACGTCCGCGCCAGACGAGATGGACAGGGGTCAGCGGCTTTTCCTCTGTGAATGGCAACGGCTCTTCGACGGTTAGCATATCATGTGCCTGGTCCTGTTCCACGGTATTGGTCTCGATCGTCATGGGCGATAAGAGGAGCGGCGCCGTCTGTGTACGAGTCAAGCGCTTCGGCGACCCCTCCTTTGACGGCGCATCCGTGTGTACCCGGCTAGACGATGACATGTCGGAGACATCCAGGAGTGATGTGCCGGTGGAAAGCTTGATTTTGGCCGATGTGTGCGCCCGCGGAATCGCCGTGGGAATCTTGAGGTACGACGGCAATGACGCGATTTTGGTGTGCCCCTGCGGCTTCCCCTTCTCTTCTTCCTGGGCCCTGACTGACTTCATCTGCGGCGGCGACTCAGAAAGACTCATTAGTGCGTCTTCGTTAAGGATGAGCGACGCACGGTGCGACGATAGCATAGCGGCGCCTGGCAGCTCATACTTCGAGGGCGCACGAGGCGTGCGCGCCATTTCTGTGTGACAGGGGCGTGGCGTGGTATGTGTACCTGGATGCGAAGGGCTCGCGCTTTTAACTTCTAGGTCCGGGCTAGTTATCACTTCGTTGTTCTGCAGGATGTGGATCGAGTCACTGCGCTCCGAGCCTGTGTCGATCAGTGTGGTATCGCTGCCTGCCTGCGATTCCTGGTCAGAGTGATTCCGCAAGCTCACGTCGCTGCTCCCGTACCGTCCAAAGGAGCTCGCTGCCACGATTGCGTACGGTCGAGGATCACCGGTCTCATCTCCTTTCGAGCTGGCGCCGCCCGAGGCGCCCTCCGGCTCGGGGTAGATGCCAATTGAGTGCGAGTATAGATGCCCCGGACGGTGCTTGGTGACCCTCGCTTCGACCTCGCGCGTCCTACGAGCGCGCCGATCGATCGCGTCTGGTCGCTCAGACTCGGGCGCCGCCGACTGTGTGTTTCCCATGGGCGCCAACGGTGCAGCGAGACGCGGGCGTGGACGTCGCGCCCTCTTCAGACATGTAGGTGTGTACCCTCCACGTACCGGCGCCGTGGCGCGTTCGCCGTCTGTCGTCGCGCTCTCCGCGCGGATGAAGGTGCACATCCAGAAATGGCACCCAGTTGGCTACTGGCGTACGCACAATGTGCTGATGCAGATTGGAATGTCCGTGATCCAGACGACGTGTGTGGTATCTGCCAGAACTACTTTGATGGCGTGTGTGGTGCCTGCAAGGACCCTGGCGATGCATGCCCTCTAGGTACGCACATGCACGCTGACCGCAGCGGTGGGCGAATGCACGCACGAGTTCCACTTGCACTGTATCATGAAATGGCTCTCGGAAAAGCACGAACCCATGTGCCCTCTGTGCAAGCGGCCTTGGCGTATGTACCTCTCTCTCACACGCAGTGGAAGTCAGCTCGACGGCGCCGGCGCCGGCGCGCTCCCCTGCTTCACCAGGTGTACCATAGCAATCATATCCCCATCCCCACGACGCCCGCGAGACGACCGTGACCGGCGGCCGCCGCTGCACGTGATCGCGTGGTGTGTTGTTCGGTCCCCACCATGCCCCCCACACGCGTGCGGACGTCGGGGCCGGCGGCGTCGCCGTCGCGCGTACGTGCGACGCGGCGTACGCTTTCGAACGACACGAGCCGCATCGGTGCGCGGCGCGTCGTTCGCCCCGGCCCTGCCACAACGCCGCCCGCCCGTGCCGCAGCGCCGGCTCCCCACATGCACGACTTGTTCGAGCTCGAGAAGGAACGTGTGCAGGCCAGCCAGACGCGCGAGCGTGCCGAGCGCGATCAACGCTATGAGAGGCAGCGCATGATTGATGAGAGGCTTGTAGAGGCGCGTCGCACCGCGAACGAGAATCGTCCACCTGCGTCGGGCTGGCGTGGGTACAACGACTACGAGGTGGATCTCCTGCGGGCCGAGCACCAGCGCGACCTCAAGACACTGCGTGCGCGTATCGAAGCCCAGGAGCTTGAGATGGAAGCGCTTCGCGCGGATGCAGCGCGCCACGCTCAATCCCTTGAAAAGGCGCATGCCTCAGAAGACGCGTTGCGAGCGCGCGTGGCGGAGCTTGAGACGCTGCTTGCCACCACAGATACACGCTCCGCTGCGCTTGCGTCCGAGGCGACCGCTTCTGCTGAACGCGTGCACCTCCTCGAAGCGCGGCTTGCTGACGCCGAGGTGCTGCGTCGTCGCCTGCACAACCAGGTCCAAGAGTTGCGTGGCAATGTGCGTGTGTACGCGCGTGTGCGGCCCCCCCGGGACGAGGGTGCGAGCATAGATCTGCGCTATCCTGATGCACAGCAGCTCGCGACGCAGCTCGAGGTGCGGGCGCCGACCGAGAGTGCGATGGGCGCGGCGTCCGTCAAGACGCATCACTTTGCGTTTGATCATGTGTTTCCGCCGTCGGCGACGCAAGCCGATGTATTTGAGCATGTGTCTGACCTCCTGCAGAGCGTGCTCGATGGCTACCATGTACGTCCCATGCACTGACGCAGACCACTATCTTCGCCTATGGGCAAACAGGCTCCGGCAAGACACACACACTCGAGGGCGGCTCGCACGTCGACTGGGCCGTACCGAGCACCTGGGAAGGAGACGATGTGGGTCTGATTCCCCGTGCCATGCACATGCTGTGGGCCGCTGCACAGGCACAGCAGGTGCACGGCTGGTCGTACACGTTTGAGGCGCAAATGGTCGAGGTGTATCTGGACCAGATTGCCGATCTGCTCGGCGACCATGCGCGGTGCGACGTTGTCCATATGGGCCACCACTCGCACGTAGAGCCCGCCGAGATCGTGCCCCTCGCACGACCGGACGATGTGTATCAGCTCTTGGCACGTGCTAAGAAGCGCCGGCAAGTTGCAGCGACCAAAATGAACGAGCGCTCGAGCCGGAGTCACAGCGTGTTTGCGTTGCGTGTGCGTGGCACGCAGTCCGGCGGCGAGACAAGCGATGCAACGTTGCACCTCGTCGACTTGGCTGGCTCGGAGCGTCTCGCGACGAGTGGCTCTGCAGCTGATCCGCAGCGACTGCGCGAGGCCCAGAGCATCAACAAATCGCTCAGTAGCCTCGCGGACGTGATGGCAGCGCTTGCGACGCATGCCAAGCATGTGCCGTACCGCAACTCGACGCTGACATGGCTGCTAAAGCCGTGCCTGAGCCAGGGCGCCAAGACGTACGTGTTGAACTACTCACTACAGGCTCATGCTTCTGGCCCTCTCGCCGCTGCAGGCGCACCTGGGAGAGACACTGTGTTCGCTGCGCTTCGCGACGCAAGTGCACGGCACGCATCTCGGCCCCGCGCGCACCTCACGGCAGCGCACTTCGTAGTTATGCATTCTGTGCCTCGCGCTTCGACTTTTGCGCAGCAATCTTCTCGTCGGCCTTGCGGATGTTCTCCGCGGTCTGGCGCGCCTGGTTCGACACGAAGTACTCGCGCTTCAGTCGGATGTTCTCCACGACGCGCGGCAGGTCGGCCTGGTTCGCGGGCGGCGGAATACTGAGGCTGAGCAGCGCGGAGAGCATGCCGAATGGCACGTGCAGCGCACCGCTCTCGTCCGCATCCTGCGCCCGGCCCTTGCGGCTCTTGCCCTTCTTCTTGGCGGTACCCGCAAAGTAGTCTTCCTCCTCGCTCTTCTTCGGCACTACAACAGCACCCTCGGGAACGTCGGCGCTGGGCATGCGATCAGCCGGCACGGCCGTGCTAGTTGTGGTCGAGGCCTTCTCCTCGTCGCCTTTGCCGCTGAAGTAGCGGATGAGCTGGTCGCAGTCATCAATCTCCTTGGCAAACGCGGGCAGCGCTGCTTCTTCGCGCAGCTCCTGCTCTTCCTGTACCTGGCGCGCATGCTCCGCCTCAAGACGCTCCTTCCGCTGCGCTTCCTGGCGGCGCTCCCGCTCGGCGTGCACACGCGCAAAGTACTTGTCGTTCTCCGCGTGGAACGCAGCCGCACGGTCGCGGCGCGCCTGGTACAGCTCATCGAGCTTCTTGCTCAGCGCGTTGCGCTGCGCCTGCAGCTTCGAGCGGCTGCCCACGGTCTTCTCCTGCTCCTTCGCGAGCGCGTCAAGCTCCTGCTTAATCTCGTCGTAGCGGCGGTGAGCAGCCGCCGCCTCGGGATCATCGAGCGTGCTACGCAGCTCATTGACACGCGCGCGCAGGCCATCAATCTCAGCCTGCTGGGCGCCAAACTGCTCGACAGTCTTGCGCGTGCGCTTGAGCGTGTGAATCTCGTTCAGCGCCTTGCGCTCCTCGACGATCTTCATCGACCCCGTCTCAATCTGTGCCTCGATCTGCGCGACGCGCGCGTCCAGCTCCGAGGCCGACTTGAAGGGCGCCTTCGCCTTGTCCGCCTGCAGCGCCTTGACCTTGGCAGCGATCGTGTCCTGGAGCTGCTTCATCTCGTCAAACACCTTGCCGCGCGTTCCCTTGCGTCCCGCCTGCTCGCTGCGCAGAGAGTCCAGCTCGGCACGCAGCGCCGCACGACGCTGGCCGGCGGGCGTGTTCGCCGTCGCGTCGCCCGACAGAGCTGCACGCACCTGCGCCATTTTGGCGTGCGTCTGATCGATCTCAGCCTTCAGCCGGTCCATCTCCCCATTGTGGTGCTGGGGGTCAGGGCGCCCGCCAGGCTGCTTCACAATCTCCACGGCCGGGGCCTCCTTTTGCTCTTGCGCAGTCATGCAGTCGATCAGGTGGCACCTCGAGAGCCGCGCGCTTCTTCGACTATCATCACGTGATACCTACGTGGCGCCCGCTCTAGCGCGGCGCAGCGCACGCTTCGATTGCATTTCGTGCCACTCGCCGTCGAGGCTCGCGAGTACGCTGGGTGAGTGGTGTATGCGTACCTGGCCGGCCGCTCCTCGGGGGGCGCCTCTGTAAAATAGGAATCAGATAATGCCTGCGTCGCGCTCCATCGCTGCCGCGGGTCGTACGCGAGCAGGCCACGCACCAGCGCATGCGCGCTCTGCGGCAGCTGCGCCGCGAATGCGTCGGGGGTATCGGTTGCGCCATCCTCGCGCAGCAGCGGCGTCTCACTCTGCTCTTTCTCTAGGCGCATAAGGTCGTACCATGGCAGCGCCATCACATCCGGCCACACCTGCGGCGTCAGTGGGCCCAGGACGCGGGTGATTTCGTGTAGCTGGTGGATCTCGTCGCGGCCCTGGAAGAGCGCCTGGCGCGTGAACAGCTCCACAAAAAGGCAGCCGGCGCCCCACACGTCCACCTCAGGGCCATACTGCGTGGCGCCGAGCAGGAGCTCCGGTGGACGGTACCACAGCGTGACTACCCGGTTGGTATAGTCGCCCGCTTGCCGCTTTGCGTAGGTGCGTGCCAGGCCGAAGTCGGCCAGCTTCAGTATGCCATCGTTGTTGAGCAGCAGATTCGAGCCTTTCAAGTCACGATGCAAGACTGAGCGTTGGTGCAGGTACTCGAGACCACGCAGCAGGTGCGCCACAAGTGACTTCCGGTGCGCATCGGTGAACCGCACTTGGGGGTGCACAAGAATACCATTAAGATCGTGCTCCATGTACTCAAACACCATATACACCGAGCCCGTGCGGCTCGTCATTGTCTCGTGCAAGCGGATCACATTCTCGTGCCGCAGCAGTTGAAGCAGCTTCATTTCCCGCATGGACGTCACAGGGAAGCCCTCGCGCGCAGTCTCCATACGGATCTTTTTTAGCGCCACCAGGGCGCCACTTCGCTCAGCACTTGCCTTGTAAACTTGCCCATATGTGCCCTCGCCCACCTGCGCCACAATCTCGTACGCCTCATCGACCTGCACACGGGGCGCCACATCTTGTACCACTGGAACAGGGTTCTGCTCAGGCGTGGCTACCGTCCGCGCCTCGGATGCAGCGCGCACCGACGGGGGCGGGCCCGATGGCGGGGGCCTTGGCGGGGGTCCAGGCGGGGGTCCAGGCGGAGGTCCAGGCGGTGGACCTGGCGGCATAGAAGATGGCGCCACAAAGCACTCGCTGTTCGACGCTGTCCTCGTATCGTCCACAGGCCGCCAACCACGGGCATCGTGCCGTAGACGATCCGCCGCACCCCGTACGGAAATTCCCTGTTGCTTTCGAGGTAAAATTCGGGGCTCACTGTCTCCATATCGCTCGCGGTCGTTGCGCGATGGATAGGGCCGCGGCGGCGGTTGCACGGGCGGAGGCGATGGACTTGCTCGACGGCGCTTGTGCTCATGGTCGTAGCGCTTCCGAGATCGATAGCTCCCATGTCGGTCCTCATCTGCATATGACCGATACCCCCGACTGCCTCGCGACCACGAACGCCCGCGCGCGGGCTGCCGGTCGTCCAGGGATCGCGAGGACGACGATCGGCCTCCACGGGAGCCGTACCGTCCCCAGCTGCTGTCACCAGCCATATATCTTCCAGAACGGCCATACTCATGTCGAGACCCATCCCATTCACCCCTTTCGGAGGGCGCTGGGTCTCGCTCCTGCGCTGTGTCCTGGCGCATGTCCAGGCGCCGCACTGAAACCGTTCGGCGGTTCAAGCACACGCGATCTCAGACACTCACGTGATACTGTCTGAATGTGCCTGGCTTGTCGCGGACGCACACCGTACCCATGGCGTCGAGGCCCGTAGCGCAAGGCTATGTCGGCCATGGCGCGCCTCCTCGGGAAATAATTGCCCGAGAGCCTGAAATTGAAACCAATGCACCTAATTGGAACGCTTCTAGTTCTGCAGTACCTGCCAACATGCGAGCACCTGAGGGCCTGCCTGGCCTCGTAGCGTCCAAGGTTGTGCCTCCGCCGCGGAAACGGACCAAGGCGCAGAGCTGCGACTCATGTCGGCGTCGAAAGCTCAAGTGCGACCGTGGGTGGCCCTGTGGAGCGTGCTGCGACAGAAACGAGCAGCATCTGTGCACGTGGGGAGACGGCGTCGTCCCTGAGCGCACGGGGCGCGACACGGGTGACTCGGCGGCCGTGCTAACCCGCATTAGCGTTCTTGAGTCCAAGCTCGATCTTATCCTTGAGCGCCTGGACGGCTCGCCGTCCCCCTCATGTGCCGCCCCACGCACGCCACCGGCCACTCTGACTCCCATCGCGGGAAGCTGGGACCTGCACTGTAGTGATGTGCTGGGCTGTATGGATGCAGAATCACGCCTATGGCATCAGCGAGCCGCTCTGGAGCACATGTACAAAAGCTTACCGGATCCAAACGTCTTGTCTCTACTTATGCATATATTTGTCAAGGAGATCGAGTGGATGTCGGCCGTTCTCACGGAACGGCGAGCGCAGGAGCTCTTGTCGGAGGTCGCCACTTTGCGCAACCAGATGTCTCTCGATCCCACGTACATCCAGCGACTCAGCTTGGAGCAAGTGACACACCTCATCTACGTCCTGGCCATCTGTTTCAGTATCTGCGGCATTGCGCTCCTTGCTGCCCGCGACTCGACACATCAGATTGTGATGGAAGGACGTGTGCCCTCCTCGCACATGCGGTACTTCCAGGACATGCTGGTGGGTCTGCGTACCATGGACATTCTGGGCGAGCCGAAAATGGAGTATGTCATTGCCATGTCACTTCTGATGTGTGGGCTGTGCGCGTCGCGCCCACCGGCGTCTGCCGCCACTTTGGTGAGCCAGACTGTACAAGTGGCACTCCTGTTGGGTCTGGATGAGGAGCCACCGGCCACGATGCCGCTGGAAGACGCTTCGTGCCGTGTACATCTGTTTGCGATTCTGTGCATCCATGACTGGTTTTTGACCACCTTTATCAAGCGGCGACCCCTGATCCTCTCGGACGCTAAGAGGCTGCCATCTGTGTTTGGTACAGAGATGCAGCGTGCCAAGTTCCTATCTCCTTACCACCAGATGAAGCTGCAGATCGCGCATTTGTATTGCCGCTCATCGTCGATGATGATGCCAACGGACGAAGACTATGCATACGTGCAACAGCTCCATAAAGAGGCCATGTCGCTGCAGGCACAGACGAAGCATATATGGAATGATGCCGAGAACGGCGACACGACCAATTCGGTGAAGCATTTGCACCGGTCCTTTGGTATTACATCGCTGCACTATCTCATGATCCGCATCCACCTGCCATACTACATGCGGGGCTGGGATGACGAGCGGTACCAGCTCTCGCGCGACGCTTGCTTCTCAAGTGCGCGCGCACTCCTGCGGCTCTTCCGCGATGCCTTTAGCTGGAAGATGCCCAAGAACGAGACGGGGCAATCGTGCGAGTCGTACATTCCGACCGAGTTCCCTGTGGCCTCGCGTATGTGGTACTTCTGCCACTGGTGCACTGCCGCTGCAGTGCTGCTGCTCAAACACTTGACCCTGCTCAATGAGCGGAATGAGCAGCCAAGCTGGGATCCCGAGCGCGAGAGCATTGTGCAGGACCTGTGCATCATGAGTCGCCTGCTCAACTACCTCGCACCTGTCTCGACCATTGCGCGGGAAGGTTACGATGCTATGCAGCGCGTCGCAACTCACATCATGCAGACGGACTTTGATACATCGCAAACGGGTCTGGGCAACTGCGTCACCCATTGGGCTGATCGTATCATGCCAGCGCAGTGCTCTAAGCGGTCGAAAACGGAGCCCATGATGATGCTTCGGAGCCTAGTTCGGCACAACGACTTTTCTGTATCGAATGTGCGCACAGAGCCTACACATGATACGTCCAGCTCACCGTACTCCAGCGACTCGGTGTCTCTGCCGCCCAGTGCAGCGTCGGTGCCTGTGCCAGGGTTTGACTCTGGCGACCCATCGTCACTACCCGGCATGGCCACTCCGGTGCCGGCGATGACCGCATCCGACTTTGACACTTTCTGGGCCAAATTTGCGGTGCCGCCCGTCGGCCAGCCTGTACAGGCGAATACACCGGCGAACTCATTGCCGGTACCCAGCGAGCTGCCAGCGCCGTCGTCGTTCCTACTTCCGCCTGAGAACGTTATGAATATGACTTCGGATGTATCCTCGGTCGTGCACCCAAAGGACATGCTCATGGGCAACCCTCTCAATTTCAACGTGGGCACTATCGGCCCCTTTACAGACGACTTTATTCGCTCGCTGGACGACTACGCCAAAAGCGGGCCGCACTCCACCTCCCTGCCGTTTCCCTAGTACCGTAGGACTCACCTCCACCTACGATCCTCTCGCATTGTGGCGGGGATCGGCGCGGCGATGGCGCCTACTCCGCTCGACTCTTCGCGCGCGCAGCCAGCCAGCGTGGATCTGACGCAGTCCGACTCCGATGCTGACTGGGACGATGTGCCGCTGGATCTGGCTGCGCCGCCCGCCGCGCCCAGTGACGAAGGATCCGACATGGATGACGTCGATGTAAGCGGGGCGCACAATGCGTACGCGGACCTGTACGATGCCGTGCCCGACCAAAACGAACCGGCGCCACAGGACTCGTCGCCTGCGCCGCCACTTCAAATCACTCTCGCACAACCACCCTCCAAGGCGAAACGCTCATCGACAGTGACCACTACGCCACGCGACCGAAAGAACCGACTGCTCGTTCACCAGGTGCATACCCTCGCTATCCTGGCCGCAGCGCGCGTGCGCAACCGATGGTGCAATGATCAGACGCTCCGCGATACACTGCAGGATATGGTGCCCAGCCTGCTGCTCCACAAACTACAGGCCATCCATCCCCGCCTCGAGCCGGCGCGCCGCGAGCGCGTGCGTATGTTTGAGTCATTCATGACGGAGCTGGTGAGCTGGTGGCACGCTCACTTCCATGTGCATGCCCGCATGGCGGCCGCCGCAGCATGGCGCCAGCCGTCGCAGGACTTGTGGCAGCCGGCTCCCGCTCCAGCGCATACGTGGATCGATGGCTGGTACGTCGAGACCCCGCTCGAGCGTGAGCAGAGGCACAAGCGCGAGGCTCGGTCGAAGTCGCGCGCACAAGAGATATCCATTTTTCCCACCGGTGAGCAAGCATCTGTGCCTACGTACCTGCGCCTCCTCCCACCCCCTGAGGCGGCCGCCTCGCCCAAACAGTTGTGCGCGGCGGCGCGGCGACGACTTGGCTCACGAGAGACCAAGTCCATTCTGTTCTGTGCATTGTGTCGCTCGCTCGGGATCCCGTCGCGTCTCGTGGTGAGTGTGCAAGTGGTGCCGAGCGCCGCCTCCAAAGGGCCGTTGCGTCCTCCGCCGCGAGCGGGCTCGCCCAGTGACGGCGAAGACGAGATGTATATTGAGCCTGTGGATGACAAGACCCCCCCTACCGTATGGGTGGAAGTGTACAGCCGTCCCTACCAGCACTGGATCACCGTCGACCCCGTGCGAGGCTTTGTCAAGCCCACGGGCGTGCGCCACATGGAGCCATTGCCGTCGCAGCGCCAGAACAAGCTGCTGTACATTGCCGCCTTTGAGGAGGACGGGTACGCTCGCGATGTCACCGCGCGCTATACCCGCACACTCCTAACCCGAGTCGCGCGGCTGCGCCCGTCTGTGCGGGGCCGCCCGTGGTGGGCGTCTGTGGCCCAAGCTCTCCACCGTCCTCAGAAGCTCGACCGCGATGCGATGGAGGATGTAGAGCTGGAGGACCAGACGCGTCGTGAGCCGATGCCGACGAGCGTCGGCGCGTTCAAAGACCACCCCGTGTATGTGCTGCAGCGGCACCTACTACGCGACCAGGTCGTGCATCCGCCGCACCGTGTCGGAACGTTCCAGGGCGAGCCGGTGTATTTGCGTGCGAACGTCATCAAGCTGCTCTCTGCGCGCCAGTGGTACAATCTCGGTCGTGTAGTCAAAACGAACGAGGTGCCGCTGAAATGGGCGCGACAGCGCCTATATACGACGATGAGCAAGCGCCTCGAAGAGCAGGCACGCGCGTCATCGGGCGACGAGGCGATGGAGGCCCTCTTTGCCCAATTTCAAACGGAGCTGTACGTGCCGCCCGCCGTGTGCAACGGCTATGTGCCCCGCAATGCGTTTGGCAATGTTGATCTCTTTGTTCCGTCAATGCTCCCGGCAGGCGGCACGCACATTCGGCATCCGCTCGCGGCCCGGGCTGCGAAGCAATTGGGCGTGAGCTATGCCGACGCCGTGGTGGGCTTCGAGTTTCGTCGCTTCCGGAGCTTACCAAAGATGGCAGGCGTCGTCATTCCTACTGAGAGCGCAGAGCTCGTGCAGGCCGTACGTTGTCCCTACTTACACAGGCTGTCGCTGAGATGGAAGAGACCGAGGCTCGCAACGAGGCGGCGAAGGCACAGCGCCGCGCCCTTAAAAATTGGAGCCGCTTGCTGACTGCCCTTGTTGTCTCAAGGCGCATTCAGGACGAGTACGGCGCGGCTCCATCCAATCCGGCGTCCGCCACTGACGATGGCGCTCCAAGCCCCACGAACGAGACGCGACAGCTGAGTGCACCAGACCCGACCCTTGCTCCGGTCGCCGGGGCTGTTTCCGAGGGCTCCGCGCCACCGAGCGAGCCGACAGAGAATCGCGCGCGGGTCTCTGGCCCCATTGTCTCGCTCGAGGAGATGGTGGCTGCCGAGGCCCGCGGTACATCACCGTCCCCTGTCCATGATACCCCTGCTGCTGCACCAGCAGCGGCACCGAAACGACGGCGCATTGTTATCCGGCGATCCGCGCCGAGTCCGCGGCGCAGCGCACGTCATGCTTCGCGTGTGCGACCGTCCTACGACGAATCTGATGAATGAGAGGGCTATACGGCAGGTGCCATAGTATGGTCGCGCACTTTGCGGCAAACCCAGAACACTGGGGTGTACAGATGGGAGAGCATGCTGTTGGGTATGCCGGTGTAGGTCTGCGGCTCAAGCGTGCGCTGCTCTTCCATCTCAAAGCCAAAGTGCGGGAGCAGCTCGAGCACCTCCTCGAGCGTAAGCTCGACACTCGCATCAGGGTCATGCTCAAAGTGCCATAGTAGAGGACCCGCGTTGACCCACAGGCCGCCGACTGGTAGTACTGCATTGATGACTTCGAGGTAGCGCAGGATATTTTTGGCCGTATCGATGAAAAAACACGTCGCGACTACATCCCATGCGCCGCGCTCCTCTTCCTTCGCATACACCTCGACGAACTCGCCGGCGACCATGCTAAAGTCAGTATTCTCATCGAGTACCGATGGCAGCACATCAGGTACACACACAGGTTGCAGCATGTCCGCTGATGTGTGCCAATTGCTGCCCGAGTGGATATAGGGGAAGAGCGTGTGTTCATGGACGGTCTGCGTGCAGTTCAAGAGAAAGTGTGCAGGGATGAGCATAAAATAGCTAAACTCATTGCCCTGTGTACAGTAGCCCTGCTGAGCAAAGTCAAAAGCCAGGCGACCCAGGCCTGCACCAGGTACCAACACACGGGGTGGCCGGCCTTCGCTCGGTGGCCGGCGGCGAAGGACGGCCTCGACGATCGGCTGATACACCCGCTCTCGCTCGGCCGCACCCTGGGCGCCCCAATCACGCGCCATTTGCTTGATGGCTGTGCGGACACGGTCCTGATCACGCTCTGATACCTTGTTGGTAGGACCGGAGGCGGCCTGGTGTGACTCGTCCAGGATGCCAAGGAACGAGTGGCAAAAGTGGGCCATCTGCTCCAGGACATCTGCATTGCGTCGGATACGGTCATCAATCTCATAAAGTTTGGCACGGAAGCCGCGCTGGGCAGGCTTGCCCTCCATGGGCCCAGGCACGGGGGCATGGAGCCCTTGGAGCAGCGCCTGATGTGCTTGTGGCAGTGCGTACAAGGACTGGCGGCGCGCATTGTTCATATGGAGCTGGATTAGTGGTATGGACCGTACCGAATACGGAAGATAATCGCTCCATGCCTGCAAAACGGCCTGGAAGTGTTGTTGCTCCTCGTGCCACGCCTCGTCCTGCATCGTGGCCTTAGGCCGCACGGCGATCTGTGCACAAGTGGAGGTACGGAGCCACGAGCGCTCTGCCCCTACCTCGATGTCGTCGGAAGACGTGTCGCGCAGCTCGGCGCACAGGGCCATAGTGTGTGATGAGTCGCACCCACACGAAGAGGATGTCTGGGAAGACGAGGACGAAGAGCCTAGTGGTGCGACGCCAGAAATCCATGCGGCGGCCGCGTCCGACGCAGCGGGTGCGCCCACCACCGCTGTCGAAAAGGCAGACCTGAATGACGGGCCGCGACCGCCACCGGCCACATCGCTTTCCGAAAAGGCGAAGGAATTGGATCCAGATCCTGCATGTGTGCCTTCGACGCCTACACCACAGCCAAACCCGACAGAGCAGACCTCTCCCCCCAGCCCACGGCCCATACCCACACATCGCCGACACGCGTCACAGCCCTCGACGGCGCACCCTCTTCCCAAACTCTCGCCAGCAGAAGAGCCGAAAGGTGCACCTGCACCGCTCTGGGAGCGCTGTGGCCGTACCCTATACACGGTTCTCGTGTTGCTAGGTGTGTCAGCTCCGCCGGACTTTGCCGACGCGGATGCCCCGGCGCCGCGACGCCGCGCACGACCGACGCGGCGCGTTGCGGTCATGTCACTCTGGGACCACCTACTTGATGAGGTGCTGAGCAGCAGCAGTGAGAGTACGCAGGAGCTCAAGTGGGAGCGGGTCTCCAACTTTATGTCCGTGCCGATCTGGATCGAAAAGTTGGTCACATTCGGCATACTTGTGTGCCTCAATTCGTTTCTATATACCCTGACGATCTTGCCGCTCCGCTTCCTGGTCGCGTGGACCCGGTGGGCGTACAATGCGCTCGAATGGGTGCGTGCTGGGCGGAAGCGGTACTTGAATGTATCGAACAAGTGTGACATCCTCCAGGGTCTCTTGGTGATCCAGACGTGCTATCTCCTCTCGCGCATTGCCGACGCCAGCAAGATGTACCACAGCGTGCGTGGACAGGACGTGGTCAAGCTGTCGGTGATTTTCAGCGTACTAGAGATCAGTGATCGGCTGTGTGCCTCATTTGGCCAGGACGTGCTGGACTCGCTATTCTCGCGCCGGACTCTGGCGCGCCGCAGCAATGGCTCCCAGCCGTACGTGCGGATGCTAGGCTACTATGTGCTTTCGCTTGCATACATTGTGTTCCATACGTTTGTGCTGCTGTACGAACTGGTCACGCTCAATGTGGCGATCAACAGCTACGACAATGCGCTGCTGACGCTGCTCTTATCGAACCAGTTTGTGGAGATCAAGACGACAGTGTTTAAGCGCTTCGAGAAAGAGAACCTGTTTCAGCTGACGTGTGCGGACATTGTGGAGCGCTTCCAGCTGAGCGTTCTGCTCGCAGCCATTGGCGTTCGCAATCTCATTGAGGTCGCCGGTGCGAGTTCCATGAGTGGCAGCGGTACGCTGGGCCCGCTGCCGACTAGTTTCGACCTATACCCCTATGTGAACGTGGTGTTCCGCACGATCAACCCAGTGCTCACCGTGCTCCTCAGCGAGGTGCTCGTCGACTGGCTGAAGCATGCCTTTATTACAAAGCAGAATCACATCCGACCTGCTGTGTACGGCCGCTACATGGATGTGCTGTGCCGCGACCTGCTGCCGCCCCAGGCAGCCACGGCCATGGACGGCCATGAGCAGCGCCAGTCGTCGCTGGTGGACCAAACGCCGCTCGCGACGCGGCGCCTCGGCCTAGCGGTGCTGCCGCTCGTTTGTGTCACGGTGCGCCTGGCTTTCCAAATTGTGGACATGCTACTACCCTCGAGGGACGAACTGGACCTTGTCACATCGCAGCGCGTGTTGGATCAGGTGGTGTTTGCAGCGACCGCATGCCTCGTGGTCATCGCGTCATGGATCGCCTTGGTCGTACTAAAAATCCTGCTGGGCGTGCATCTCGTAAACTTCGCGACAAAGCGCTACGCGACCCGCCATGAGCGCGAGCGCGAGGACCAGCGCAATGCGCGAGGCCGCCCTCCGATCGGCGAGATGCCGGCCCAGGCAGCGTACGAGGCGCAGATTCCGCAGATGGTGGATGCAAAAGAGGACGACGCCCCATCTGTGGATCTGTACGGACACCCGGTGGCGCCGGGTCGGCCTAGCAAGAAGGACATAAGCTTACTGGATGTGCAGCGCTACACGTTCGTCGGCTCGCGCCTATGGTAGTGCTACTTGGTTTTGCGTGCCTTCCTGGCTGGCCGGCGAGGCATGCGCTGAGGGCGGCCGAGCCTGCGCACGACAACCGGCACAAGCAGACATACGAAGAGAAGCGCAGCACCCACGGCTTTGGCCTCACGAAGCGGCAGATACGGCACGTTCTTGACGCTGTGCAGATCGAGCTTCCGCGCCGCTTGGAGCCAGAGTGCAAGGCGGGGAGCAGGCCGAGGAAGCCATGGGAAGCGCGCTTCAACGTCGCCACTCGTGAGCAGCGTCATGACGAGGGCCACCAGAGCGCCGCCCCATAGGTCGGCGTACATGAGCAACGAGGCATCCCTGAGCCAGGGCGGCGTAAGGAGCTGCCAGTGCCCTTGCGGCGAATGCAGCTGGAACGTGGCCGCAATGAGAGGGACGCCACCACTAATGAGTGCACCAGCGAGGATCTGGACGAGGAGCGACTTGGCTACGAGTGGGTTCGAGTGTTGCCGGATCAGTGTGTTGCCCATATTCGCGATGGCCTCGGAACGGCAGATGGCGTCGATCGCCGCGACGACGAGGTCGATCACGAGGCCTGTGCTAGCACTCGTGTGCAGGCGCACAAGCGCGAGACCCAGGCCGGTCGACTCCAGCACAAGATGCACGCTCGAGTACAGTACGATGGCCACGGGCGAAAGGAGGATGGGCGCAGGGAGACCGAGGAGCATGGCTAGTGTGGGTCACATGTACATACCTAGGAGTGTCGACGATCCGAATAGCACAATCATGTTAAGCACAAGGCTTTGGAAGAGCCCTAGCTGCGCGCGCGCGGCGCCACTGAGCATGCGCGTGGCATGGCTAATGCGCACCGCATGCACGAGAGAGAGAACAGCCACGGGGATCTGAGTGAGCCATGCCAGCGTACGTAGACCGGATGGATGTGCTGCTTCCACACGAGCTCCTGCCAATCGGCGACCGTCGCAAGGATGTACAAGGAAAAGATGGGGTCGTCCTCAGGGCGCATGACGCTGAGCACGGAGCACGGACGTGAGGCGGCGGCGCCCATGGCTGACTAAGCTCCACCACATTTTTTTCAGGCGAGCGCGCTGCCCGACTAGTGACGCTATGGGCCGCAGCGACGTGCGTCGTGGCAAGGGCGCAAGGCCGGCGGCGAAGCAGGCTGCTCCGCCGAAGGAGAGTCAAGACAAGCCTATCACGGAATTGCACATCAGCAATGACCTGGACGACGAAGAAGCACTGCATGAAGGCGAGGACGAGGCGGGTATTTCGCAACAGGGCCTGGAGCGCATGATGCGCGCACTCGGCGAGGATGGCCTGAGTGAGATGGACCTGGCAATGTTGGAGCAGCTCCGTGCTGAGCGAGGTGATGAGGAGGACGACGACGACGATGATGAAGAGGAGGAGAAGGAAGAGGAGGACCTCGTTGATGATACGGAAGAGGCGGAAGACGGGGAGGACGAAGTCGATGACCTCATTGACGACGAGGCGGAGGATGAGGAAGAGGACAAAGAGGATGACGACCTCATTGATGACGAGGCTGAAGAGACGGAAGATGAGGACGACGAAGACGGAGACCTTCTTGATGACGAGGCTGGAGAGGCGGGGAGTGAGGATGAGGAAGACGAGGACAAAGATACGACCAACGAATCCTCACATGCAAATGCACCCAAAGACTCGCTTGCGGCCAGTATTCTCCGCAGTGGGCTAGTGCCCGACGAGGAGGAGGACGAGGACGACGAGGAGGACGAAGAGGACGAGAACGATGATGCGGAAGAGGACGCGGAACCGGTTGAGATGGATGCTGTGCCGTCAGGGACGCAGTTGACTGAGAAGGAGCTGGCATCGCGCCACCACCGCATCCGCATCAACCACACTGACGCGCTGGAACGTGTGTACGATGATTTCCGTCTCGACGCGCCGTCGGCGCAAGGCAAGATGCCGTGGATCGAGACCATGTCACTGACACACGACAAGATACTTGCAGATGAGGTCCCCGACGTGCAGAATGACTTGGACCGCGAGCTGGCGTTTTACCGGCAGGCACTGGCGGCCGCCGTGCAGGGCCGCCAGCGAGTACTGGAAGCCGGCGTGCCGTTCAGCCGCCCAAGCGACTACTTTGCCGAGATGCTCAAGACCGACGAGCACATGGAGCGTGTGCGCCAGCGCCTGCTTGACGAGAGTGCGAGTATCAAGGCGTCGGAGGACGCCAAGCGGCAGCGTGAGCTCAAGAAGTATGGCAAGAAAATACAAACGGAGAAGCTACTGGAGCGCCAGCGCAGCAAGAAGGAGATGGAAGACAAGGTCCAAGCGCTCAAACGCAAGCGGTCGTCGGGCTTTGAGCTGGACGACGACGAGTTTGATGTGCAGCTCGAAGAGGCCCTTGGCGAGCGCAAGGCCGGGGCACGGCAGCCGCGCGGCAAGATGAGCCGCCAGAGCCGCGATGCCAAGTATGGCTTCGGCGGCAAGAAGCGGCACCAAAAGTCCAACACGGCCGAAAGTACCGATGCATGGGGCGGCGCGCGGCGCAAGCCCGGGCCGGCGCATGGCAAGGCGAAGAAGGCCCAGCGCCCCGGCAAGTCCAAGCGCGCGGCGCGGCGCTAGTTCGTAGATTAGGCATCCTCATCGTCCGATGGTGCGTGCGTGGCCGCCGACTCGTCCTGCTCGCTGCGGCGCTTGCGTTCCTGCGCCTCGATGGAGCGCTCAAGACGGTCCATGTCGTCGTCCGATGCTTCGGCATCCTCGTCCTCTTCCTCGTCGTGAACGATAAAGCCATCGTCCGCCTCGTCGACATCGTCGTGAGTCGCGCCAGGCGCCTCGTCCTCGTCGTCAGACCACTCGGTCATGGACGTGCGTGAGACGCGGTGGCGCGAGCCGCTGCGGCGCATGTTCAGGTCAAGATCCATGTCATAGTCGTTGGACGCGCGCAGTTGCTTCATACGCTCGCGGTGCCGCTTCTTCTCCGAGTCCTTAAGAGCGCGCTCGATGCGCTCCTTCTCGCGCTCAGGATCCAGGGCGCCAAAGGTCTCGGACGTCGCAACAACGCGCGCACCACGCTGGTGGCGGATCGCGCTCGCGATCTTTTGGTGCGTGTCCGAGTGCAGACTAGGCTTGAACGAGAGCGACGTGCGCACGGCGCACTCGGCCTCCAGGACACCCTCCCGCGGGTGCGGCACAAATAGGTAGGAAAGAGGCACACCCTGCACGTTCGGCTCTGCGTGGCGCGACATGTCGAGGAACTCTGAGCCGATCTGCAGCGACTCGGAGCCGTCGCTCCAGCGCACAATTCGCGTGTTGCTCTGGGGCGTCCGCCCGTCCCCGCTCTGGCGCCAGCGCCAGCGCACCGTGGACATGGTGCGAAGGATACTGCGGGCGTCCTTGTCTCCCAGCCTGTTCTCGCTGCCCAGCAGCGCATCCTCCTCGTCTTCGTCCCATGTCGCCGTGTCAAAAGGCCGGTCACAGTAGCGCACAAAGTTGGGCAGGCGCGCAAGCATCGTCTCTTTGGTGCGGCGCAACGGCAGCTGCGGCAAATTGATCCATGCAGTCTGCTCCTGCACGGTGGGCGGCGGCACGCCCTCGTCATCCTCCAGGTACTCGAGTGCCGCTTTAGACGCGGGGTCCTCGTGCTCAGAGCCATCGCCCGCACTGGATTCGGCTGCCGGGGACACCTCGCGAGCCTCTGGTGGCTCGTGTTGCACACGCTCGACGTCGACGTCGTCGGCGAATAGGTCGTCTACTCCATGGCCCACGCCCTCCGTCGCGGACATCGTCGCCCGCACCAGCGCCGTGCGCCGCGGCCGAGACGGCGGTGTGAACGTGTCACGTGAGATGGACGGCGTGGCTCGTCCATGCGGCCACAGCGTTCGAGAGGCGCCATGACACAGCAGCTCGAGGCGGCGGGCGAGGCCCCTGTGCCCACCGCGCGTCTGTATGACCGGCGCACACTGCTACAATTATCTCAGAGCGAACATGTGCATGTGCCAGAAGGCATGGCCTCTTTCGATGAGTGGTATGGGTACGTGCCGCGCTACTCACCACAGACCCTGGCGGCCGTATACGCCGCGGCCGCACCCGCCCATGATGGGTGGGCGCCGTGACGGTGTTGCAGATGGTACAGGCATGGGCACGCTTTTCTCTCGGCGCGACGGGCGTGGAGGACGTCGCGCGCTGCAGGACGGCGCCAAAGGTGCGAACGCTCCGGCGGGCGTGGCGCTAGGTCCCCGCGCCCGTCCGACTGGCAAAGGCCGCAGCGATAAGGACGCAGATGATGGACGGACGTGGCGTCGTGTAGACGACGCGGTGCCTCGCGGCACCAATGGTGTCCCTGCATGGATGGCCGACGACCCGGCGGCCTCGCGCCCCGTGGGCGGCGTCGAAACGATCGAGGCGTTCAAGGCGCAGATGCGCGAGATGGAGCGCCGCGAGCGTGGCGAGCCGCTGCCACCTGCCGCTCCACCCCGCGCGGAGGCTGCACAGCCCGTCGAGCCAGACACAGAGACGGAGGAGACGGAGACGTCGAGTCGGTTTGCCCGCTTCTTTGACACAAAGAGCGACAGCAAAGCCGCTAACAGTGCGCCGTCGTCGCAGAAAGTCGGGGGACTGGACCTGTTTGGCATGTTCCAGACCATTCAGAAGCGCGAATCCCCGTCAGGCAGTGCGGCCGAGTCGCCCGCCGCACATACGGCGCCTGGCACGCCGACCGAGCCTCGGGCGGTGCCTACGGCGCCAATGGTGCGGCCATCGGCATCGCCGCCGGTGCGACCGGCTCCGGCCCCGCCGTCCAATGCGCCGGTAGATGGTCTACCTAAGCCGAGCGCGGCTGATATGGCCTCGATGCAGATGCTCATGGCCAAGTTGATGGGTCGCCCTGCTGCACCGCCCGCAGCGCCCGCTGTGCCTACCGCGCCGCTCGAGGCGCCGCCGGGCCTGGGCGCACGGCCGCCCGCGCCTCCGATGGGGCTGTACCCCCGACGCATGCCGAGGCCTGCCCCGCCCGGAGCGCCTATGAGCCAGATGGACTTTTTGCAGTCATTGCTGCGGACGTCGGCGCCAGGCACGCCTGGTGCGGCCGGCGCGCCGCCGCCGCCGCCTGGATTGTACCCGGCACAGCCGCCGTCATGGCCGCAAGGCCCGCCGTATGCGGGCATGCCGGTGCCGCCAGGCCTTCCTATGCGAATGGGCGCGCCGCCGGGGCTCGGGGGCGACGCGCATGGTGCGGGCAGTGGCTGGCGGCCACCGCCGGGACGGCCGCCTTCGTAGAAGTAGGAGGAATACATGGCATGACTCTATGCAGGAGGAGGGTCGGTACTATTCGTAGACGACGTAGCCGCGCTGCGTCCCGCGCCAGATAGGGGTGGACCCAAGGGAGGGAGCACCATGTGGTGCGCATCGTGTGCATCGTCCGGCAGCAAGGTGCGACTCGAAAGACGGCCCATGCGTGGACGCGATGGAGGCAAAATCAGGTCGCCGTCGCGTCCGCTAGCCGGTGGCATCGGCCTTCCGTACGGAGTGGGCATCGTGCTCAGGCGCGGTGAGCCAGGGGGAGTGCTGGCCGCACTCGTGGGGGCCGAGCGCGTCGAGAGTGCATGGGACAGTTGCATGCGCGCGGAGAGCGAGTGCGGCTCGTACCGCGGACGGGGCGTGCGCATCGCGCGGACATGCAGTAGGGACGACGGCGACATGGGCTTAGCCTCCGAAGTCCCCGGGTCCTCGTGCGCATCGGGTGCCGTGCTGCGCTCGCCCGACATGCTAGACGGCATCGACGACATGCTAAGCGGCGTATAGTGAAAGTGCCCGCGCGAGCGGTTAAGCGGGTCCGTGTACGGATGGGAGCGGTAGCGCACTGCGCCATGGTGGCCGGCGCCGGCGTAGTGGCTTGGGCCCTCGGTGTGCATGGACGACAGCGACCCATGCGACCCGACGCGCAAGAGCTCGCCGGACGTGCGCGGTGCGGACGGTGGCGCGGGACGAGCATGCACCGGCGAGCTCGCACGCGACGATAGCGGGCTGTTGGGCGCCGTGAAGAGCGACATATTACGCAGGGGATCGAGCACGGGGCTCCCGCTCGGCGTCGCATAGTTGCTTCGGGGGTGCACCGGACGCATCACAGGGCGCGCGTCGTCATAGTATGCGTCAGGCTCGTGCACACCGTCGTCCCATGCGCGCATGGGCGGTGGGCCGGGCGACACTTCGCGGCTGCCCGGATGGCTGGCGTAGCGGTACGCGGAGGGAGTATAATAGTACGCATCACGGTCGTAGCGCATATCACGGTACCGATCGCCCACCGGATGCGCGGGCACGTACTCTCCGTAGCGGTACCGCGCATCCTCGTAGTGCGGGTACACTGGCACATGTGTCTCGTACGCATGCGGGCCATGGGCGTATCGGTCGTCGTCGGGGTATTCGTACTTGGCGTGCGCGGGATCACGCACCATGTACCGCGAACGGGACACCATTTCCTGGCGGTGGATCTCGTCCAGCTCGCCCGTGGCAAGTGTCGCAAGGGCCGACATTTCCGTTTTGGGGGCCACCGGCGCCTCGTGTGGCGGTAGCTCCGTGTCAGAGGCAGCCTGCGCGTCGTGCGACTGCCATGCCGCCCTGTCGGCGGCGTCCTGCGAAGGGCGTCCGCGGCCGGATGCCGCTACTCCGCGCCCGCGCGGAGCGCCTCGCATACGACGGCGGCCCGCCGTGCCTTTGCGCGCATCGTCGGTGGGGGTGGCGTCGCTGGAACGTCGTGCATTGGAGTGAATGCGCAAGTGGCGCGTAAGCTCATCACTGCGACTAAAGCGCTTATCGCATCCGGGGTGTGTGCATACGTGCGGCTTCTCGCCCGTGTGCGTGCGAATATGGCGGGTCTGGTGCTCCAGGCGGTAAAAAGCCCGGGCACAAAGCGGGCACTTATAGGGCCGCGGAATCTGTGACTTATCGACAGCAAGAGAATTAGCTTGAGGGGCTGCCTCCGTCATCGCGGCGCCTTCGGGGTCCGGATCTACCATAGGAAGCCACACGCGCAAAAGGGGCGGGGGGGGCGACGGGGGGTGGGGAAACAGCAATTTGTAAAGCCGTGCAAAATCCTCACGCTCCACGCACGAAAAGACGGCCCTGTGCAGGGGGCCCCCGCATCTTCCTCGCGCCGCCCTCGGCCGCAGTGGAGGACGCGGCCCCGCTTCTCCGACGGCCCGCACGTTCGGCCGACGCTCACGTGGCGTCCCATCGGCGTGGCACCCGGCGCGGGCCGTCGCTGCGGACGCCACGCTTGGGCCAAGTGCAAAGCCGACGGCTTCTTATCTTTCCGTGGACCACGACCTAGACAAGATGGAGCCGCGTCAACTGGAGAAGGAGACCTCCTTCGTCAGTACGTACATCCGCGGCTACTGACATACAGTTTTGGGTGCCTCCGGCGATCTTGCGAAAAAAAAGGTTCGTCGTCTCGCCACTTATAGCAGACGTTTCCCGCACTGTTTCGCCTGTTTGTCCACGGTGATCTACCTAAAGACACGCTGATGATGGGTTATGCCCGCTCAAATATGACGCAGGAGGAGTTCCACGAGCGCATCTCTGGCCACTTCAAAGGCACTGACGAGCAGAAGCAGGCATTTTTGCAGCGCTGCCGCTACATGGCCGGCCAGTACGACGACGATGAGGCATTTGCCAAGCTGAACGATGCCCTGACAAAGTGGGAGGATGAGCGTGGCGGTGGTCAGCGCAACCGCGTGTTCTACTTTGCGCTGCCGCCGAACGTGTTCGTCCCCGTGTCGCACCACCTGCGAAAGACGTGCTACGCCGATGACGGTATCAACCGTGTGGTTGTGGAAAAGCCATTCGGCAAGGACCTCGAAACCTGCAGCCATATGCTGAAGGAAATGCAGAGTATGTGGACCGAGGCAGAGACGTTCCGTATCGACCACTACCTCGGCAAGGAGATGGTCAAGAACATTATCCCGCTCCGTTTCGGCAATCCCGTTGTGGAGCATACGCTCAACAAGTATATGGTCGACAATGTACAGATTACGTTCAAGGAGCCGTTCGGCACCGAGGGCCGGGGTGGCTACTTTGATGACTTCGGCATCATCCGCGATATTCAGCAGAACCATCTTTGTCAGGTATTCTCGCTCATCGCGATGGAAGAGCCTGAGTCGTTCACGCCCGAGGCCATTCGCGATGCCAAGGTGAACCTCTTGCGCTCCGTGAAACCCATTTCCGCCGACGATGTGCTGTTGGGCCAGTATGTCGCACACAACGGCAAGCCTGGTTACAAAGATGATGAGACTGTGCCGAAGGATAGCAATACGCCGACATTTGCCGCGGTCGTTCTACACGTCGACAACGATCGCTGGCGCGATGTGCCGTTTATCATGAAGGCCGGCAAGGCGCTCGACGAAAGCAAGGTCGAGATTCGCGTCCAGTACCGCGATCTCGAGCACGACATTCACAATATTGAGCGTAACGAGCTTGTGATTCGCATTCAGCCGGGCGAGGCACTGTACTTTATCATGAATACCAAGGTGCCTGGCCACGCGAGCGAGACTGTGCCTGTGGAGTTGGATCTCACGTACAAGCACCGTTTCCAGGACGCCTATATCCCGGAGGCCTACGAAGCTCTGATCCTTGACTGCCTGCGTGACGAACACTCGAACTTCGTGCGTGATGACGAGCTGGAGGCTAGCTGGTCCATCTTCACGCCCATCCTTCATGCCATTGACGCAGGAGAACTGCCGTGCGAGCCTTACAAGTATGGCTCGCGTGGCCCTGAGCAGCTCAACGATTTTATCGAGAAGTTCGGCTACAAACCCAAGAAAAATTATGAGTGGCCCGAGACCAATGTAAAGGAGCTATGCTCCAAAGAGTAGGCAGCTTATAGTCTAGTAGTCGTTGTTCTCTACAAAATCACTACAGCGAAGCCTTCAGGCCCTCCGAGTAGCGCGACTCAGCCTCGCTCCAGTTCACAACGTTCCACCACTGCTTCAGGTACGAAGCCTTGTCGTTCTTGTACTGCAGGTACCAGGCGTGCTCCCAGCCGTCCCAGCCGATGATAGGGTGATGGGTCGTAAGCGTGTCCTGGTCCTTGGCGACCACAAGGTCCAGGCTGCCGGTCTTCGACAGGCCGAGCCAGCACCAGCCAGAGCCCTGGATGCCAAGCGCCTTGGCCGTGAAAGCGGCCTTGAACTTCTCAAAGTCGCCAAATTCCTTGTCAATGGCCTGCTTGAGGGGGCCGTCGTTAAGCTGGCCACCACCCTGGCTCTGAGGAGCCATGGTCTTCCAAAACAGAGCGTGGTTAACGTGACCACCACCATTGAACTTGACAGCGGTCAGCAGCTCCATCTGCTTGAGCACGTCCTGAGCCTGGACTGCGTCGTTGTAGGCCTTCGTGGACGCGTTCAGGTTGTTCACATACGTCTGATGGTGCTTACCGTGGTGCACCATCATGATATCAGCCGAAATGAACGGCTCAAGAGCGTTGTACTCGTAAGGCAGAGGAGGAAGAGTGTGTTCAGCTAGACGTCAGTTGTTGCCACACGTACTCATTGTAGTAGTTGGACAAGGCATCGGTCCCGATGGGCGTCCGTGGCCCCTGCGGCTACCGGGCCGCATGACGTGGTGGCGGCTACAGCCAATCCAACCTAGGCAAATTATTCATCAAGTCACATGCGCTCTGACCGTCACTCCGCCGTGTCCGAAATCGACGTCTGTGCGTCATCGATACCCTCGTCAGCCTCGTCACTGTCATAGTCGCTGTCTTGAACCACTTCGTATCCTTCCTCCGAATCAGAAAGTGTGTTATCTACCTCCGCATCATCCCCATCCTCCTCCTCACTCTCACTCGGTAAGTTGGCCCCGTGGCCACGCCGCGCACGTGCCGCCATAAGCGCCTGGAGCCGCTCCTGTCGCTGGTTCCTAGAGCTCTCCGTCCTCGTCGAAGGACGGGTTGGCTCTTTCTCTGTCGCAGTTCGTTTTTTCGGAGGCGAGACGGACACAATTCCAGAGTCAGAGGAGGCTTCGCTCACATGCTCTTCGTCACCCACGACAAAATCATCGAGCGAGCCTGCATCCTCCTCCTGGCTTGAGGCGGATCCACCCTCTGATGTATCTTGCAGATTTACACCGCGGAAATGGCCCTCTTCGTCGTCACTGAGGTTCTCATACACAATTCCACTGCCGTGAGCCATCATAGCGTACCACTCAGGATTGGTGCATTGCCCTTCGAGAATTTCACTGGAGCACATGCCACACCGCAGCACGTCATCGTCTTGGTCTCGGATGACATGATAGAACGTAGATGGATCAAACAAGCCTGGCGTAAGTAAGGTGGCACACACCGTCCCAAAGGGATGTTTGGATCTCTGGAGTTTCGAGTGTGTGTCCGTAGTGCTCCCGAACGGCCTGCAGCACGCCCTTGAGTGCCCATAGCTCTAGCGGAGGAGTTACAACCTGGGCCCGGCAACTGGGACACACTTTCTTTCGTCTAGCATTGCGTGAGGTATGAGCAACCTCTTCTGCAACAGAAAACCATGAAACGAGACACTCTGCGCAGAAAATATGCCCGCACGGAGATAACCTGTCATCAGTTACACGAAACATACGCGCAGGGTCGATCATATAGCTCCATGCAGACTCCACATAGCAGTCCCTGTTCGATTGTCTTAAGCGTCACTGAAGCATCTTTATGTTGCACAGCAGGTGCGCCGTCCTCTGGCGCATGTTCAAGCCGCGGGCGCTTGTGCATCTCGGCAAGACTGCCGCGCATACCGAGCGTGACGCGCACCTCGCCTCGACGCCGGGTTCCGGTCACGTGATTTTCCGCAGCCGTCGCAACAACCAGGCGGGTGGTGCGTCTTCGCCTCGCTAACGTCGACGACCATGGAGAACGAAGAGTATGTGTAGCAGGCGGAGTGTACAGGGACTGTGTTCCTGTACTCTCCTTAAGGGCCCATCTAACACGAGCAGTCTTATTGATTACGAGGAGGAGGTGTCCGTGCCTACCTCGAACACTGCCCCCGCAGACTCCAAGGCTGCAACTAGCGCCCCAGCGGGTGATGCCGACGAAGGCAAGAAGGTGCGTGTTGCAATTTTCTTACAAACAAGGGAAGCTACGTGGGTATTCATTCTACGGGTTTCCGTGACTTTCTGCTGAAGCCTGAGCTGCTGCGTGCCATTAGTGATCTGGGCTTTGAGCACCCGTCGGAAGTGCAGCAGGAGTGCATTCCGCAGTCGATTCTCGGTATGGACGTTGTGTGTCAAGCCAAGTCTGGTATGGGTAAGACCGCTGTGTTCGTACTTGCGACACTGCAGCAGCTCGAGCCCGTCGATGGCGAGGTGTCTGTGATTGTCCTCTGCCATACACGCGAGCTGGCGTACCAGATCCGTAACGAATACGCCCGCTTTACCAAGTACATGCCCGAGGTGCGCACCTCGGTCGTGTACGGTGGTACGCCGATCAAGGAGGACCAGGCTATGCTTGCCGACAAGGCCAAGTGCCCCCACATCCTTGTTGGCACTCCTGGCCGTATGAACGGTCTGGTGCGGGACAAGTCGCTCAAGGCGGGTGAAGTGAAACACTTTGTCTTGGATGAGTGCGATAAAATGTTGGATAACCTTGAGATGCGCCGCGATGTGCAGGAGATCTTCCGTGCTACGCCTCATCACAAGCAGGTCATGATGTTCAGTGCGACGCTCGCGAAGGAAATTCGCCCTACCTGCAAGAAGTTCATGCAGAACCCTCTGGAGATCTACGTGGACGACGAGACCAAGCTTACTCTCCATGGTCTGCAGCAATACTATGTGCGTCTGGAGGAGGCCGCGAAGAACCGCAAGCTCAACGACCTGCTCGACACGCTCGAGTTCAACCAGGTAATTATTTTCGTCAAGTCGATCTCGCGCGCAAACCAGTTGGACCAGCTGTTGCGTGAGTGCAACTTCCCCTCGATTTGCATTCACGGTGGCCTTCCACAGGACGAGCGCATTAAGCGCTACCAGCAGTTCAAGAACTTTGAAAAGCGTATCCTCGTTGCTACGGATATCTTCGGCCGTGGTATCGATGTGGAGCGTGTGAACGTGTCGATCAGCTACGACACACCGTCCGATGCGGACTCGTACTTGCACCGTGTTGGTCGTGCGGGTCGTTTCGGTACGAAGGGTCTTGCCATCACGTTCGTTTCAAGCGACGAGGATGCCGAGGTGCTCAAGCAGATCCAGAGCCGCTTCGAGGTGGCCGTACCTGAGCTGCCCGACACCATCGAGGCTAGCACGTACATGAACGCGTAGAGGCGTAACTAGATCCTGTAGTGTAATGATCCATTTAGGTGGAGGATCGCGAAGAACCACCTCCATGAGCGGCCCCGATTTGTCGGCGCCCAAGAACGCCGACTTCCAGACTGTAGAATATTGGGACAAGCGGTATGCATCGGAAGCGCCTGATGCCGACTTCGACTGGTTCCGCAAGGTACGTTGACATCGTTCACTAACCGAACAGTACAGTGACATTCGGTAGGTGACACGACAGTTTCTCATGGACCAGCGACATTATCAATGAGCTAGTACCAGACCGCTCTAGTCGGATTCTTATGCTCGGCTGTGGAAATTCGAGTACGTACCACACACTGACGAAAGCGCTCAGCAAGGACATGCTGGACGACGGCTATACCCACATTCTAAGTGCGTGGGAACTTGCTCTGGAGAGAGCTAACCGCAGACCTTGATTACAGCGCCATCTTGATTGAAAAAATGCAGCAGCGTGTGCCGGAGCTCGATTGGCGCGTCATGGATATCCGGGAACTCTCTGAGCACGCAGACGAGTTGGGTGGTCCAGGCACATGGGATGTGATCATCGACAAAGGTAGGGACGTCGGTGCTGACGTCAGGCACGATGGATGCCCTCATGGCGGAGAATGGATCCGTGTGGAACCCAAGCGAGCAAGTGTTGAACAATGTGGCGCGCGAAGTGGATGGCGTGATGCAGTGCGTGGGATAGAACTGACTCAGTCTCTTGAGGCCTGCTACGGGACTGTTTCTCTACTTCACCTTTGGCCAGCCCCACTTCCGACGCCCGCACATGCAGCGAGACGCCTGGACCATTGAAACACGAGAGTTGGGTGACATGTTTCATTACTACTTGTACATCTGCCGCAAGCACTAAAGTCAATGGTCTCGCTCATGACGTCGAGAATACGTGCGGTGTCGATCATCGTACCGACGTGAGTGGGAAGAGGCGTCTTGGTCTGAATAGCGAGAGTGGTCACTGTAATGTCGCGACGAACGGTAGGCTTCGCCATGACGATCTGACGACCTGTGCCTGTCATTTCGGTGTTCAGAGCGAGAAACTTCATTTCTAGGGTGATCGGTAGACTCTCTCGCAGAGCCTGAACGTGACACAACAGGAACATACCGTTGGTCGTTTGGCTTTCGCGACGAGAAAGACGGGGGGGCGCGTTCCTTGGCGCCTAAACCAAGTAAGGCCGCACGGCGCTGTACCATAGGTGCGTGGATGGGGCCCTTTTGATCACGACCAATGCCTGACCCATCTTTCCATCCCATGCCTCGAAGCATAGCGGCTCCGAATTCTTCCACTGGCATGGTTGTATAGTCTTGTAGCGTAGGCTCATCAGGGCGCGAGTCCACATCGTGGTGAAACATTTCTTCTTCGGAAGGCTGCTCAATAATAAGCTTCGATTGACCCAGACGATTCGTTGGTTCATTGGACAAAAGCGCGCGAATGGCGTCGTCGTCCGATGGAGGCACAGCTGAAGTTTGCGAGGAAGTAGTGTCTTGTTCGCCCGTGTCGATAGCAGGAGGAGTAACATCTCCTGAAGTGATAATGCTTCGAGGAGGTGTGTTTTCTCTTTCAAGGTTTCGTGACTGACTAGTAGGTATAATTAAAAGCCCTTGCTTCTGCGGCTCATCAAAGGCTCGCTCGGGGCCATGGGGTTCCGAATGTAACGTCGACGGTGATCCTTGTCGGACGGCATGGTTATCTAAGATACCAAGTCTCCGCTTCCTTTCCTCACGCCAATCTGTTCCAGATGAAAGAGGTATCACTTTAGGCGTGGGCGCCGCGGGCACTTCACGTTTCCTCTTACCACCCAAGGGTATATCCGATGAGGCCGCCGTGTCAGGTTCATCAGCATCTGCATCAATCAAGATTCGACTTTTTGCTTGATTAGACTTGGTTTGGACATGTTTTAAGGAAAACGAAATTGAGGTCCGAGGAGTAACCCCCTTGTCACCCATGCTGCAGTGCTCAACCCTGGTGTGTGCTGCATTTTGCCTCACTGACCACTAGCTTATGTAACAACCTCCGCATTAAGCGGCGGTGACACCCTACCTGGCAACGTTCCTTCAACTAGTCGGTTATTTGGAGATGATGCATTATCTGGGTGCATTGACCCTCCTTTTCCTTTCATTGACAGTGTATGTCAATGCTGCCACGTTCAAGTAAGTATTTTGAGCTAGAATTAACTCCCAGGACCAAGCTATCTAAGCTACCCCACGCCAAAGAACGTACTCTGTCCTCGGTGATCTCGCAGAGTGAATTCTTGGGTTATAAATATGGTGTCTCATCTAAACAGCGCCCATTTTCTCTGTTTCGTGATGCCGAAGGTGACTTGCGTGTTCTCAGTGGCGAGGCTGGATTGAGCTCGGAAAAATGGCTCGCCACTGCCCGGGCTGGCCATAATGTGCCCCTGACTGACTTCCTGAATGCCCAGTACTTCGCCGATATCGAACTCGGAACACCACCTCAGAAGTTCAAAGTGATTCTCGACACCGGCTCGGCCAATCTGTGGGTCCCCTCGGAGAAGTGCACGTCCATTGCTTGCTTCCTGCACAAGAAGTACGATAACACGCTTTCTAGCACATACAAGCCCAATGGTTCATCGTTTGAGATCCAGTACGGCTCGGGAAGCATGGAAGGCTTTGTTTCGCGCGACCATCTGACGATCGGCGACCTTAAAATTCAAGACCAAGACTTTGCTGAGGCAACCACGGAACCCGGATTGGCCTTTGCGTTTGGGAAGTTTGACGGAATTTTGGGACTTGCGTATGACACGATTAGCGTGAACAAAATTGTCCCACCATTCTATAAGATGATTGAGCAGGGTCTTCTCGATGAGAATTTGTTTGCATTCTATCTCGGCACCGACGACTCGGTCGGTGGCGAGGCCACCTTCGGTGGCGTCGACCCGGATCACTTCGAAGGTCCTATTGTGTATGCTCCTGTCCGCCGTAAGGGGTACTGGGAAGTGGCACTGAACAAGATCGGTTTCGGTGATGAGGAATTGGAGCTCTCCAAGACTGGCGCAGCTATCGACACCGGCACTTCGCTGATTGCCATGCCCTCTGAGATCTCGGAGATCCTCAACAAAGAGATTGGGGCAAAGCGCAGCTTTGCCGGTCAGTACACGGTTGATTGTGACCGAGTGCCTAGCCTCCCTACTTTGACTTTCTATCTGGACAACAAGCCGTACATGCTCGAGGGCAAGGACTATATCTTAAATGTGCAAGGCACTTGCATTTCCTCGTTCATGGGCATGGATCTTCCCCCGCCAATTGGTCCCATGTGGATCATTGGTGACGTGTTCCTCCGGAAGTTTTATACGGTCTATGACTTGGACAAGAATGCTGTTGGATTTGCTAAGGCAAAGTAGATTCGCTAGTTTATGCTTATTCATCGATGCTGGCGCACAGCCCTAATGGAGCTGCCCCAAGAAGTTTTTTCGGGGCGACGATCATGTGGAGGTGGATATTGGCGTCTGACATCCAGGTAGAGCTCGTTGTAGATTCTACATGGAGGATTGGGCCCCAAGTGGTTAGCCCTATATAGTGCCAGGGTGGCTAGGAAGGTCTGTAACCCCTCTGTCTTGCACCCTTTTCCCCCACGACACAGGACCCCTGGTGGGCGTGATTCCCTACTCATATCCCTTTTCGAAATAAAGAAGCCGCAGGATCGGTGCTCTTTGTCTCGCACACGCACACCTTGTCACTGCAGGCTCAGTGACACTATTGTACTTTTTTGGTGATCTGGTATCACTAAACTACCTGTGATCTTTTCATCTATCGTACAAAGAATATGGTCAATATTTCGGCTGGTCCGAACACAGGACATCGCGGGTCGATGTTGCGATGGAGCATGCTCGCGGTGGTAATGGCGGCTGTCATCCTTGCCCAGGGTGCTACTGCATTGCCACACCACGCTATTGGCCTCCATAAGCATGTTGCACGTGGGGAGTCTCAGAGTTCGAGCAGTGCCATGAGCCAACCTTCTATGGAAAGCAAGCCCAGGATTGGATTGGTCAACGGTGGAAAGTTGGTCCTGGATGCGTCCAAGAACAGTTCGAAGGAGAACCGTACGGTGGAAGAGCTCCAGAAAAAGATTCAGCAAGAGATTGAAAAGGAGAGTGCTGGTGGAAAGTTGGATATCAACCTCAACGATATCCTCGGCAAGATCGGTGCTCATCTGAAGGTCGAAGGTGATCTGCACAAGAGCGACAATAAGACGACGGTTACAGACAACGGAAAGAGTGATACTGAGAGCCAGTCTACGCAGCGTGACAAGCAGCAATCGACGTCCTCGGAGCATCACCCTTCGTCGTCGTCGTCGTCGTCGTCGTCTTCTTCGAAAGACCACACTTCGTCCTCCTCGCAGCACCATCCGACGTCGACTTCGTCGAAACATCACACATCGTCTTCTTCGACGCACCACTCATCGTCGTCGAAGGATGACTCGTCTTCTTCCAAGCCCCACCCGACCTCTTCTTCGAAACACCAGTCGCGTCCTTCGAAGTACCGTTCTAAGGATTCCTCGTCATCTTCGACACACCACTCGTCGTCGAAGCACCACTCGTCGTCGAAGCACCACTCGTCGTCGAAGCACCACTCGTCGTCGAAGCACCACTCGTCGTCGAAGCACCACTCGTCGTCGAAGCACCACTCTTCGTCGACGCACCACTCGTCGTCGAAGCACCACTCTTCGTCGACGCACCACTCTTCGTCGACGCACCATTCGTCCTCTTCAAAGCACCATGCGTCCTCGACGCACCACTCGTCGAGCTCGGCTGCCCCTAAGGAGACTGGGTCGAAGGTATCTCAGAGCTTGACTGCTTCGGGTCGTGCATCGTTCAACTTGGGTGGCTTCTATCGTGTCTCTATGGATGGGAAGTTGTCCGAGCGTATCAACATGGGCCAGAGTGGCTCGTCTGACTCGTCTGGGGGACGCGTTGCGGCGGCATCGAACGAACCTAACGGTAACCTGCCGAACCAAAGTGTGATTACGAACAACCCATCGTATGGCTTCCTTGAGGCGCAGGATGACCTGTATACCATCCGAAAGTGGGCTGGCGATCTGGGTAAGTTGGCCAGCAAGGAAAACCGCAATGAGACTATCATGGCACTCTTCGATGCTGCGTCGCGCTACTACCCTGAGGTGGATACGAAGAAGGTTGTTCGCATTATGCTGGCCGATATTAAGAGCGAGTCGGACTTCGAGTCGAACAATGTTAGCCCGGGTCGTGTTGATTCGGGTGACAGCGTTGGTCTGCTCCAGATCAGCCCGTATGGTTCGGGGGAGCTGAAGCAATTCCAGAGTATGGCTCAAGGGGATCAGAACACGTACTCGTGGACTCCCGGCACTGCTTCCGACGCGGAAATCAGTCTCGGTGGATTTTCAGAATTGGGTCCACTTATGGACTTCAAGAACAACCAGAAGATGGACATCAAGAAGCTGAGTAACGACGACCTATCTCGTCCTTGGGTTAACATCCACATTGCCATGTGGTTGCAATCGAACCTGGGTCGTTCTGGCAGTCAAGATCCGAGTGATTGGGGCAAGATCTCGAGCAAGTGCAAGGATGTGCGTCAGGCTTACGCTCCTGCTCTTCGGAAGCTAGTGCCAAGCTCGCTGACAGACTCGACAGAGGCTCGTGCTTCTTCCTCCTCGAATTCTTCGTCGAGCTCGAATTCTGGATCGAGCAGCTCCAGCAGCAACTCTAGCAGCTCCAGCAGCAACTCTAGCAGCTCCAGCAGCAGCTCTAGCAGCTCTAGTGACTGGAACGAGAGCACGTACAAGTCGAAGCTTGACGCGCTGAACAAGCAGCTCAAGGGATCTCATTATCAGAAGCCCTCATTTGCGACTGCTCTTGGCTCGTGGGTGGCTGGTCCATCTGCAAGTGACAACAGTGGCTACAGTCGCTCGGGTGATGATGTCAGCAGTCAGTACTTCTCGCACATCTCGGAGGGTCTTTCGGTTCTTTACACCGGCAGTGAGAAGAACAAGGACAATTACGGCAAGAAGTGGCTCGAGGACATTGTTCTTGTGCCTGGTCTTGTTGACTTTAGCGACTGATTATGTCGCTATTCCTTTGTTGTTACTCATGCGTTGTGTCTCGGATGGTTGTTGTTGGTGTCGAGTAGCGCGGGTTTGGCTAGAGCCAGTTCTACTCTTGACCCCTCCTGTTTATATATTTTTGGCTACGATAGATATGTATATGCAAGACATTTATATGTATGTATACGGCATGGGTATTATGAAGATGTCGTAGGACTTTTGTGGAGAACCACCAACACGTATTTTTGGCCTGTGTTAGACTCCAAAATACCCACTAGGTGTAATGATTAGTTCGTAGTTTCGCGTGCGTATCCGCAAAAGATTGGCTTCATCTTCCTGTTCAAGGTCTTCGATATGGTGATGAGATATTTGGAGCATGTCTTGTACGAAATGCACAATTTTGGCAAGCTTTTCGGGTGAAGCAAGGGCGACTCCTTCGTTCCAAACGACGCGCATATCTGGATACGTTAGTGCAATGCAGCCGAGAACATCCGTCCTTTGAATTAATTGCGACAACAAAGAAATAGATTCCTCAGGTGCATCGCATGGTTGCGGATATGACAGAGTTTCGTCCATCGTGGCAGATGTGGAGATACTATGCTGCTATACTTCGTTCTATTACTCCACTTCCATTGTACCAAACGAGCCGCGAATCGCCTGCGTAGTATTCTCATAAAGCTCCAGGTTCAAGGCAGCTAGAAAACACGGAACACTGTGTCTAACGCCATCGCTGAGCCAGTAATCACGGAGATGAGCGACGTTGGCTAGACCGTCATTGGCTTCCCCTTGTAGTTTCATCTCACCAACATTTCCTTCTTCCGAGCGGAAAACCAAGGTAGTAACACGGGCACCGCGCGCGTAGGCCGAAGTAAGCTTGACTTTCCCATTCTCGAGAAACCTGACTTTATATCCAAATAAGGACTGTACAGCTTCTCGGAACTCATTCGCCTTGGCCGTGAATACTTGCTTCAGACGTAACATGCCTTTGTCTTTAAGGTGGATAGTCTCCTGCAACCGTGCGAGTTCTGCCCGCAGATTCTCAACGGTCTGTAGAGGGATAAGATTACCTGGGTTTTCTTTTGCAGAAGGAGAATTAGCTTCTGCTGAATGTTTCTGCAACGATTGTAATTGAGTAAGTAATCCTTCGTTTTCCTTTTTTAGAGCTTCCAGTGTTGAGGAGCGAATGGCATAGTCGCGAGAAACAGGGTTATCCGATAATGTAACACAGCGCTCATTAGCAACATTATACTCTCCGCGACCAACGCGAGTCCAGAGAGCCTCGTTCTCTTCTGAAGCAGCGCTCAGCTGTTCCTCGAGGACGTTGCAACGCGATTCCAGGGCGGCCATCGCTGCTTGGTGATCGTTTGTTGCAGAAGAGCATGCGACAAGTGGTGCCACCTTTTGTGACTCGGCCAGCTTTGTATTTTTCTCGTCTAGCTCAGCTTGAAGCACCATAGCTTTCTCCTCCAAATTTTTGATCCGAAGCTTATGGCTTTCTTCATATTGACTGTTTCCTTGGTATGCTTCTTGTTCGAAAGATTCAAGAAGTTCCTTGTATCGACTAATTTCGTCAGCCTGAATTTCGCATGTTTTCTGTGCACGAAGAAGCTGTTCTGATTGTTCACTCAATTTCTTCTGCAAATCAGACTCAGCTTCTGTTCCTTGAGCAGCACGATTGCTTAAATCAATATTAGAAGAACGCAATTGCTCCATAGAACGATTCACACCATCCAAACGTGCTTGTAAACCCATAATGGTACCACGAAGCATGCTGATATACTGTGGTAGCGATTCTGGGGTCAGCTGTGATGGAATATTCAAAGAAGGTAATTTATTTTCCACGCTTGCAGCAGCCGTGAATGCAATGTGTTCTTCGGTGGCCAGCCCCGTGGAAAGCACAGAAACCCAGTGTTCACGCTCTTCGCGCATGTTGGCCAGCTCAGCTTCTTTATTAAGTAGCGATTCCTGTAATGTATTCATGCGCTCTAATTTTGCCTCGAGACTCTTGTTGGTTTCATGCAAGATTTGCATGCGTGTGCTGGCATCAGAGAGCCGCGCATTCTCAGATTTAAGAATGACATTAGCTGCTTCTAACCTTTGCACGGTTTGGATCTGCTGACTGAGTTGGTCTTTGAGCACCCTGTCGTCAGTATCAATATTGGATGGGGTTAGCGTTGATTGAGAATTTTCAAGTTCAGAGATGCGATCACGTAGCATCGCATTCGATTTTTCTAAAGTTTCATTTTGTGATCGAGAAATATCCAATTCAGAACGCAGATGTATCAAGTCAGACTGTAAATGTGACATTGTAGTATGTGTTTCACTTTCTGAGGCGCATTTTCGAGATTGGATATCGTCCATTTCAGCTTTCAAGCACAAAGCCTCGGACCTTAATGTGGAAACTTGTTCCTCAAGCTGGACTTTGGCCAACTTCCAAGCGTCTTGCTTCTCTTGATGGGCGGCACGTTCAGCTTCCCATTCTTGCAAAACTTCTACCCGTTGGCATTTAAGTGCCTCTAGCTCACGAGTTTGTGAACGCAACTGTATTTCTAGTGTTCGATAAGCATGTTGTTCAGCTTGAATTCGGCGATCATATTCAGACCGGAGGATGTTTAATTCATATTCTGAATCGCATAGTGGGGAAGTTACAGTAGTTTTGTCAGATCCAGCTTTTTCAGAACGAGAAATTGGTGTATCCAATACATATAGACCATTTGAAGCGCTCCGGCTGGCGCGAGATGATGTGGCAAGGGCAGATGACACGAGGGGGCGCTTCTGGGTGGTAGGAGTGGAAAAGCTGTTCTCTCCAAAGCCAGTGGCTGAATAGCTTCGTTTACCGAGTTGAGAGCTATCATTATTGCTGGGTTGACCTGAGAGAGATCGATATCCCCCTAGAGGACCATGCGCGCTTGGTGTGCGTCTGGTATACCCCGATGGTGTTGGCACACTCGAGACGGGCTGGCGCGACGAAGGAAGTGGGAGCGAGGACCCTAGCGCAGAAACACTGCGACGTTGAAATCTTCCTTGAGCTACAGGGGTCGAGAAGCTCGATGAACCATTGCTAGAGGGGCCCCTTGGCTCACGATCGGGCATATTCGACCCCATCGTAGGTAGGTCACAAGGTGTGCTTGTGTAGCACGTGATTGACCGAGACGTACAAGATGAACCATAATGATATATTGATCTACGGAAGAAAAGTCATGACGAGGTCGTTACGCCACAGCAGCAGTCAAAGTTGACATATTTCCAACACCACCCCAGAATGAAGATGAGGGTGACCCAGGGCGGGGAGGCACTGCCACATCTTTCCGGGTGTTAGGAATGGTCAAAGCCTGCGATCGTGGTGAGCCACGAGGATTGGCGCGAGAGTTGGCGGAGTCTAGAGTTTCGGCATTTTGAGTGTTGCGCTGGAGCGCACTTAGAATCTTAGAAACATCCATTGTAGATGCCGTCTTGGATTTTTGTGTGCGGAGCTCTTCCTGAAGCTGCGTATTCTCAAGACGAAGATTAGCAACTTGTTCCTGGAGACTCTTAATGAGAGAATCGCGTTCCGTCAGTTGATCCTCGAGGAGACCGATATACTCCTTTCTCCGGTTTCTAAAGTTCCGTGCAGATATCTTGTTTCGAAGTTGCCGTTTTTCCTTGCTTGAGAGTTTGTTGTACTCATCCAGAGAAGGACGAAGATCATTATTGTCGAAAGGGGTCTTGTCCCGACTTTGTAAAGAAGAAAGCGGTTTGATAGAAAATGAGGTATCTTCATCTAAGCGCATAGGTGTGAAAGCAGTGAATGTGGTATTATTCTGGTCCGAATCAGCGGTCTCCAAAGTGGGCTCCGTTTTTATAGACATCATCTCGGGTGGCGAAGCCTGCACAGTTTCCAAAGTCGGTTCTTCGTTATGAATTGAAATGCATTGCGGGTCAATGGATTTCAGCAAACTATTCTCCTGCTCACATTCTTGAAGGCTCTTCTTGTCTTGAATGAAAGGAGTAACACCATTCATGGGAAACAGGGGATTATATGAAGTGGTGTCTTGAAACGAGGGAACATATAACAATGAGTTCACGTCGTTAGTATGAATTTCATTGTAAAATTCCACGTCCAACAACTTTCCCGACTGTCCACTGTCGTCCTTATCCAGGGACAGGTTGTCCAGTGGCGGAGATGGTGTGGTATCAGATCCATGGATGAGAGGTGAGCCATTAGACGAGAGGCGACTCTGATCGAACTCAGATAGCGGCGAGCCGGAGGTCATGTCGGCTATGTCTCTGGAAAAGGAGCCGCAGCGCTGCATTGAATTAGAGATTGATACGTACAAATGAATTAAAGGATGGTTCGATATCGTGAGGAACAGCCCCTGAGGTGGTCCCAGCACTATGTGAAGAATCCATAGACTCCATTATGACCATATGTTATACGAAAAAAAGGGATCAGAGATGGCTCCCTTGGAGACGACAAAGAAGCAAGATAAAGATGCGGACGCCACAGTTGCCCAAAGCTAGTTGCCTGCAATTTGCCGCTGCAGCCTCGCGTCAGCGGAGGTGGAGGTACAGCCTCGTTCCATGTGCTTCTGTACGTTCGCTGCAACCCCACGAGAAGGGGCATAGGTCATGTGATTGTACATGCGGTGACGCGGTCATGATCAATTCATTAGTTGATCCGTGCGATGACAGAAGCGCAGAAGGAAACGCAGCAGCTTTCTATCAAGCTAGGGTCGCTTCGAAGGTGAGTTAGGTCTACTTATTGAAAGATTGTCCAAGGAGTTGGATTTATACGGGAAAGAAGCAGAAGACCAATCCTCGAAAGTACAGCAGCTTGTGGCTGAAGGAGCGGATGAATACGATATCAAAAAACAGGTATGTAAGAAGTGTGAGTAACATGTGCTAGAAAGAAATTCTTCGTGATTGCGAACAAATGGTCCCAGACACGCGTAGTCGACTGACAAGCGTAGTTGCTGATTTGGACACTTTTATTGTGAGTGTCCACGATGACTGACAGGAAGCAAGGAGTGAACAAGAGCTCTCAGGAGACTCCGGCTTACAAGGAAGCTATGGAAGCACTCCAACAAGCCAAGTTGGCCATACAGTAGAGGCTATCAAATATAACCCATAGAAGTGACGGTAATGAGAGGTGGAGGTCTGACTCGTTGACTATCATGGCCCCGCCTCGCGTACAGATCAAATTTCTGGGCACTTGTACAACGCCTGTTCCAACAAGGAACTATTCAAGGTATGTGAATCTGTATTAAATCCAAAGTCTGCTTGTTAAGATTAACAATGAAGCGATCATGGTGTATGTGACGTACCTGCTCTGACCGCAGTGACTGTGGAGAAGGGACGCAAAGGCAGCTTTTTCGTGCTGATGTGCATTCGGAAACAAAGCTTTCTCAAATTCACACAATTTTGATCACGCATCTGCATCCTGATCGTAAGTATGGATGAGTTTAACACAATGACATCATGGGTTTAACTCCAATGATATTCTCCATGATGGGACTGAGCGCACCTGAGCACAAATCACCAAGTCCAAGACTCACCATCGTTGGACCATTAGGACTTCGTGCATTTCTTCGGGCAAATTTGACTATCTCTTATGCAACTCTGAGCAGCTATTTTGTCGTGCATGAGTTGCTGTTCCCTTCGCAGCCCGCTTATCCGCATAAGCCGGCAGATTCAAGTCCCAACATAAGGTATACCGAGACAGACGAATTTTTACCTGAAAATGTCATTGGGCAAATGCGCACTCTACCCATTATGCCACCCCATGAAAATGAATTGCCAGGAAGAAATATTGTGATGGATCGAAATACAGGTACCTGGGAAAAAGTTATTCAGGTGGGAGACTTTACTGTGAGCGCTGCCCCTATCACACACAGGTGTCCAACTGTCGGGTATGTCTTAGAAGAGGCGAAAAGTGCTTCAAGGTCACTCACTCCGCGCGAAATGGCCATTTTGGATTCCAATACACAAGCTTTGTTTGAGCAACAAGGAGTGAAGAACCCTCGCAGTTTGATTCCCATTCTATTAAAAAAACGGGAAAATCTTCATCTTCCGGATGGGAATGTTCTTGTTCCTCCTCCTTTGGATCGACCAGGCCGCAAGCTTTGTATTTTGGGAGATACGAGTGATGCTTCTGGTGGCTTGACTCAGAAAGGAATGGTAACGTTGGCCCGCAACGCCGACATTATGGTGCACGAATGCACTTACGCTTCTATGAGCGAAAAGGACATGGAGTTGGCTCGAGAAGTGTCTGAAGATCGCGCTAAATTGTTACAAAATGCCCTGTTACGTCCAGACGAAGCAAAAACCCGAGCCCTATCCCGAGGACATTCTATTCCTCAAATTGTCGGTGAATTTTCAGCCTTGATTGAAACTAAGCGCGTAATTTTAAATCACTTTTCCGCAAGGCTGCCAGCCCCATTAGTGCAATCTCATGACCCTCTAGTCAGTACAGATCAGCTTGTTACAAACAGTCATATTGAAGAGTCGAAGCAGAGACTATACGTTATGCAAGAAATTGAAAGGCAAGTGACCTGCTTTTGGCGAAATAATTGTCCTGCATACACAAGATGGAATGAGGAGGCCCGAGCGGTGGCAGCGTATGACGGCTTGTGTGTAACGATACCCCCGCATGCTGTCTCCACATCCGATCACGTGTCAGAGAATGCATCAACGCGTTCGACGATACCAAAGTGACCTCGAGCGCGATCATGCGCAGCAGAGAATCTGTGAAACGAAGAGCAGATGAAGATGATGATCTTGTTTACACTGATTTGCTTTATCAGGATGACGTGGAAGAAAAACGGTTAGAAGAGCAGAGAAAGCGGAGACGAGAAAAACTGGCCCAGCACCCTGTTGAGTATTCATCACCGGCGAGGAGTGCGACTAGTCCAGAGCCGGCAAAAGAAACAAAGGTGGATACTATGAAAGAAAAGCGTCACCTTGAAGCGGAGATAGAGCCGGACGATATTGAAGATATGTTTGCTTTAGACAATGACAGTGCATGGAAGGTGCCCGACTCTACCCTGACCGAAGGGCGCGAAACAGATGTGACGGGGCCTGATAAGTCCACACTTGAAAGGCACGCACCTGTCAGTGGGGTCGGTTTGCATGATAACTGGGATGATCCGGACGGATATTACCGCGTGATTTTGGGTGAAAAATTGGATCAACGGTACCAGGTGTATTCTATTCTGGGACGGGGTATTTTTGCCACTGTTGTGCGAGCCAAGGATTTAAAACAGAACGGTAGAAATGTGGCTATCAAGATTGCGCGACGGCAAGAAACCATGTTTAAAGCGGGCATGAAGGAAATTGGAATATTGAAGCTCTTGGCCGAAGCAGATCCTGAAGATAAGATGTTTGTCGTTCGCTTAGAAAACCATTTTGAGCATCGCGGACATTTATGTATGGTGTTTGAATCACTCAGCTTGAATCTGCGAGAAATTGTAAAGCGCTTTGGCAAGGACGTTGGTTTGCATATGCAGGCTGTCAAAACGTATGCGAAGCAAATGTTTATGGCCCTAGTTTTACTTCGAAAGGAAAACATCATCCACGCAGATATCAAGCCCGACAATATTTTGGTCAATGAGGCCAAAACGGTGGCCAAACTGGCCGATTTGGGCTCTGCTTCGCGGACAACGGAAATGGAGATTACACCGTACTTGGTGAGCCGATTTTACCGGGCACCCGAAATCAGTATGTGAAAATGACTGACACAAGTTCTCGGGCAGCCCTATGGGTGTGAGATTGATATGTGGTCGATGGGGTGTACCATTTACGAGCTGGCCACAGGAAAAATCCTGTTCCCTGGCAAAACAAACAACCATATGTTATTATTGATGCAGCAGCTTCGGGGTAAATTCGCGGCAAAACAGTTGAAGAAATGCCAATTTTCACTGCAGCATTTTGAAGACAACAACACATTCATTAGCCGAGAAGTGGACACTTCGACAGGCGAAGAGCTGGCCAAGCGTGTAAATACTACTCAACCTACGGAAGACTTGCGGGCTAAGCTACTACCTGGAGATACCTCAAAGCGTATTCGCCCGGACGAACTGCGCCAAACACAGCAGCTGATCGACTTGCTGCAGCGGATGCTTGAGCTGGATCCTGCGAAGCGCATCACCCCGCTTGACGCGTTGCAGCACGCATTTGTCCAATAAGAGATTGATCACGTGTGGATAGGAGAGGGCAGAAAAAGTTTTCGTAGGCGATCTTGCGTTGACATCGACGACCAATCGGCTTGATTGCAATGTCGTACGGTGGTTCTAGCGGTGGTTACGGTAACGGCTATGGTGGTGGCTACGGTGGTGGCTACGGTGGCGGCTACGGTGGTGGCTACGGTGGCGGTTACGGTGGTGGCTACAGCGGTGGCTACGGCGGCGGCTACGGAGGCGGCTATGGCGGTGGCTACGGTGGCGGCTACGGCGGCAGCGGTGGCTCGCGTGGCGGCAGTAGTGGCGGTCTCGGCGCTGGCCTATCCACTATCAACTGGGACCAAGCTGAGTTAGTTCCCTTCGAGAAAAACTTTTACAAGGAGGACCCTGCTGTGTCGGCACGACCGGACGAAGAGATTAATGAGTTCCGCAAGTCAAAGGAGATGACTCTGCGTGGTTCAGATGTTCCCAAGCCTGTCAAGACATTCGAAGAGGCTGGTTTCCCTGAAATGATCTTGCGTGAGATCAGCAAGATGGGCTTCCAAGAGCCGTCGGCGATTCAGTCCCAGGCGTGGCCGATTGCTCTGAGTGGTCGCGACTTGGTAGCGATTGCCGAGACGGGCTCAGGTAAGACGATCGGCTTTGCGCTGCCTAGCTTTGTGCATATTAAGGCGCAGCCACCGCTGAAGTATGGCGATGGACCTGTGGCCTTGATTTTGGCGCCGACGCGTGAGTTGGCTGTGCAGATCCAAAATGAGTGCAACCGCTTCGGCTCGGCGTGCCGCGTCCGCACTGCGGCAGTGTATGGTGGTGTGCCTAAGGGACCGCAGATCCGCGATCTTCAGCGCGGGGCGGAGATTGTTATTGCGACGCCGGGTCGTCTGATCGACATGTTGGAGATTGGCAAGACGAACCTCCGTCGCGTGACGTATTTGGTCATGGATGAGGCTGATCGTATGCTGGACATGGGTTTCGAGCCCCAGATCCGTAAGATTGTGGAACAAATTCGCCCTGATCGCCAAACGTTGATGTTTTCGGCTACGTGGCCGAAGGAGGTGCAGCGTCTGGCTGCAGACTTCTTGAACAACTTTGTGCAGGTCAATATTGGATCGACCGAGTTGGCCGCGAACCACAATGTGAAGCAGGTTATTGAGGTGTGCACCGACTTTGAGAAGCGCGGCCGCCTCATCAAGCATCTGGAGCATATCAGCCAGGAAAACGGCAAGGTGATTATTTTCACGGGCACCAAGCGTATTGCGGACGAGCTTACCAAATTTTTGCGCGAGGACGGCTGGCCTGGTTTGGCCATTCATGGTGACAAGGAGCAAGGCGAGCGTGACTGGGTGCTGAAGGAATTCAAGTCGGGTCGCAGCCCGATTATGGTGGCGACGGCTGTTGCCTCTCGTGGTCTTGGTACGTATTTCATGACGCAGTCAGTGGCGAGGTAAATGGCAGCATGGAAAGAGGATTACGTGAATGTCAGTCTGTCGAGGAAATGCATTGATGTGTGGTGTCAGAATGGGTGCCAGCAGGAGGAAAGCGGGTGTAGCTCGCGAGACATTGAATACCTGCGGTCCTGCGCGTACTTTTGCGCAGAGTAGCCGCTTGTGTAGTATGATGTCTCCTAGTTTCTTGCTGCTGATTCCAATGTGTTTATGAGACCAACGGCATGTGTGGACTTGACGCTGGTCGAGACGTGTGCTTTTCTTCTGTGCCTAATGGCACCTGCGCTACTGGCTGTAGATCAGCGGACAGAGCTAACTGATCAGATGTCAAGGATATCAGCTATGGTACGCATGCGCGACTGACCTCTAGTGATCAACTACGACTTCCCGACCAATACCGAGGACTACATTCATCAAATCGGTCGTACGGGCCGTGCTGGTCGCAAGGGCACGGCAATCACGTTCTTTACCTCGGAGAACTCCAAGTCCGCGCGCGAACTCGTGGGCATTCTGCGCGAGGCCAACCAGGAGATTCCACCCGAGCTGGACGAAATGGTGCGCTATTCGGGCGGTGGCCGCGGCGGTGGCCGCGGCTTCCGTGGCGGTCGTCGCGGAGGCGGCGGTGGCTTCCGCCGCTTTGGCGGCGGTCCTCGCGCCTCGGGCGCGAACAATGTGAGCGTCGGCGGCTCGCGCTGGTAAATAGACTTGGGCGGCGTGTGGAGGCCGTGCGGCGCCGCTCGCCCAGGTAGCCGAGGCGCTCTTGAGATGCGTCTCGTGTGCTGGAATGTGAATGGATTGCGGACATTAAAGGGGTATCAGCCGTGGTTCCAGCTGCGCAACTGGGAGGCGTGTGTAGAGGAGCTCCACGCCGACATGCTGTGCATCCAGGAGGTCAAGATGACCCGGAAGCAGCTGACGCAGGATCTGTGTGTGATGGACCAGTTTGATGCTTACTACGACTTGCACCCATCCAAAGGCTATGCGGGCACAGCTACGTACATTCGAAAGTCGGTATGTGTGCCTGTCGCCGCTGAGGTTGGGATCACGGGACACACTGGCCGCGCCATCGGACCGCCTATTTGCGAGTTGCCTGCGTCGGTGGATGCGGCGCTGCTAAAAGCCCTGGACGCTGAGGGGCGTTGTGTCATAGTCGACTGCGACCTGTTTGTTCTGATCAATGTGTATGCGCCCAATGAGACGGGGCCACAGCGCATGCCCTACAAGTACGTGCGGCGTCTGACACCAGAATGGCCTTCCATGCTGCCCTCGAAGAACGCGTGCGCCAGCTACAGACGCAGGGCCGTGAGGTCGTCGGTACGTGGCGCTCACTTATGCAGTCGTCGGTGACCTGAATGCCGTGGCACATCCTCGCGATCACTGCGAGGGCGGCTCGCTGACAGAGGCCGAGTTTATGTCGCATCCCGCACGCCAGTGGCTCCAGCGCTGGCTCGCTCCCCAGGGGCCGCTTATCGACATTACACGGGAGCTCCATCCGGAGCGCGAGTGCATGTATACGTGCTGGAACACGCTAGTCGATGCGCGCCCTGCCAACTACGGTACACGCTTGGACTATACCCTTATCACGCCGGGCCTGCGGCCCTGGGTAAAGGCTGCCGATATTCAGCCGCATATTTTTGGGTCGGATCATTGTCCCGTCGTGCTTGACCTATTCGACACGATCGAGTCGTCGGTACACGGTCCACTCTCGCTGGTCGAGAGGCTCTGTCACGCAGCAGATCCGCCTAGTCTCGCTGCGTCGCATTATGACGAGTTTTGTCCTCGAAAGCAGCCGCGCCTCGACGCCCTATTTAGCGCGCAGCGCGCACGGCAAGAGACGCGTGAACATGCTGCGGCCCCAGCGAAACGCATTCAAAAGGCGAGTAAGCCGGCACCAGCGCGCGCTAGAACCCGACAAGCGCAGCTCACACTTGCGCCGTTTCTGCAGCAGCCAGCCAAGCCGCCAGAGCCGATACCCACCGAGGTGCCCGTCGTAGCGGAACCGACGCCGGACATCTCGCACACGCGCCCCCAGCGCAATGAGGCGGTCGAGCAGTGGGCGAGTCTCTTTACGCCACATCCAGCACCGCTATGTACGGGCCATCAAGAGCCAGCCAAGTCGTATATCGTGCATAAGCCCGGTATTAATCAGGGGCGTAAGTTTTGGCTATGTGCGCGGCCCGTGGGCCCCGGGTATGCGGAGACCTCGCGGCACGCAAGTGCTGCTGACCGGCCGTACCGATGCCACTACTTTGCATGGGACTCGGATGTACGCCGGCGTCGCTCGTCCAAGGGCCACTTGCCGACGACATGAGGTGTCAAGTCACTTGTGCGGTCGTCCCAGTACAAATGACCCGCCCATGCGATCATCGCTGCATTGTCCACACACAAAGAGACCGGGGGGAAGTGCAGAGCCACATCGGGACGGCCGCCTATGTCCAGCGCGTGTCGTAGCCGCTCACGCAGGTACGCATTGGATGCGACGCCGCCGCTGCACACGACGCTGTGGATGGCAGTGGGCGGCACGGGACTGGAGTCGGCCAAGCGCCAGCCGCGCAGCCGAGGATCAATCGAAAGCGCGCGTACGACCTTATCTTCGAGGGGAGCAAATGCAGCTTCCTGGAAGGCCTGCGCCAGCGCTGCCTTGGCGCTAGTCGTCAAGTGCGACGCGCCACCGGCGGCCTGAATAAGCCGCGTCGAGGCCGAGCGAAGACCCGAGCTGCGTAAGAGAAGCAGACGTACAAGGAAAACGAGGGCTGGCCCAGCATGATGTGCGGGAGGGGGGGGAGGGGAGCGCCACGCGGATGCGTAGCCGCCAGCTGCTCGACGAGGGCGCCCGAGGCACACTGCCAGCCGAGCTCAAGCTCACGCGCCAGCTTATCAAACGAATTTCTAGTGTCAGGGCGGTATGCGTACCCAATCGAGTCATCCAGCGTGTTGGCCAGCACTTGGAACCGATACAGGGTGTGGGCCAGGACCAGCATTGTATGGCCGCCCGAGACCAGCAGCGTAAGAAAAGGGAACGTGGGCGGCGTCGGTTCTGTGAGTAATGGCGTGAGTGCATGTGCTGTTGTGAGAGATAGTACACATACCGTGCATATGGTGCACGTACACCAACGGTTTGCTGTGCACGCTGGCAAGGGCCTTGGCGGCAGCCATGCCGACAGAGAGGCAACCGGGCATGCCGGGCCCCTGCGTTACGGCAATGCCATCGATATCGTCGAGGCGTACAGCTGCTTCGTCCAGCGCCTGACGTATTGCCACGGGCACGTGCCTGTGGTGTGCCTGCGCTGCATGCAGTGGGTGAATGCCTTGGGTATCCTGGTGGTCCTGGCGCAGGACGACCGACGATAGAATCGTGCGGTCGGAGCACACCACGGACGCGCACGAGTCGTCACATGAGCTGCGTAAGCAGGCACTACGCACCTTTCGATGCCCAGAATTAGCCGCCGCGAGGCCACCGAGGCGAGTCCACGCGTCTGGCTGCCGAGGCAGAAGTGCCGCGACGCCGCCACTGGGAGGCGCATAAGTGGAGGAAAAGCCGCGGCTCACCGCCGCCGGTCGAGGTATGCTATATGTACACTTCTATGCAGGAGTGGGCATGGCCCGACTCGGGGTGGCAGCGCTGCTTGCAGTGCGCCACAGGGCACAAGAACGCATGCGGCCCATCAGGCTTGGCATGGCTGAGCTGGGTCACACAGCGTCCATCCAGCACATGACCGCATGGCAGCGCCCATATGCGCTGGTCCCCAGACCCGTTCAGAACAAGGGCCCGTCGGCACATGGCACAGATCGGCGTCTTGTTCGGCAGCGGCACGACCGCATCGTGGTGCCCGGCAGCATACGCCTCCACATCGACGGCCGGCTCCTCGAGACTCTGCGCGAACGGTGGCACGGCGGGGTATGGATGTGTCCACGCAGGATCGAAGCGTGTGGGTATCGACTGGTTGGGGTAGGGAATTGGGTGCGCATGCGCCGGAGCATGTGGCCGCAGGAGCGTTTGGTGTGATAGACCGCCCGTGTGGGAGCGTTCGACATATCTGGACGCGAGCATTTCCAGTCGCTCTAGGAGGTCATGGCGATTCGAAGCAGAAGCCAGGACCGAGCTGGGGCGCGAGCGGCGCTGGGTATAAGGGCCTAGCCCGATGCCATCGTGGATATGTAGTGGCGAAGAGTCCTGTAACACTGACACTGACGAGCCGCGCACCGGCATACGCCGGCGTTGTGCTCGCTCAGACCGGGACGAGCTAAAGTGCACGCCCAAGATGGAGACGTCGTCGTCAGCGCCAGTTTCTGCATGACGCCTTGACCAGGCATCCGTGTTGGCATGCGGCGCGCTTGGGTGAAACGCCCGAGTTCTAGGACGTAGTGGTGGCGAATCACCTGTCAGGTCAATCACAGGCGAATGCTCATCCATGGCAGTCTCGCATCCACCACAACCGCAGCAATGTAGCCACAGCCTGGACGCGGCCTACGGTACAGAGCCGCGCCCGGACGGCCATAGCTGTCCCTTCGGCCGAAGCAGCAGAAAAGTCTTTTTCCGCAAACTTATAAAGGCCCCTGTTCGCTGGCGCAGCTTGTGCATCCGCTCAACCATAGGTATGTTGCCCCTCCCCCTTTTCCCCATGTGATGAGCTATATTCCTTTCCCCGGCCTACACGACCATGCCGAGAGTACAAGGACGCCTGTTTGCTACAGGCTTTCGTGTCTTGGTGCATGCCAGCACCGTAGTCTCTGATCCTTCCCCCTCTTTTCTCTGTTTGAACGGACGCTAACTGCCAGGTAGTAAAAGGTGTGTACCTCCGCCAACATGATGGTCCCCCGACGATGATACACCTGGTATCCAGCCAAAATTCGCAGTTTCCACTCTAGGGCCCTCGCAACATGTTTGGGGCATTGGCTCTCCCTCTCGAGAGACCCGCTACATGACTCCTCCTTGTGAGAGTCTACATCGAACCCTCCCTTCTGGGAGAGTAGGCTAGTAGTCATGGGGTCGCTTGATCGGGTGCGGATCGTAGCCGGCTCTGGTCCGATGAGGGTCTCAGACCTTCCTTGGAAGTCTGAGGGGGACTTTGGCTCGCTGAGCATGACTAACATAGCAGGTCTTGGCCTTTTTGTACAGTATAAGGTACGCTTTTGTCCACGTCGCCATGGTCCCCAGCGGGATGAGCGTGTTTCACATGCAACCATAAGAGCTTAGGAAGAGCCGTCGTCAGTGCCTTGGGGTGACGTGTGTTTCCTGGGCTTGTCGGCACGCTGGTCTTTCTCCTTGGATTCCACGTTCTGTGTCGAGTCCATGGATCGAGAGGGGCAGGTTGCGCCCAGCGAATCACAATGACGCGCAGGCCAGACCTGTCATGCCAGTGTGCTCCACGGGCCCGGTCGAGACGCATGACTTTCTCCAGGGTTGCAAGGCCGAAAGAGTGGTTCCTGACCTTTGTCAGCTCAGGCGACAGATGCGGGAGTCTTATGGCGACGTGTCCTGGGCATGGACTAACGTGTAGCACACAATGTTGAGAACCCTTGCTACTTGGGTGCCAGGTCAGACGGCGGCGTCGGCCCTGCGTCGTGCGATGAGCACGGCGGCCTCGCCCACGACTCACTATCGCATTACTCTTCGGCGCTCGGCCATTGGCCTGCCTAAGCGGACAGGGCGCATTGTGGAGGCCCTAGGACTGCGCAAGCGTCTTCAGAGTGTCTACCACCAGCAGTCCCCGACCATCGCAGGCATGGTCCTCGCCATCAAGGAGCTGGTGCATGTGGAAAACGTGCGTCAGCTTGAGCTACCTGGGACCGCCAGTCAGGCTCAGCCTGAGCTTATCTGGGTCAACCAGGATGGCGAAGTCGTTGACGCGGGACGCCTGGCTCGCAAAGCCCCGAAGGGCTTCAAGGTGGTGGGCAACCTCGTCAATGAAGAGCGCGATGCAGCTCTGCGTGCTGGGCGAGTGCCGTAATCTGATACGAAACGAGATACCCCGATGCGGCCATGACATACCCTAGTTTCTCGTCCATGGTGATTTGTAGATGATGATCTGATCTGCTGTGCCAATGTGTGGCGTGCGCATTGCATCAGGTGACTCATGCCCATTTGAGTGGCAGATGCCCCCGATGTGGACATGGACCCCGCTCGTGATTCGCGAAAATTCGGCCAACACTTTGTTAAGTACCTGGGGGTTGTGTTGCCACTTGTCGTGACGTGGATCCGTCGCCCTGACCCAACAAACCACGCCCACATCCACGACATTTGCGGGTACCATTTCGTCATAGGCAAACAGCGCCACTCCCCTCTTGCTTGTATCACAGCTATTTAAACTATCTGGCCCCATCATCTTCCCAGTCCCTTACTCATACAATGTCGTTGTTCCCCAAACATCTTCCGGGCTCTGTGCGAGACGTGCTCGTACAGTCCATCCGGAGATCGCCAGCAGGATATCCAAACGCTCATGGTGGCGATTCTCTTCGTCGTTTCGTTTTGAAGCGGAACGCATTCGTGGGTGCGGTGGACGCGCAAGACATGGCTCTCAAGCCGTCCACGTCCCTTCGTCGTATCACTGGCGATTTTACCACTAATGGCCCTCAAGAGGAATCATCAAAGGGTCGCATGGAACGCACTGCGCCAATTCGCAGGTCGCGGTCCGTCCAGCATTTGTCGTCGTCGCCGCAGCCTTTGGCAGAAGAAACAAGTGAGGAGCACTTGGAGGATGTCTGGTTTGATCAAATCTTTGATTCCTTGTCTTTGGAAGAATCTTTACCGGAGACAATCGTTGATGGCGATAAGAATAGGAGGGCTGCAAATCCTATCCACATTCCTCCCCCGTCGGGCACAGGTTTACAGCTTGTGGTGGCGTCCAGTTAGCAAGCTGGGTCTGGTACCTCTGCTTTGCATACTTGGTCTACCGACACGAAAAAGAAAAAAATATGATCGCCCTCATGAATTCTTATGCTCCGGTGTTTGTATATATGATGTCCAAAATGATGAGTAACGAAAAGTGCCTATAGATCAAATGGCTTATTTTCCCTAAGTCGCATTTTCCACATCCATGAGTTGGACTTTAGGTGCGCGGTTGTTCAGCAGCCAAAGTGTCCCCGTATGCAGGCGCCTGCTTGCAACTAGATCCAATCCTCCTCGATTTACGCCCCCGTCACCCGCTGGGCAGGGATGGCGCTCCTTGGAACAGTCTCGACTTATTGGACCTGGACATCGATTTTTCACCGTCTCACGCTGCGCGGCTATCGCCTCGAAAGGCATTGATAAACAGGCCCAAGAAGCACCTGCACCGAAAAAACCATTTTCATTCCGCCCATACGTAGAACTCATGCGTCTTGACCGCCCCATTGGATCGCAGCTACTTTTCTGGCCTTGTGGTATGTTGATATGATTCTCATATATCTAGCATGGTCTATCACCATGGCTTCCCATTTCACGCATGCACCGCTCTCCGTGTGGTTCACAAACCTAGGTCTATTTGCAATTGGCTCCGTCATCATGCGCGGGGCTGGGTGTACCATCAATGACATGTGGGATGCAAAAATCGATGCCAAGGTTGAGCGTACAAAGTCTCGTCCCATTGCTTCTGGAACCGTATCATACAAGCAAGCAACCATGTTCCTGGGTCTCCAGCTGGCATGCGGCTTGGCTATTCTTCTCAACCTCAACATGTATAGCATCGTTCTTGGCACCATGGCACTCGGCCCCGTCTTCTTGTATCCTCTTATGAAGCGGATCACAAACGTCCCTCAAATTGGGATGGGACTTGCATTCACCTGGGGCTCCATGCTTGGCTGGGCCGCTGTGGCCGGAGCGTGCTACTGGCCTGCTGTCTTGCCGCTGTATGCCAGCACCGTGACATGGGGCGTTGCATACGACACTATTTATGCTCATCAGGATAAGGTCGATGACCGGGCTACGGGAGTCGGGTCTACCGCCATCCTGTTTGGCGACAAGGGAACTAAGCCTGCACTGGTCGCCCTTTCCGCCATCTGGCTAGCCCTACTCGTTTACGCAGTTAACGTTCAGTCGCCAATTTTCCCCTCCTTTATGGCAGTGGATGGCCGCACTCTCTCTTTCAAGGAATGGGCTATGCTATCACTTGAGACAGGTCACCCGTTTTTCGCTGCCTCATGGCTTACAACGGTATGCCATGTACTCTGGCAAATCCGTACCGTCGATTTGAACAATCGTGCTGATTGCTGGGCCAAGTTCTGCAGTAATCGAACGGTGGGACTGATAATATTTCTTGGCCTAGCTGCTGACTTCCTCTATCAATATGCCCAATCACACAAGAAGGTAGAGAAATCCGTCTAGCCGTGCTATCCTAGACCTGCCGGGTGTTTTACCTGACGTTATCGAAAGAGCACAACATTGCATACAATCGCGCAAGCCATTGCGCAAGTTGTCGTGACAAGGTATTTCTCCGCGTAGATAATTCATCCAATCATGTACCTCCATTACATGAATTCGTGCATTTGCTAGCCGTCGTCGAAAAGAGATCTGACCGATGGATATGACGATGCTTGCTTTCTTGAGGCAGAACTCGGAAGGAAATGCAATATAAAAGATAAAAGACCACCGGCGGTCTCCAACTTGCCCTGATATCCATCATCGATGAGGATTTTCGCTCTTGCTCTTCTTGCAGGCGTCAGCCTTGTGCAAGCCCGCAATCCCCTTGCTACTACAGATCAAAGTGAGCTTGATGCTCTCTCTATTGAACTGAGTAGGGACCCTGGGTTTGAGCCGCTTAAGAAGGAAGCATTGAACCAATATCTCAAATCTCTGAAGAAGTACCATGTGGACATCACCGATGCTGTAATGAAGGATCTCCATTTGGCTATTGAGGAGCTTGTCTTCAGCTCGGTTCAAAAGGCTGCTAATGGTGATCCCACCCACCCGAAGGTGTACTGGACCGACACCGCCCCTCGTCGTCATAACTGGTTCGGCCTCTCTGTGCCAGGAAGTCGATACTCTTATGATAACCCTGACAGTATATACCGGACCGTCCCTATTGACGGCAAGTATAAGTATAAGCTGAAGGGTCGTCGGTTCGGCAATGGTACGACAGATACTAGCTTCTCGCTCATTAGCAACGTGAACTCCCAGAATACCATCAGCACCATTTCGAAAAAGGATCTTAAAGTGAACGCGGATGGTACTTACGAGATCACCATTAGCTCGGAGGATATCAAGGAAAACCATCTCAAGTCTGACTGGACCGCCAAGCAAATCTTCATCCGTAACAACCTGGGTGACTGGAACAAGGAGACGCCTGACGAGCTTGAGGTGGAAGTGCAAGGCAACCCCAAGCCGTGGTTCCCCCGCACCAACCGCTCTATCATCAATGATGCCAAAAACGACCTAAAGCAGTCGACGTTCTTTTACGGCTTCGGTGCTCTTGACCTCAAGACCTTGTCTGTCCCAGTGAACGTACTCAAGGATCCTTCTCAGTCCCAGTCACTTGGTACTCTTACATCACAAGCCCAGTCGTTCGGGCACTACAAGATTCAGGACGATGAAGCCTACGTCATCACTATTAATGGTGGAAAGTCTAGCTACTGGGTTGTTCCTGTTTATACGATGGGCATGGTGACGAATGATCCAGAGCACAACATTGTCAGCTTCAACAGTGTTCAGTCTGCTCCCAACAACAACGGGACATACACATTCGTTCTTTCTGCGAAGGACCCCAACGTCTACAACTGGATTAGCATTGCTGGCATGCCGCAAGGTACTTTCATGCTACGGTGGCAGGGTCTTCCCCCGTCGGATGGCACTGTAAAAGATATTAAAGTTAACACACAAGTTGTCAAGTTCGACAAACTGCATGAGGTGCTCCCGAATGGCACGCGCTATGTCTCTGCGAAGGAGCGGCAGCAGCAAATTCGGGAACGCCTGCAAGGCTACCAGCGGATCCACTTTCAGTAGCTGACGGAACATGTATAAAATAGCAAATGCTGATCAGCTTATGTTCTATGATTTGACAAGTCGTCGTTCTTTCACATTTCGTGCTGGGCTACATACATTGTTGTCTTTCAATTATGCACCGCCCTGTCGATATGCACGCTAAATGTAAATTACGAAATTCCCTGGATGCTGCAGTGCAGGGCCCCCGTATTTTCTTCGGGAAATAGCTGTCGATCTGTGCCAGGCCTTTACCGCAGATGCCGATAGGTATTCTTATTTCCGAGACCCACGGGAAAAATATCCCGAGCCAATCATATCCCATCACTATGCGTTCTCTCGAAGAGGCGCGTCGGATTCTGCAAGAATCAGGCAACGTGCGCCCACACACAGGCAAAACCTTGTTTTCACGAGGCCCATGCTGCAAAATTTGGCCTGACTCGAATGTCGTCATTGCCAGGCCGGTTTGACGTGGAATTGTAACCGCATCACGTACATCGATATCATTTTCTCGCTCGAGGGCGAATTGCGGGCCTAGTTGATTCTGCGGTCCGTGAAGATTCGAGGTTCTCTTCCAACAACGACCCTCTTGCAGCTCTTGGGCTATCCTGCTATCTCGTATAACCCTAAGACCAACTCCTTTCTACCCGCCTACCTTCGTACACGAAACTTCGTGAGCAAGGTCTCTCATCTCAGCTTGTTGAATTGATTCGACGGTACTACCAGAAGTATGAGCACAGGGCCTCGTGTTCGGCGTGCCTCCAGAACGCGCATTCGCGGAAGGCCTCCGTCCATCTCCAAACCGGTTGAAGGCAGCGATACAGACCAATCTTCTTGGATTGCTGATGACATCTGTACACGCTGCGGTGCTCTTGCGCCTCATGGGAAGCTCTATTGTTCGGAAAAATGCCGGGAGCAAGACTCAGAAACTGCAGTATCAATGCCAGCGAACGAACCTAAAATTGAGGAGCTTAGCAAGGCGTTGTCTCAGCTACGCTACCCCATGACACTCTCCCCACACCTCACGGCAGCCACTGCGGGTCTTCCGCTATTTTCTAAACACCCGGTCTCGGATTCCCATCAGAGTTCAAGGTCATTCGGGTCCAGCCCGGAACGGCGCGAATGTGGTGGATTGCATCGATCACCGTCGCATTCAAGTGACTCAATTGGTTCTGAGAAATCTGAATCCGAACTTACATCACCTTCTCCTTGGCAAGTTGGGCTAGATGTGAGTGAAGAAAATGAGGAAGTGTCTGATAACGATGACCTGACTCTTCCGCCTTCCGTGGTTGGTGCAAGTCCTTTCGCTACAAGTCGAAGTATAGGAACTCGAATGCACAAATTCAAGTCGGGATCATTCACATCTTCGAAGGGCCCGCAATTGTCATCACCTACTCTAGCGCCTCACTCCGTGGTGTCCACGCGCTCGGCTCAGTCGCCCATTCAGTTCACACGAATGCCTTGCTCAACCAATATCCCGTCCTCTGTTCTTTATGCGAATCCAAAAGGTCGGAGCAAGTCTAATATACCCGCGACTCTCCGGCGTTTCGGCAGTGATCCCCCCTCCGAGCGACACTCCCCTCCGCTCTTAAGCAAGTCACGCTCACAGTTTTCGAATACACCCAATGACTGCTCCGTGGACTTGTTTTCTAACCATCTGAAACCGGCGTCTATGCAAATGCAAAGTGCACCGGACCAAAACAGTCATAATGCTGACCCCTCTCCTCGCCAGCAGGAATATAATCCCAAAAATTCTGATATTTGCTCTTCTGGTGAATGCCAAAACAGCAACCAATTGATCCACTCCATTGCAACAGAAAAACAGAGCAGCGGATCTTGCGACGAACCTACGCGCGGTCGCTCATTGCGGCGCACCGGTCACTCTTGTTGCTCTGGTCATCGTCGTTTGGATGCAGCCGCGTGCGATCCTTATTGTATTCTCTCTCTGAGCAGGAGCCACAAGAATTCGCACCCGGTGCCATCAAATGACTTTGTCTTTCCTCTTTGCCCTACGGAACCCTCTGCCTAGACACGGTCCCCTTTGGTTACGAATGGCGATCTCTCTTGCCTTCTAAAAATAGATATATTTCTACTCATGGTCCTAGCCAGCTTTAGATACCCACCCTTGACTAGAGATATCATCCCATGAAGTTGTATGTCTTAGTACCGAGTACCTTTTGACTTTACGTGTCGGGGGCCACGAACCGGTCTTGGAAGCCTTCTGTCTGAAACCCTCCACCCATGTCTTCGCGCGACGCGCCCCATTGGTAATATGGATTAGTACGTTTGTCGATCCACCGGCCTCTTAACATCCCAGTGAAAGCGAAAGACGCAAGAATATTGAAGAAAATGAAAGACTGTTAAAAGAACTTGGAATTGACCAGGGTGGGAGCTCTTTTTTGGGTACCAGTGCACCGAAACGACCTACAGCCCATGCTGAGCGCGCACGCCGCAAGCGAAGTCTCACGGAAGATCTGTCCAAACAAGCACTACCGCAACGTTCTAGTGCACGGCTTAAGGGAATAAAATTGGATACAGAGAACGAGATAAGCCAAGCTGTCTCGTCGAACTCTGGCTCTCCCAAGGATTCATCGCACACTGTGCGTCATGGTGATCTTAGCTTGGAAGAGCTCGCCGCCGATACGCTAGACGAGGATGAGAAGAGAAAACTCAAAGAGTCACTCAATATCAAATTTGAAGACGATGTAACATTACAGACCCCAAAGACTGAGCTTGAAAACTTGCTCAGAACCATGCGACTTCGAAGCTATACTCGCGTGGCGCAAAAGCGAATCTACAGCATGATCTACCACCCTACGCTCGAAAAAGACCTTGTTTTCACCGGTGATCAGGCGGGAAATCTTGGTGTGTGGGATGCAACTGCTGAACCGGAGGAGAGCCAAAGCCAAGAAGGCGATATTCTCACGGGCAACGCATTCTCCCTGCAGATGCATGGAGCTGCTATTGGGTGTTTACGAATGGACCCCATTTCACCAGAAAGGGTCTATACCAGCTCATACGATTCAACATTGCGCGTTTTTTCGCTGAGCAAACATATTAGCATGGAAGTATGGCGTGCACCCTCTACAGTCCAACTTGGAGAATTCGATATTTTGTGCTCTTCATCTAGTGCCTCTGAGATGGAGACGCCTGGATCTTGTCATCTCGATGGAAGAAGTCTATGGCTTGCTGATCACATGGGCGGACTGATCCATATCGATGTTCGGTCTGCCTCCTCCGAATATCATCGATGGCAAGTCAGCGATAAGAAGGTCGGTGGTTTGTCCGTCAACCCTTCTGTTCCGCACTGCATTGCGACAGCATCCAATGATCGGTCTGTTCGCTTGTTTGATACCCGTATGTTTGGACGATCCAGGGAGGTCTCCATACCGATGAACAGGCTATCGGATGACGATTTTGAGGAATTGAATACATTATATGCTTCTTCGCAGCTTGGTTCCATGAAGCGAGAGATGGCGTGCACGTCGGTGAGCTTCAGTCCAAAAGGAGACTATTTGGGTACGTGCAAGTTACTCATGTACAGCCAGTGTATGCTACGATGATACAGTTTCTGTTTGGGATCTACATGACAAGACACTCTGTCGCATGTCTCAACCTGCTGTGAAAGAGGGCCCTCCGTCCAATACACTGGATCATTGGCTAAAAACCAAGTCGCGCCCCCAAGAAAGTCTTGGCGAAACGCATACATTTCATCACAACAACCAAACTGGCAAATGGGTGACTCTTTTCCGGGCCTGCTGGAACCGAAATCCCTCTCTTGAGCCACACTTCTCCATGGGGAGCATGTCGCGGCACACGGAGATTTATGGGAAAGACGGCCGTTGTATGGTTCGGTTATACGATCCTGATTGGATTACAGCCGTGCCAGCCGTGACAGCTATGCATCCCATCCTCCCAGCGCGTATCGCGACAGGAAATGGATCTGGTCGGTGTGCATTTTGGTCCACATGAATTTTAGGACATACTTGTTGCCATACCATGGTTTGATACCGCAAATGGAACATTGTAGGATACCAAGGGCGACAGAAATGCTTCAACATTGGAGGGCATAGGGTAAAAATCCTGATACAAAGGATCATGGTATGTAAACTCGAACAAATAAAAAGCTCGGAATCGGAGCCAGTGTAAAGCGACGATCGACAGCAGAATCAAACCCAAAAGCATACCAAACACGGTCACTAGCATGGACCTTGTGAAGAGCCCTTTAATCATGAATCGTCGTGATGCCATAGAATTCACATCAAAGTCTGTTGGCGTCGGTTCGTTCTCATGCAGACGTGTAACAAGCGAGCCAAGTCGTTCTCGAATCTTATCCAGTTGATGCGCATATTCAGCATCATCCATGCTAATTTTCTCGAGTCTTAACTCTGTAGCGAGTGCATTTGTAGCCGATTCAGACTTTCCTGCACCATTTGGCTGTTGCGTGGCGTCGATAGCCTGGAGCATCTGTTGCAATGTTTCGTCTGGCGGGGCCGATTCTCGCGACGGCTCCTTCAAAACTTCCTTCAAAAGGCGAATCATTTTCCATAGATCGTCCTCTTCAATCGTATACTCCTGTGCCTTTTCAGTTTCAGGAGGGTCATCCTGTGATTTCCATTCGATAGTGATTCCATTTGAAGAAAGAGGATCCAAATCCAAGAGAGGTCCCCATGCCGACAAAAGTGGTTTCGTACGCGCCGGTGAACCTCTAGGTATATTATTCTTCAAAGGATAAAGAGATGATTCCATTGGATATGCTGTGACAGAGCTTTGGGCCTTGGATCGGGTATATGAAGATGAGTCCGAGTTGCTGGCATTTTCGCCATCCGCCGAAATAGATATAGAATCCATATCGCTTTCTTTTAAAGAGACATTGTGCGTTGACCCCAAACTATGACGGCTTTCATCAATCTCAAGCTCTGGCGTCGACTTACGGCGCGATTCTTTAATAGATCTTTGTCCCGAAAGCCACCTTTCTGCACAGACATCGCGCTCTGATTCCTCTTTTGCGCGAGCGCGAGCCTCATCCTCAGAGATCCTATTATATACCTCCATAATACTTGGACGCATGTACTTGGTTTGTTCATTCATATTCAACGATTCTGCATACGGGGTGGTACGACAAGCTTGACCGTAAATATATAGAAGATATCAACACAAATCCATATTTGTCAGTCACGATTTATATGTTCGTTGGTCAAAAGTTGCCAACGAAGGTCCTGTAGGATAACGGTTAGTCCGAAGGTTTCTGATTCTTGATAGAAGTCGTGAATTCCTTAAGCCGCGGTTCGACTCCGCGCAGGACCTTTTTTCTCTTCGCCCGCTCTCCCCAAAATTGATATTGAGCTGCTCTTTTTTTTTTTAAAAACGATCTCACAAAATCACACCACCTCATTCGCAGCTGTCCGATGATCTTTTCTCTACAAAAAAGGGACATCCAGAGTCAATATTCTACGAAGATGAAAAGCGAAATTCGGTTTATTCGCGGTAAAAACTGAAACGCGCAATCGACAAAACTCATTTACATCCACCTTAAAGAAGGACAACGGCGCCAACCGCAGCAGCAGCCAGCACTGCAGTGATCATTGCCTTGGCGGGTGAAGCAACTATTCCAGCTGCATTCTTGTCGTTTGAGCCACTACCGCTCAAGTCACTGTTAGACGAGCCGGAGCCGGAGCCGGAGCCGGAGCCTTGACCGGGGTTAGCGAAGCCTTGCTTCTGCTTAGCCAACGGAACGACATCGAACTTAGGGTTTGCAGTCGCCTTGATAGAGTTAATGTCAGGCAAACCCGTAGCACGCTTGCCGTCAACAAAGTCCGAAAAGCCAGGATACTTGATGTCCTCAGCGTAAGGGTTCGAGACATTCTGGCAAGCAGTGATAGGCACAACGTTCTTGTACTTCTGCTCAATCTTAGGATATTCATCAACGAACGTCTGCATGGTTTGGTTCGTAAGCTCATGCGTCAAGACAATCGGGCTCTCGTTGCCCCCCTTGTCGATAATGCTCTGGTAGTTTTGTTCAACCTTCTGTTGACCCACGTTCACAACATCCCAGTCTTGAGTGTCTTCTTGCCACAAAATCGTGCGGAGACCAAGACCAGCAGCAATAGCACGCACACGGTCATCGACATCACCGAACGGAGGGCGCCAGCAAGTGGGCGTCACACCCAGAACAGTCTTGATAGCACGCAGAGTGTAAAACAGTTCAGCAAAAACCTGCTCGTTCTCGAAGGTGGTCATATAATGGTGGGACCAGGTATGAACACAAACCTCATGACCATCCGTAAGAGCACGCTGGGCCTGGTAAGGCCAGTTGGCAACATTAATACCGATGAAGAACATGGTAGCCTTCAGCTTCTTAGATTCAAGGAAGTCGTAGAAAGCGTTGTGAGAGCAGTTAGGACCATCATCAAAGCTCAGACCCCACGTGCTTGGCTCAGGACAAGTGCTCAAATCAGTGGGAATGTTCTTAGCCTTGGGTTTTACACACTTGCTAGCAGTCCACCAGCAATCAGGGTCCGATGAAGCGTCATAGTCAGTGTTCTTAACACCCATGTTCGGACCACCAGAGTTGTCCGCCGGCTTCACCTTCACGTTGCTTGGGATGATCCCAGAATTTTGAATATCTTGCCAAACCTGGTTAGCTTGATCATCGCCTTGCAGAATGGTAGCAGGGTTGTTGTCCTTAGGAAGGGTCTTACCCATCATTTGGGTCACAGCTTGATCACCGTACTTGGCGCATTCCTGAGTCGGGTCGGACATCTTCGCCGCATCGGCAGCACTGGTAGCTTCACGACGCGAGAGACGGAAGTGAGTGCGCTCAGCATTGCCGTGAAGAGCGGCAGACGCATACGTAGCCGACAAGGCAGCAATCAACAACTTAGCAGTCAATTGCATGATATGGTGGTTGCTGTTTAGGCGGCTGTGTGGCACACGTCTATATCTACTTGTTCCTGCACGAGCTTCGGGTCACCACGTGTTAATGCACGATTTGTAGATGTTAGCATAATAAGCGTAGTGGCTGTGCTCTATTGCATAAGATAAACCCAATATAATGCATTTTACGATCGGAAGTGTCGTAAAATCGGTCCTGTAGGATAACGGTTAGTCCGAAGGTTTCTGATTCTTGACAGGAGTCGTGAATTCCTTAAGCCGCGGTTCGACTCCGCGCAGGACCTTTTTTTGGTCCATTTGACTCTGGATTATAACTGCTATATCAACCACGGACGTTTATAACCCTCGTGATGAGCAACCAAGAACAGTCTTGAAACAAATCCTACAAACTAATATACTATTGTAGGCGTCATATAAGCATCGCATTGCGGAAAATACAAGGGATGGAAACTTTTAAAAACATATTTAATATAAAAATCTATACACTTTAGAGACACGAAACAAAAGCGACAAGCGTCGGAATGCAAACACTAAAAATGCTTACCATTGTCGATACAGCCGCATTGCGGTTGTCGTTGGAGGAATCACCCGAAGTCGGGCCAGGCTGATTAGAACTCGAACCAGAGCCTGAAACGCCGCCACCGCCACCACTAGTGCCGCTTGTATCGTCGGCAGAGTTAGATTGATTTCCTGACGATCCAGAAGAGCCGCTAGAACTTCCTGGATTCGCAAAGCCATTGGACTGCTTCGAGACAGGGCTCAAGTTGAGTTTCACATTTGGATCAATCTTGATCGAGTTTCCGTCGGGGAGGCCCTGATAGTTGGCATTGCCGGCAATAAAGTCGTTAAAGTTGGGATATGTAATACCCGTCTCAAGATAGGGCTTCGTAATATTGTAACACGCTGAAATAGGCACGGTATTCTTAAAAGCCTGTGAAATCTCAGGTTGCTTGTTGATGAACATCTGCATGGTTTCATTGTACAATTCGTGTGACAATACAATAACACTTTCTTGACCGCCCTTCTTGATAATTTTGTCATAGTTGGACGAAATCGTACTGGGAGACGAGGAGCCGTATGGCTGAATATCCCAGTCATTCGAGTCCTGATTCCAAATAATCGTGGTAAGTCCCAGACCTGCTGCGATTGCACGCACGCGGTCATCCACATCGCCAAACGGAGGGCGCCAGCACGTAGGCGTCACGCCCAGAACAGCCTTGATTACGCGGATCGTGTAGAACAGCTCAGCAAAGACTTGCTCATTCGAGAGAGTTGTCATGTAGCGATGGGACCAAGTATGAACACAGACATCGTGTCCATCGGTGATAGCACGTTGGGCCTGGTAGGGCAAGGTAGCCACGTTCGAGCCGATGTAGAACATAGTAGCCTTGAGCTTCTTCTCTTTTAGGTAGTCGTAAAAGGCATTATGGGTGCAGTTAGGCCCATCGTCGAAAGTCAAACCGTAGGTATTCGGCTCGGGGCAAGTGTCAATATCTTGGGGGATATTTTTGTGCTTGGGCTTTGTGCAACCAGAATCAGTCCACCAGCAGTCTGGATCCTCGGAGTCTTTGTAATTAGACTGTTTAGAAGAAGCTCCCATGTGCTGACCGTTCGACGAGTCTGCCTTCACTTTAACGTCGCCAGGAATAATACCCGATGACTGAATGTCACTCCAGACTGAGTTCGCTTCCTTGTCACCATCAACAATGTTGGCAATTTTGTCAACCTTGGGAAGCAGGTTATTCTTGTTCATTTGTGAAATCTCGGGGGCCTCGTAGTATTTGCATTCTTGGGAGGGGTCCGTCATAGACTCATAAGCTGCCTCACCAGCGGGAAGCTTGCGACGTGTAAATTGACGATGGTGAGAATCATTCTGCAACAGATGGGCTGAAACACCACCGAAAATCAGGGCAAGGATGACAGCCGTGGCCTTCATGGTGGGTGAAGGATGTCGTAAGGGCGCAGATGTGTAGTCCTCAACTTAATAGACTGGCTTTATTCACGTAAGGCATTTTTGCTGCGGCGTCGGTGCACTGATGCAATTGATTGCAAAATTTAATCAGCATACCACAAAATTCCCGCACGTAGGAACCGATGGAGATGCATGGGGCGTTCCTCGTATGTACGTGCCTCGGGTTCGAGTGCTGTGTCCCCCGACTTAGAATACATCCGACCAATTGCCATTGGCTATAATACATAGACTACGGGTCGTCGCGTTCCTTCGTGTCGTTCTTGACTGGTTCGTCCACCCAGCCACCCGCGAGATCAGGTGGCAGTTCCTCCATCTGCACGCTCGGTGCCCCATGCAGGTATCTAAGATGCTCTAGAATCTGAATACGCGTTTTCTCTAGGCTGGAACGCGTATTCTGATTCTCGACGCGGGCAAGGAGCGGTTCATGCAGACGGTGAGTGGGCGCAAAGAACGCATCGTAGGGGGTATGTGGGAGATCATCGGGGATTTGGGTTCCAGTTAAAACAGAGGTTTCGTATGTCCAGCAACGTGCGACGTTGCGGATCGTGTAGCCACCCCCACCCAGAACAAGGAGAGGCAGGCCAAAAGCTTTTGTGAAGGCCACGCATTCTCCATGGGCTGAAATGCTTAGGTTGAAGCAGCCCAGGCGGTCCAGGCCGAGAGAGTCGGCGCCGCATTGCAGCACAATGGCTCCAGGTCGAAACGTGTACACGCATGGTTCAATGACACTTTTAAAGAGTGCCACATAGGCGCCGTCGTCGATGCCATCTTGCAACGGTACATTCAGGCAAAAGTGCTTGCCAAGGCCCACGCCCGTTTCTGTAATATCACCGGTGCATGGGAAAAAATCATTGCCATATTTGTGGAATGATACCGTCATGACACGGTTCGACGTATAAAAGGCTTCCTGGACGCCATCTCCATGGTGAATATCAATGTCAATGTACAACACACGCGGGAACGTGCGCAGCAGTTCAAGTATGCCCAGTACAATGTCATTAATATAACAAAATCCACTCGCCTCGAACTTTTTGGCATGATGCAATCCTCCTGTCCAATTGATGCAAATATCTGTAGCACCTGCGGCCAATCGACGAGCTGCGGAGAGTGTGGCACCTGCGTAGGCACGACAGAAATCGTACATGCCATCAAACACTGGACAATCGTCCGCAAAGTTGAACCGCGTGAACGCGGCAGAAAGGGGCGTCGTTGGTGTCGTTTTACTGAGGAAATCCACATAATCACTGTCATGAAATGCTTCTAGTTCCTCTCGCGTTGCCCACCGGGGTGAATACACTTTCATGTACTCATGGAGTCCATATCCATGCACAAGTCGATTCGTCAAGGCCAAGCGCGCAGGCTTCATGGGGTGGTGTTCTCCGTAGTGCTGTTGTCAGTGTGAATTTACGTACATAGTCAGAGACACCCACGGGGAAATAGTACGAGACTTGCGCGTGAAAGTGTGACTGCACGGACCTGGCATCGGCTAAAAGAGAGCCTGGGTTGAGGTCTGAAGTGCCATCACTGTTGAGCTTTGTGCGGTCGAAGAAAAAAGGCGCGCTAGAGAACGTAGGAAGCTCCTTTGGACGCGCACCGGCGGACGCATCGTATTCTAGAACGACCATAATGCGCCGTCTACCGTCCACCGATGACGCAGAGGATGCGATAGGACGGCAGGGATCCTTGCCCCTTACAAGCCACGTGACCAACTCCATCGGGGGGCCGAGGGTCGATCGCTGAGATACGGGGAGGCAGATTCCTCATCACTTCCATGGGGAATCCAATGTCTTTTCGGATGACGAAGCAAGTCCGTGCACAATGCTGGACATGGTTTCTTGTTGTCGGAATGTTTCTGACAGGCATTTTAAACTCGATCGTGTCGAAATGGTAGGTTTATTGCGATTAGGCTTACTCCGCAGGCAGGACATGCAGTGTATTAAGCACTGTGAGCCGGACAGTCCCTACCCACCGGTGGAATACTCCCAGCCTGTGTGGCAGACGCTGCAAATGTTTGTTGGTGAAGCGTTCTGTCTCGTACTGTACGCTCTGGGTGCAATCTACCAGTACTACTTTAATGTGGAAGAGATTGTGGAAGACGACGAGGATGAGGCGCTCCTCGAGAACCAGGCGCCTGCCTCCTATGGCAGCACGGAGGCTACTCCTCCGCGCGGGCGTCAACCTCACCGGAAACTGGTGCGCCGGTCCAGCAGTGTGTGGGTGCCACAGCCGCGGCCGCCGGCGAACGAGTCGACGTTTTCGATCATGTCGCTGGCTAATCCACCGCCCTTTGTGAGTTTTTCACTGCGCTTCTTCTTCCCTGCCATGTGTGACATTTTTGCAACGACACTGATGAACGTGGCTCTGCTGATGATGCCTGTGAGTTTCCATGTGATGACGCGCGGTGCATTGGTACTTTGGGTCGGCCTGTTTAGTGTCATGTTCTTGAGTCACCATCTCCATCTCTACCAGTGGCTGAGTCTGGTGATGGTCATGGGCGGCGTGGTCTTGGTCGGTTTAAGCAGCATCATCGTTCAGCACGAGACTGCGATGAGCCAGTTGATCCTTACGTTTCTGGATGCGTCGAAGGAGTCGGCCGTCAAGACGCTCACAGGTGTGGCCCTCGTCCTTGTTGCGCAGATCTTCTCTGCGATGCAATTCGTCTGGGAAGAGAAGATCATGCGTGAACACCGTCTGGAGCCGCTTGTCGTGGTCGGCCTCGAGGGCCTGTTTGGTATGATCCAGATCCTTGTGGGCATGCTGGTGCTGCACCGCTACGTGGGTTCCAAGCCTTCCGGCCAGGGTGGCTTTTTTGATTTGCGTGCGGGCTTTGAGCAAACACTGTTGATTGCTCCTGTGCGTATCAGTGCCTTCATGTGCGCTGCCAGCATTGCGATGTACAACTCGTTTGGTCTCAATGTAACTCGCGCTGTGAGCGCCACTGCCCGCAGCACCATTGACACCTTCCGCACGTTGGGCATCTGCGCTGTGAGTGTGTGGCTTGGATGGGAGGTGTTGCGCCCGCTTTCTGGCAGTGTGCAGGCGCTTGGCTTTGCTATGCTTGCCTACGGCACGTTCCTCTTCAATGGGGTCGTCTCGCCGCCGCGCTGGATGCAGCGTTCGCGCGGTTATCAAGGAGCTGCTTAGCATGATACCCATAAAGTGTCCATACTTGATTCATTCTATAGCAAACAAAGATACATTGTCGATTGTCTACTCATTGCCGAAGCGCATACCTTCTTCGATGGCCAACACGAGCTTGTTTTCCAAGATCTCCTTGCTAGGGTACGGCGGGAGGTCAATACGGTTGAAGCATGTGTGGGACTTGGGCAGCTGGTTGATTTCACCCGACTTTTCAATCGTAAAGCGACGCGGACCGTCCGAGCCTTGCAAGTCTTTGAAGCCATTCACCGGGATACGCGACGTACCCGTAGCAAACTGCAGAAGCCGTGAGCGTTGCTCGGCGGGCCACTGCGTGATGCATTGCCAGAACCACTGCACCACGTCGTCTTGCTCCGTAAAGCCACGGTAGTCGGTGAAGCGCTTCCAGTCGTCCACATCAATCTCGGACATACCGCCCATGAGCAGCTCCAGCTCGCGCTCATCAAACACGTTGATCAGATCCAGGGGGATGAGCTCCGAGAAACCACTGATAAAGGCACGGAACTGCTCCTCAATGCGCTTGACAATGCGCCACTCGACCATGCGCTCGACGTACTCGCGCTTGTTCTCGTCCGTGACCTCAATGTTCTCGCCGCCCGGTGTAAGCTCGATCGTGACCATTTCGCCAAACTTGTCCTCCATCGTGCTAAACGTTTCTTCCATGACTCCTGCGATCGGGTTGTCCAGCATCCACTGCAGCGAGCGATAGTAGTCCGCATCTACACTCTCCATGTCGGACAGCGTGATGCGCTTTTTCAAAATCATCTTGTAGAACGATACAATAAAGTGTGCGTCCAGGAAGCGGCGGTGGAAGATGGCGAGACCCAGCACACGGCCGATAAACTTGAAGTAGTTCAGGTGCTCTGGGTTGATGCCTGAGTGGGGGTTGATTTGCAGCGTGTAGTTGTCGTGCGCACTGTACTCGAATAGACAGTAGAACGGATTGAACATTTCGTGGGACAGCAGGAAGAAGAACTCGCGCGAGACACCACCGTAGTCGAGCGCGTCCTCGCCCTCAAACTTGATCATGAGCCGCTTCTTCAGGTCATTCGGCTGCTGCCGCATGATCTCCGCGTACGAGTCCTCAAAGATGTGCGTGCGGCGCACCTTCACATGGCACTGACCAGGGATCGGCCGCAAGGCCGGCTGCGAGCGGAAGTAGATCAGCTTGCGGCGGAAGTCACGCTTGTACTGCGGCACATTCTGGTCGAGGCTGCTTGGCAGGCGGGGGTCGTCCCATGTGGTCGTCTTCGTGTTGTGGTCCACAAAGTACACACGAGCAGTAGAGGTAAGACGCATCTCCCAACCACTCGGTAGCGGTCCCAGCTGGCTCACACTCTGTGGCTGGAGGCTGAGGTTGTTGCCGTTCGGGCCCATAATGCGCAGGATCTGCTGGCGGCGCGGATCCACCCACGTCGTCGTGCGCGTGTTGTGGTCCACAAAGTACGGCCGGCCCTCCGCGGTGGTGCGCTGCTCCCAGCCACTCGGAAGGGGTCCCGAGCCTGACGATGTCGCCGACGACGCAGCACCCACCGGCGTCGACTGTGCGGCCGAGCTGCCTTGCGACGGGTTGTCCACACCCAAAAAGTCGTCCGCCACAGCCATGTTGTTCATGCGCGTACGGTCCATTCCCGCATCAGCCCGTTGCGCGGGAGGGTTGTTCGACGGACGCGTCCAGGTGGTCGAGCGTGTGTTGTGGTCCACATAGTACGTGCGTCCCAGATGGTCCGTCCGGCGCTCCCAGCCCGACGGCAAGGGACCCAGCTCGTCCGAGCGGCTGTCAAACGCGCGCGCTGGCGCCGCATTGGCAGTGGCGCTGGGGCCCGCGGCGCGTGACGGATCGGCAATGGCCGCGGACGCGGTAGCCGCAGCGGCCGGACGTGCCGGCGCAGCCTGCGGTACCGACGGGCGCGGGGGCTCTGCCGGCGGGGAGGATGCCGCTGTAGCGGCGACAGCTGGGGCCGCAGGACGCGGCGCGTCGGTCGCGGGCTGGGCCGTCGAGCTCGAGCTAGACGAGACGGGGGCAAGCGTGGCCGAGGACGTGGACGTCGGCACTTGGTTGGCTGGCAGGGGCGCAGATACGTTCGTATTCAGGTCGATGATAAGCTTGCCGTGGACGGGCAGCTGGTCATTCGACTTTTTCAGATCGCGCGTAAGAAGCGCCTTACCGCCCAGTTCGAGGTCCACAACTTCGGCTACGCGCACGTTGATGACACCGAGGAAGCCTTGGTCGCGCTTCTTGAATTTTTTCTGGTCAAAGATCTGTACAGCGACCACCGAGGCGTCGTTGACGGTGATATCAAACGAATCATTCCAGTAGGGATTGAGTGTCTTTTTGATCACAGACGTCGTGTGGGTCTGCTCGCCGTCGACGGTGACGATGGCGAACGGGTCAGGCAGACGGAATACGTCGCGCTGCGGCGTCAGATAAGGCCGGCACACATACCTTGACGAGGCCATCGGCCGCCACGACTGTAATGCGCACCTTGCGCGAGCTGCTCAGTTAGTGGTCATAAGCACAGTACGTACAGTCTTCCAGGCGCGGCAGGACTCACCATACTCGGGCGGTGAGCGTGTCGGTAGCGAAGGGCTCCGTGGAACGTGGCGTCCGTTTTCCCCGGTGCGCCGCCACACGCCACGTGGATCCACGTGCACGTTCACATCGCGGCCAGGGCGTCGCTGTCTTCTGCCACGAATGACGACGACGGCGTTCTCGGGCGCGCAGCGCGGGCGCGCCACGTCGCTGTACCGCTCGCTGCTGCGTACATCGCGCCAGCTGTTTGGTGAGGACATGCGCGCTGTACAAGCGGCGCATGCCGAGACGCGCCGCCGTTTCCTGGAGGCGAGGCTCGAGCAGGACCCGGCGAAAATCGACGAGGGCCTCGAGATGGGCGAGCAAGTCCACTACCTGCTCAAGCACAATGTCGTGCAGGGCGTTCCAAAAGACGGCGCAGACAACACCTACAAACTGCGGTTCACCGAGCACACGGAGCTCGGCTCCAACGATACCATTAAGCAGCCGCGGCCCGCGCCGACGCTAGCCGAGATCGAGCGGACCAAGGGGGCCGCGCGTGCGCCGTGCGGTGGCATCAGTGTGCGCTCGTTTAGCACGAGTGTGCGTGTGGGCGCCCGGTCGCCGGAGGGCCCCGAGGCGCCGCTGCCGCGCCCCGTTGCTCGGTTTCCCAACATTGTGATCCTGGCCGACGGCTCGTCGGTGCGCATGACGACTACGTCTCCCCGCTACATGACCAAGATGACGCGGGACTATACGAACCACCCGCTGTGGAACCCCATGATGGGCCGCCGCACGGATGCGGGCGCCGACGACGACGCCGGCCGCCTCGGCCGCTTCCGCCGCCGCTTTGCCGAGGACGGCCCTGAGCAGGCGGCGCAGGTCGCCTTCGACGAGGGCGACTTTGACTGGATGAGCGGTGGCCGCGAGGCGCGGCCAGGTGCGCCCATCCAGACGAAGAAGGGCAAAGGCAAAAAGTAGCGCAGCTAGTCTAGACCGGTCGCCGGCCCCAGGCCACCCGCACGTCCTGCCCCTGCATGGTCACTTTGAGCGCGAGAGCGCTCGCGGCGCGCTCCGCCGCGGCGCGCGTGGCAAAGTGGACAAACGCCGAGGGCGAGGAGCCCACGCGCTGGATCTTGGCCAGGTCGCTGGCGGCGAGGCCGGCCACACTATCCACGAGGAACGCCCGCAGCTGCGCCTCGTCCATGTCCGGCAGTCCCGAAAAGAAGAGCGACTTGATCTCGGGGTTGGTGGGCGGCTCGAGGTGCTTGGCGCCCGCGACCTTCTTGAGGATGTGTCGTGCGCCCGCGTCGTCGTGCCCGTGGTACCGGCTCTGCACCGTGCTCGTCGTGCTGCTGGGCATGTCGTGCCGGTACGGGCACGCCTCGCCGCGTGTGCAGGCGCCGCGCGCATAGAACGAGCACACGAGCGGCCGGTTGCGCTTGTAGTCCGGCTCATGGTTCGCGAGCTTCTTCAGTAGGTCGTGGCCGGCACGCGACGGGCCGACGAGCGACGTCGTTGCCTCGGTCGACGTGCCATCGAGCAGGGCATCCATGCGGTTCACAAAGTACTGCCGGTTGATGTCCGACATGGGTATCTTGACGCTGGTGCCCAGCGCGGCGTCACGCACCTGTGTCGGCAGGTGGTACTCCAGGTCGAGGATGCACGACTGGCACACGTTCTTGAGCTTGGCACACGTCGTGCAGATCTCCGTCTTTTTAAAGCGCATGCCGCTCCCGGGGTTCCAGCGGAAGACGGTGAACGGGCGCCCACACACCTTGCACTCTTTGCCCTGGTGCTGCTTCGACATGCGGACGTACGGGTTCGGCCCGAGGCACGTCTCGCACAGGAGCGGCGTGTCCGCGTCCGCGGTGCCCGCGCTGGCCGCGCCCTGCTTATTGAGGAAGCCGTATGCCTGCGCGTGAGTAGGCGCTACGTACCATGGCGTCCGGCGTGTGGCGCGCCAGGGACCTGCGACGACGGCGCTCGTGTCACGTGCACCTTCTACGACCATGGCGGGCGGCGATGAGCGGCGCGCCGGCCCTGGGGCGCCGGAGACGGCGAGCATGAAGAATCTCGCGCGGCTCCTGTCCATGCTGGGCGCCGAGGACCGCCCGGCGCCGCCAGCGGAGCACAAGTTCTGGAAGACGCAGCCGGTGGCCCAGCCCGGCGACTCGGACGCGCTGCCGCCCGGCGCGATCCAGCCGAACGTGCCGCCGGAGCAGGTGCGCGCGGAGCCGCTGCCGCTGCCGGCGGACTTTTCGTGGGCGACGGTCGACCTCGATGACGATGCGCAGCTGCGCGAGGTGTACGACCTGCTCACGCACCACTACGTCGAGGACGACGATGCGACGATGCGCTTCAAGTACTCGCCCGCGTTCCTGCACTGGGTGCTGCGCCACCCCGGCTTTGACAAGACGTGGCACGTCGGCGTGCGCGTCAAGTCGAGCGGCAAGCTCGTTGCGTTCATCGCAGGCATCCCCCAGGAGCTCCGCGTGCGCACGCAGTCGCTGCAGGTGACGGAGATCAACTTCCTGTGCGTGCACAAGCGCCTGCGCAGCAAGCGCCTCGCCCCCGTGCTGATCCAGGAGATCACGCGCCGCTGCAACGCGAGCGGCGTCTTCCAGGCGATCTACACGGCCGGCCAGGTCATCCCCACGCCCATCTCGTGCACGCGCTACTACCACCGCACGCTCGACGCGGCCAAGCTGCTCGATATTGGCTTCAGTGCGGTGCCGCGCGGCATGTCGCGCAAGGACCACATCGCGCGCTTCGCACTGCCGGCGACCACGCGGACCGAGGGCCTGCGCGAGATGCAGGCCGCCGACGTGCCGGCGGTCGGCCGCCTGCTGCGCCGCTACCTCGCGCGTTTCGACATGGCGCCGCGCTTCACAGACGCCGAGGTGCACCACATGTTTGCGCCGACGGACGAGGCGCGCGTGACGTGGTGCTACGTCGTGGAGCGCGAGGGGCGCATCACCGACTTTGTCTCGTACTACAGCCTCCCCTCGTCGGTGCTGAACCACGACGTGCACGACACGCTCAGTGCGGCGTACCTGTTCTACTATGCGACGGAGGCCGCGTTTGAGGCGCCCCTCGCGCCCCGCGACACGCCCGCAGCGCCCTCGCCGTACGAGCGCGCGGCCGCGGAGGGCCGTGCGCCGTGGGAGCGCACCGCGTGCAGCCGCCTCTCGCCGGCCGAGGCGGCCGACGAGCGCGACGTCGCGCCGTGGCACACGGAGCGTGCCGCGCAAAAGAACGCGCTCAAGGCGCGCCTGCAGCAGCTCATCGGCGATGTGCTCGTGCTCGCGAAGCAGCACGGCTTCGACGTCGTCAACTGCCTCTCGGGCATGGACAACGCGCTCTTCGCCTCGGACCTCAAGTTCGGGCCGGGCGACGGCTTCTTGCGCTTCTACCTGTTCAACTGGCGCGTCGCACCGATCGCCGGCGGCCTCGGCGCGCGCGCCGGCGAGGACGAGCTCGATCCCGCGCACGACACGCCGCACCCCCACCCCCCGACGCAGTGGGGCTCGGGCAACGGCGTGGTCATGGTGTAGTTCATAGGTGCCAAGGCGCACGCGCTTCCCACGCCAGGAGGCGGCCCCACGAGCGCCACATGCGCGCGACGACCGCGTGCCGCTGCGCCCACGACGCCGACGCACACTCGAGCTCCGCCAGGTCGGCGCGCACCTCCAGCCACAGGCGCTGCGCCATCGCGCGCTCGCCGCGGCACGCCGTGCGCAGCAGCGCCTCGAGCGATGTGCCCAGCGCGCATACATCCAGGAGCAGGCGCCCGTACGGCGCGGGGCCCGGCGCCGCACCCGCACAGAGCGCATCCATGCGGCGAAGCGCCTCCCACGCATCGACCTGCGACCGCTGCGTACGGCGCACACGCTGCGTGCTGCGGTCCAGCAGCGCAGCGACGCCGCGGCGCACGCCGACGACGAGCGCATACACGAGGACGAGCGCCGGCGCGACGCCCATAGCGCCGATCAGCAGCTCCTGCGAGCGGAGCACCCACTCGATGCCGCTCAGCGCCGTCTCGAGGTCGACCTTCGCCTTCTGCACCTGGATCAGCACCGGCCGCACGAGCGTGCCAGTCAGCAGCGCGCGCAGCGGCGTGCGGATCGCCGCCTCGTACAGCTGCATCACCGACGTCAGGTCGCCGGCGCGCGTGCGGGCCTGGAGCGCTGCAAGCGCCTCGTCGTCGAGCCGCAGCTTGTCGCGACCGAGCGACGCGACCATGCGCTCGAGGCTCTGCTCGTTCGCCGCGAGACTTTCCACACGTACGAGCTGCGCGCGCTCCGCGCGCCCGGCACGCAGCGTGTCCAGCAGGCGCAGCAGCGGCTCGTACACCCAGTGCACCACGAGGCCATGCACCGCGTCGCACACCGACGCAGCCTGCGCCCGCAGGCTCGCGCCGTGCACATACAGGCCACGCACGAGCGCCCACGACAACAGGGGGTACGCAAGCACGAGCGGCCACACGCGCGTCAGCGTGCGCGGCGGGCCACACGCACGCATCATGTGCGACACGCTCGCCTCGTGCTCCGCGACGGCGTCGAGCAGCGCGCGCGCTTCCTCGACGAGGCTCGCGTCCGGCTCGGCATCGCCCGCCTCGCCCGTCGCCAGGGCGTCCTGCGCCTCTTGGCAGAGGCGCTTCGCCTGCGCGGCCAGTGGCGCATCGCGCTCGCGCGCATGCCACGCCGTCGCGACCATGCCGAGCGTGCGTGCCATGCTCTCCTGCGCGCGCAGCAGGCGCACGCACTTGGCGTGCGCGGCACGCTGCACGTCTGCGACGCTGGCCATCGCGCCAAGGGCCCCGCGCTCGTCGCGCGCCACAGGCCAGGTCGTCGCGAGGCGGTGGGGCAGGGCTGCGTGAGTGCCGCGGACGTACTCTGAAGCCACAGCACACCCGCGCGGGTCGTGCTGCACTCGATGCCTTGCCAGTAGAGATGGCTCTCGTGCAGCGCGCGCGCGGCGGCGACGAGCGTATCGAGCAGGTACACGTACGTCGCGACGACGACGCGCGCCACATCCGCGTCCGATGCGCCGCGGCTGCGCGTGCGGGCGAGTGCCGCGCCGAGCGCCGCGCACGTCCGCAGCTTGAGCATCGTCGATGCGTCCCATGTGCCGGGCGTCGCGCGTGGGAGCGCGTGCAGCGCTTGCACCAGCGCGGCACGCAGCGCCGTAGGCATGGGGGAAGCGGGTGGCGGCCTCCACCGCTGGCGGCCCTTCCCCGTCCCGCGCTCGGTGGCAATTGGGCGACGATGGCAGCGAGTCGGCCCCAGGCCTATGGGCAGATCACGCTGTCGCTGCAGCACTGTATTGATCTCACGCTGCAGGATATCGGCAGCCATCACCGCCCGCAGGCGTACGTGAAGATTAGCCAGATCGCGCTGCAGGCGTCCATGTACACGTCGTCGGCGCTGCAGTGGCTCAACGTGCGCACGACGATGGGCCTGACGGGCGCGGCGAATGCGCCGCCCCAGACCATATCGACGCTGTCTGCGCATGTGAGCGACCTCACGCAGCTGGCTCTGGACGCCGTCGCCGCGCAGGCGGGCGCGAGCCGAGTCGAGCTGCTCCTCGCGTCGCCGCCGTCGGTGCTGTCTGCGACGCAGCGCGCCGAGAGCGGCCACACGCTGCGCTTCGTCGATGCGAGCGACGACCAGCCATGGTACCCCAGTGCGAGCTACCCCGTCGCCGTGCTCGCGCTGCTCACTCACATCTTCTCGTGCCTGGTGCACATCTCGATGCAGGACTCGCGCGTGCTGGCGCGTGTGTCGTGCTCGGAGCAGCTGAACGAGTCGTCCGTCGACGTGTTCTTCGATGCGACTGTGCCCAGCAACGAGACCGCGTGGCCTGCGTGGCTCGGGCCGTACGCGGACCTGCAGAGTGTGCTGGACGAGTTTGGCGTGCACCTCTCGCAGTCGTCGTGCGACGAGGCGGCGCTTGCGGCTGCCGGCGACGACCTGCTCATGGCGCCGTTCCTGCAGGCATCGAACGTCTGCTGCCTGCGCATCACTCTGCGCCGCCCGGGCGCGCCGGACCTGCTTACGACCGACCCGAACCGGGAGCGCGACCTGCCGTGCGTTCTGCCGGGCGTGAGCGTTCTACACGTGCTCGAGGTGATGCCCCTCCTCCGCGTGTGCGTCCTGCCCAAGACCGATGCCCTGAACTCGCTGCTGCGCACGTACCTGCGCGAGTGGGGCATGCCGGTCGTCGCGCTCGACGAGAGCCCCGATGTGGTCGTGGTGCACAACGACACGGACGTGTGCTTCAATGCGCGCGAGCGGCGCCTGCCGTGCATGTTCATTTCGCCGTACGGTGCCGTGTCGATCTGCTCGCTGCCGGCCGGCACGAGTGCGTTCCCGGAGCCCGTCGGCCGCCCGCGCTTCGTCTATGCGCTGATCGCCGTCGCGCTCAAAGGCCGGCTTCCCGTGCGCTCCGACTCGGCCGTCGTCGAGACGCCGGCGGCGGCGCTGCCGCCCGCCGGCTCGGCGGACGTGTCGGCTGTGGCTACGCCGCATGCCGTGGACCCCGCGCGCGATGCGCCGCTGGTGCCGGAGGCGCCGGCGGCGCACTCGCCGGCCGGCGCGCCGAGCGTACCCGCCGCCGGCACCGACGCCGATGGCGCCGCGCTTCCGACACCGATCGATGCCCTGGCGATGCCGGGCGGGCTGGACGTGGTCTCGCCGAAGGACACGACGACGGCGTCGCCTGTGGTGGACGATGGCGACGACTACTTTGCGCAGGCCGTCTCGCGCCTTGCGACGCAGGCCAACACCGGTGGCGGGCGCCTCGTGCGTGGCGCCGATGGCCGGCTGGCTGGACTCTACTTCCAGCCGCGCAAGACGCCGCCGACAGGGTCGCCGATGCTGGGCTCGGCGGAGAGTGCCGAGCCGGTGCGGACGCCCGTGTCGGCCGCGCCGACGACGCTGTCGTTCGGACCGCTGCGCACGCGACGCATTACGCGGCCCGGCGCGCCGACGTCGATCCGGCTCCCGCCGCCGCCGCGGGTGGACTTTGCGATCCGCGCGGCGCCGACGCCGTACACGCAGCTGCCGGCGCGCCACTCGGTGCGGACGTCGGCGCAGCCGCAGCCGGGCGTGATGATCGGCCCGCAGGCGGCGCCGATGCTGGGGCGGCGCGGGAGTGACCAGAGCTCGCCGTCGCCGCTGTCGCCGCGCGCGCTGTCGCGCATCCAGAAGCGCAAGCTGGCCCTGCGCGAAGAGTTTCTGCCGCCGGTCAAGGTGCTGATTGTGGAGGACAATGTGATCAACCAGCGGATTCTCGCGACGTTCTTGCAGCGCAAGCACATTGCGTACGAGATGGCGTCGGACGGGCGCGAGGCCGTAGAGAAGTGGCGGCGCGGCGACTTTCATCTGATCCTCATGGACATCCAGCTGCCTGTGATGGACGGCATCGAGGCGACGAAGGAGATCCGGCGCCTGGAGCAGGCTCTGCAGTCGTCGCGCGGCCGCACGGATGCGCCGATGCCGCCGGTGATGGCCGCGCGGCACTCGGTGATCATTGTGGCGCTGACCGCGTCGGTGCTCATTTCCGACCGTGTCGAGGCGCTGGCGGCCGGCTGCAACGACTTCCTCAACAAGCCCGTGAGCCTGCCGTGGCTGCAGCGGAAAATCCTCGAGTGGGGCAGCATGCAGTACCTGCTGCATGCCGGACTCTCGTCGTGGGTGAGCGAGCCGAGCCTGCACACGTTCGAGCAGCAGGTCGACGAGCAGGCGCAGCGCCTCGCGAGCACCATACAGTTGGAGCCGCCGCGTGCGACGTCCTAGATACCCATATAGCCTACAGGAGCGAATATGTCGCGACAGGCACCGCGAGGATGCCGAAGAAGAGCGCCGTCGACCACACCGTCGCCGTCGTATACGGCGAGTGGAGCGGCGGCGCCGGCATCGGCACAGGCGCATCGTTCTCGTCGGCGCCCGGCTTGACGCGCGCGCCCTTCTTCTCGAGCCGGCGCGCAAAGTCGGCAGGGTCGACGCGCGTGCCCAGCAGCGTGTCAAAGTGCACAAAGAAGGGCTGCGAGTAGTTGTAGCGCAGCCCCTGGCTCTGGTGGTGCACGTCGTGGTACTCGGCGTTGTTCGGGAACAGCAGCTGCACCGGGTTCAGATACCACGGGAACGCATACCCGCAGTGGTCGCACACGGTCTTGAACGTGGACAGCGTGAAGAAGACGACCGTCTGCCGCAGCGTCATGCGGCTGCACAGCCGCGCCATCTCGGCGCCCAGCGTGTCGAGGAGCATGCCCTCGAGGGGGTGGTTGTACAGCGCCCCAAAGGCGTACGGCACATACAGCCGGTGGTGGTGCGAGTGCATGAGCCGGTACAGGAAGCGCACCTCGTGCATCGTGCGGTGCAGCGCGTACTGCCACGCGTCCATAAGAAAGCACGCAAACCAGAACTGCAGCCACGGCACGCCCCACCAGTACAGCGCGATCGCCGCGCGCACGAGGAACACGTCCTGCACCTGCACGTACGCATGGGCCTCGCGCAGCCACGACAGTATGTGCGTCACGTCGCGCACCGGATCGACGTCAGTGCGCGTGCCGGTAAGCACCGAGTGCGGCGTGTCCTCCATGAGCAGCACGCCCAGCAGCGTCTGAATCAGGTGCTGCACAATCACCATCACAATCACGCGCTGCATGCTCACGCGGTTCCGCTTCACCACCTCCGCCGGCGGGTGCAGCCGGTACTTTTCCGACCACGCCGGCCGCCACACATCGAGCGCGTGGTACCAGAGGCAGGTGCCCCAGTACACCAGCACCGGCATCGCCAGTGACAGGTACTTGTCGCTAATGAACGGGAAAAATCGCGCGCGGTCGTGGTAGAAGAACGGCACCGTGCGCTCCACGAGCACGGCCACGTCCTTCGCGCTCACCCACGTCGCTTCCATGCTGTGGCGTGACCCGTCGCGGCGGCGGCGTGGAGGCGATCGTCCGGCACGTGCCGCGACACGTCGCTCGCTGCCACGACGCTCCGCCATGCTCGCACGCGTCCAGACGCCCGCGCTCCTCGCCGTGCTGCTCATTGTCGTGCCGCTGCTCGTGGCGGCAGCACGCGACTGGTACGACGTGCTGGGCGTGTCGCGGCATGCCTCCGAGCGCGACATCAAGTCGGCGTACCGCAAGAAGGCCCGGCACATCCACCCCGACAAGCACCCCGACCGTGCGGACGAGTTCATGGAGCTCACCGAGGCGTACCAGACGCTCAGCGACCCTGAGCTGCGCTCGATCTACGACCGCTACGGCGCCGAGGCGGCGCAGCAGCACCAGAACAAAAAGGAGAGCGGGCACCAGGACCCGCTCGACCTCTTCCGCCAGTTCTTTGGCGGCGGCGCCCAGGAAACGACCGCCAAGGGCCCCACCAAAATATACCAGGCGTCCGTGCCTCTCTCCGACGTCTATAACGGCCGCTCGTTCACGATTGAGCACGAGCGCATGGTCGTGTGCCCCGCCTGCTTCGGCTCCGGCGCTCACTCGCCGGCGCACATCCACACGTGCTCGCAGTGCCACGGCCGCGGCGTGCAGGTCCTGCGGCAGCAGATCATGCCGGGCTTCGTGACCAATGTCCAGATGCAGTGCCCCCACTGCCACGGTGCCGGCCGCACGATCGCAAAACAGTGCGGGCGCTGCCGCGGCGAGCGCGTGCTGCAGGACAAGACGGACATCGAGGTCGAGGTCGAGGCCGGCGCGCGCGAGGGCTTCGAGTACGTCCTCGAGGAGATGGGCGACCAGAGCCCGGACACGGATCCCGGCGACGTCGTTGTCAAGGTCACGTCCGAGGCGGGCCCCGGCGACCTGCGCCGCCTCGGCCACAACCTGTACACGACCGAGGCCCTGTCGCTCCACGAGGCCCTCCTCGGCTTTGACCGCACATTCCAGCACTACGACGGGCACACGGTGCGTCTCCGCCGCGCGGACGTGACGCAGCCCGGGTTCGTGCTGCGTGTGGAAGACGAGGGCATGCCGATTCCCGTCGACGAGCGCGAACAGGCCGGGGGCCGCACGCACGGCGACCTGTTCGTCGAGTTCCACGTCGTGCTGCCACACCTCGATGCGCAGAAGCGCGCGCAGCTCAGCGAGGTGCTCGCGCCGCCCGTCGCCCACACGGAACTATAAGGACCCCTATCTTGAGTGTCTTGAGCTATCTACAGAGTACATATAGCGCTACAGCAACGCCGCAGCTACCACCACAAGGCCGAGGCCGACACAGACGGCACCCCGTACTGGGACCGGTCCGCCGCGCGCGCTACCGCGAAGCCCGCCGCCCGCGGGGCTCAGCGGCTGCAAGTGGTCAGGCACCTGGACCGAGGCGGTCTGCCACGACTTGTCCGTGTTGGGCTCGGGTCTGGCGAAGCTACCGCCACCGCCGCCACCACCCAGTGGCCCGCCGCCGTCGCCGCCGTCAAACGGGTTCTCACTCACACTCGACTCGCCCGACGGCATCGGCACGCTCGTGAGAGAGAGCGACTGGGCGCCGCCCTTGGGCAGGTCTGCAAAGCCGACACTCGGCGGCGACGAACCAAAGGCCGTAAACACAGTTTTGAGGAACGAGTCACCGACGATCCACGCGGGCATACGCGCCGAGTTCGTCGGGCTCACGAAGATCGCACTCACACAGCTGCTGCCAAACGTCGACGCTGGGCCCAGGTTCAGGTCGTCGTTCGATAGCTTGAACGAGCGCCCACCAAACACAAACTCGACCTCGAACGTTTGCTTGCACGGGAATGTATAGTACTGCGACGACTGGGGCAGCGGGCGCGCGCCAGGGATGATCGAGTGGATCTGCTCCACGAGACGCTGCGGGCCGCCGATCAGCGTCGTGCCGGTATCAATCGCAGCGACGCCCATGTTGCCCATGCTGATCTGCTGGCCATTCACCATCATCTGGTCAATGTCGACGGCCCAGTACCCCAGGCCATTCGGGCCGTACCCCTGCGCCAGCGGCACCCATGTCAAGTCGCCCGAATACTGCTGCGAGTCAAGGACACCCAGCGTAAAGACACCACCAGCGTTGATCTCGTTCGCGGACTTGACAGACCCAAAGTTCGTCGTGAGTTGGAACGAGAAGAGGTAGTCATGCAGCATGTGGCGCTCCGTCAGGATCTGCCAGAACGGCATCGTGCCGGTGGTCGAAAGCGTGTCGAAGCCCATACCCATGATACCCGAGGCGGGCGGACGGATCGTGTTTTTGGCCAGGTGCGATGCCTGTCCGAACGAGACGGACGAGATGTTGAAGTCGGCAAGCGATATGGCGTCCGTGGCCAGCGTGCCTTTGACGGCACCAGTGCCGTACTGGACCTGGAACGGCGTATTGGTGTCGTGGTACGTGCTGCTCTTGGACGCATCGTACTTGACCATCGCGGACGGACAATTTTGCGCGGTGGTGCAGGCGGCATCCGCGACCCAAAAGTCCGCAGATCCCGTGTCCAGTACTACATCCATCGTCTTGAGGGGCGTTCCGATACCGATAGGTGCAAAGTAATAGCTATCCGCGCCCGAGTCGCCAAGTCCCACCTGCTGGCGCTTGTTGTGCGAGGAATGGCGGTCCTTGGGGTGCGTATACTTCACGCGCAGCTTGGAAGTTTCTTGATCGAGCCAGTCTACCAGCTCGGACGGCTGCATGCGCTTGTTGCGAGGGTGCTTCGCCTGCTTGTTGACGCGGATCGGGACGCGCAGGCCGTGGGCCGAGACGGTCGGCGTAGCCTTGATCGGCGCCGTGGCCGTCGGCACGGCCCACGCACATGCGGCCATCGCAGTCACAGTGCCTACCAGTACCGAGATGCCTTGCACCATGGGGACGTCGAAGGGGGCTAGGCGGCCGGAGCTAGGCTGGGGCGTTCCAGTTTTCCGCGGCAAGGCGCAAATCGCCCGCGTGGCTGTGATTTGCTCCACCCAATGGTACACTGGCATTTTTGGGATTATGTCGCTCCGCGGCTCCAGCGGCGCCTGCCAAGCCGCCGGGCAGGGCCGCTAGTGAGGCGGACGCAATAGCAAGGTGCCAGGTAGTAGGCATGCACCACATCTATAGAGCTAGTAGTCTTTAGCCGAACATGCGGCCGCCGTTCGCGGCGCCGGCGGCCTGGCCCATGGCCTGCATGTGCTCGCCCACTTTGGCGTTCACGGCGAAGAACTTGCTGACGCAACTACCGTCAGCGGCGCCCTAGCACGTACCGGTCCACACATACGCTCTCGCCCTTGTTCAGGTCAGCCTCGGCGTAGCGGTCGCTAATGCACTTGGTGTGGCACGCCGAAACGAGCCGGTTGAACACATCCGTGATCATATCAAGCTGCAAGCATTAGCATGGTACGCTCACGTACCTCGGCTGTGGCCGCCTCAAGCTGCGCCGATGACGCTGCCGGTGCCGCCGCGCTCGAACTGCCACCAAACAGACCCATGATCTTGGACAAGACGAAACGGCGGCGGCCGACGAAGGCCACGCCAGGAGCTGACTAATGACATCCACGCGAGGCACGAGCGTGTGCACACCGCAAGTGATTCATCTATAGTAGGTATTTTGGGACCCGATGATGGCTAAGAGCGCCAGCTCGACGCGATCAAATAGAGACGGGCTCGAATCGCGTGCCAACCAAGGGGCGGGGTTTGGTACGCTCAGTCTGCAGAGACCGTGCGCTAAGACGAGCGGCCTAGGCCGCCTCTACACCACACAGGTCCAGGAGAGCCGCACTTACTCGCGGCGGCCGAAGCGGGGCTGGAAGCCACCACTGGGCGCATCGTCCTTCTTCTCAAAGTCGCCACGGCGGCGGTACTCGCGGTCGCCACCGGCGCGGCCGCCGCGGAAGCCGTCGCGGTCACCGACCACGGCACGCTGGGGACGGGCCGGGCGCTTGTGCGTGTTGGGCACAATCTCCGAGGGGAGGTGCAGGTACTCACGGAGGTACTCGAGACCCTCGTCGGTGAGCACGTAGTAGTACCACTGCCAGCTGAACTGCGTGTGCACGAAGCCCTTCGACGTCAGCGACTGCATGGCCTTCACGACCTCGAGGTTAGGCACGTCCAGGTTAGGGTGCTTGATCTCAAAGTTCTTGGGGGCGACGAGCACACCCTCCTGGAACAGGGCCATGTAAATGGTGCGGCGGTTCTCCTTCGAAATGATCATGATGAGGTAGGCGCAGGTAGTAGACGGAGCCGCTAGCAGGCGCCGGCTCGCCTCGCCGTCCGTCTTCTTCGAGGTCACGTGGTACTCATAGTTTTGACGTAGCACGTGATCAAAGCAGGCCGCCGGCCGCGAGCCTTTTCCCCTGCGAGGGCCGCGCGCCGTTCCGCTCCAACCACATTCGCAAGGTGTGTAGCGCCGCCGCCGCCCTGGCGCTTCTTGGACGGAAACTAACAGCTTGGCAGCAAGATGGGTAAGGTCCACGGATCGCTCGCTCGTGCCGGTAAGGTCAAGTCGCAAACGCCCAAGGTGGAGAAGCAGGAGAAGCCCAAGACGCCCAAGGGCCGCGCCCACAAGCGCATGCTGTACAACCGCCGGTATGTATTATTGACTTACACACAGCTTCGTCAACGCCGTGGTCACTCCCGGTGGCAAGCGCCGTATGAACTCGAACGCGGACAAGTAAACGAGCCCCGCTCGGGTCCGTGTGGCAAACGCACGGAGCTGCTCGGTTTTACCGTATATCTATGCTCACAGCACCTGGCTGTGAGGCAGGCCCATGGGGTCTCGCCGCTCTGGCATCCATGTAGTCGGCTCTGCTCGGAGCCATAGTCCGGTCCGACGGCACTATGGTCGGGCGCCATGAAAAATACGTTACAGACGCACTAGCATACGCGCACCCCGCCCCGGTAGAGCGTGAGCACTGGCGCCGACTCGACGCGAGTATGCCATATGGCCTCGTAGTCGCCGCGCAGGAGCCCATGCCGTCCGGCCAGGGCATCGTTCCACACAAAGCCCTGGCACGGCAGCACCTGAGGCATCGTCGCCTGTGAAGTATCCACGGCCAAGTGCATCAAGAGCATAGGCAGTGGGCTAGAGCGCATATGTAGAAGGGTCTGCTTGCTAAAGCCAGACGCACTCGCCAGTATGGCGAACAGGGACACAGGTGCCGTCTGCGCACGCTGCTCCACCCAGCCTGCCCGCAGGAGGGTGCCTTCGAGCTCGCGCACAGTGGCCGGGCCGACCGGGCGCTTCTCCGCCTTGCACTGCACGAGTACGCGATACGCATCGGCCCCGCTGGGCCCCGGCGCCCACCATCCCCGAAGATCCACGCCGCGATCACCTGCACCACCGGTACGATGCAGCTTCATGCCCATCCACGACTCGAGCGTGCGGAGGCAGGCCAGCTCGTAGGCGGCGCCACGACACGCCGCCGACGTGGCCATCGCCGTAGTCACTCGGTGGGGCAGCGCCGGGGCGCCTCGTGCACGTGCAGCGTAGTGCCTCCACCGCGTCGCGCCGCACCGCGACGGTTGGCACACCATGGCACCGCCGGCCCCGCACCGCGCGAGCATGGCGCCACGGGCCTCTCAGGCCTCGCGCACACGCATGTCTATGGCGCCAGGGGCAGGGGGCGTATCGAGCTCGGTCGCTGCCCGGCTAGCCGCCAAGCAGGCGGAATTGCAGGCCCTCCAGCATCTGCGTGCCGAGTCGGCGCGTCTTGCGCAGGAGCTCACGGACCTGAGCGAGCGCGTCGATACACTTGTGACAGGTGGACAGACCATTGCGTCTGTGATGGCGAGCTGGCAAGGCGTGTTCCGAGCGATCCAATTGGCCCAAGGTACGTGCGCCTCTCTAATCGCAGCGGCCATGTCCAAATCCGACGCTGATCCGGCAGCCGATGCCACGTCCGCGCACCAGCATCCGACGGAGCAGGCTCTCTCGTTGGACACACGGACTGTTCCAGAAACGCTTGTGCGTATTCCACTGCAGGCGGTTGAGACGAGCACTTCGGCGCCATAGACGCCCTATATAGCCTCAACTAGGACGAGGCCCGACGCGGCCACAACGCACTGCCCCAGCGATGGAAGAGCGCGCGCCACCAAGAGGGCCCCGAAAATGTATACACGCGGCGGCACGCGGGCCACCACCAGGTGCTCGGCTGGCGCTGGCGCAGGAGAGTATCGGCGACCTGGCGCAGAACGAGCTGGACCTTGGCCTCGGTGCTGACGCGGAACGTGGTCCAGTGCACTGGGCGCGAGGGGCCTGCAGTCGCAGTCGGTGCGCGCTCGCCCTGCACATGCTCGCGGCGCATCGTCTCAAAACCGGCTTGCGCAGCCTGCGCCACGACATGGGCGGCGCCACGCGCCCGCACGCCCAGCTTTTTGCCGGGCATAGATACGATATGGACGAGGAGAGCTGGTCCATCGCTGGGCGAGCGGTTTGGCGAGGGGATCGCGAGTTGGAGCAGGCGGCGGAGCATGCTGAGCGGCACAGTGACGTGACGATGCAGTGCGCGGTCCAAGTCGTCCTGCCCGAGCTGCGGGAGTGGCCCCCCGCCGAGCATCGGCGCATGGTGCGGCACATCTGCAAGGAAGCTGAGCGTATTCACAACGCCAATGAGGCGCACATTTTGGCCGGGCTTGGGGTACGGGTCGCCGGGGCTGTTTAGCGGGAAGCGCAGGCACAGCGTCGAGTGCACAGTGTGCACCCACTGCGACTCGGTTTTCTCGGTGGCCGACGTTACGTCCCACACAAAGGCGCGCACATAGCCCTGGGAGGCCGGCGGCACGGCGCGCTCAAGGTCCACACGCGCATCATTGGTTGCCACGGACGTGAGCACAATAAGCTCGCGCGCAGCGAGATGCAGCACGAGGGCGCGCCCGAGTGGCGTATCACCACCGAGCACAATGACAGCCTCGTTGCGTGCGCCGTCCGCGGCGATGGCGCCACGGAGCGGGGCCGATGAGGTCCAGTACGTATAAGCCCGCGGCACGAGCACGAGGCCCAGGCCGACGGCCGCAGCGGTGGCGGCCACCGCCGCGACTGTGGTGGCGCGAGGCACGACGACCCAGGATTTGGTTGGCACAGGCGGCGTCTGTGGCGGCGGGCTTGTCCACGACGGCAGCTTCTCCCACGCAGAGTGCAGCGTGTCGGAGAGGCCTTCCGGCAACGGCGGCCCGTACTCTTGAAGCGCATCACTCAGCTGGTGCGCTCCATGCTGTACATGCTCAAAAGCATTTGAAGCGGTATCACGCTGCGTTAGTGCCGCGACATACGAGCCAGTTAGCCGCCGAGTGCACGCGGGCTTCGTCCATGGCGGCGGTCTGAGAGCGGCCGTGTCGCGGAGCTCCACACCACGTGATGCCGACTCGCCGCGGCGGCGCAGCGTGTCGTGCCTCGAGCGAGCGAGCGCTTGGGCCGGCGACAGTGCAGTGATGGCGGGCGCCAGCGAGGCGCTCGACTGGGATGCGATCGTTGAGCAGACTCACAGTCCTCCTGTGACGTCGCTGGACACGCACCAGCGGCCGTGGGAAGTGGACGAGCGCGACGTGACCGAGTTTGGCGGCTTCTCCCTCGATGACGATGTCGACGTCGTTATGTGTGAGGTGTGCAAAAAGCCCGTGCTTCGTGAGGCGCACGCCTTTCATCTAGGTGCGTAGCGCCTACTGACGACAGAAAACTGCGCGGTGGTGCAGGGCATGGCCGATGGCCGCCTCTCGCCCAGCCTGCTGCGGGCGGCGTCCCAGGATGCGGGTGCCAGTGGCGATGCCGGCGCCTTGCAGGCGCGGCGCAAGAACCTGGGTGGCGGAAAGAAGAACCGCGGCCCTATTGACTTGGACCGCCAGTGCGGTGTCATCAACAACAAGGGCCTGCCGTGCTCGCGCTCCCTAACGTGCAAGTCGCACAGTATGGGCGCCAAGCGCAATGTCGCAGGCCGCTCGCAGCCGTACGATGTGCTTCTGTTCGAGTGGCAGAAGGCGACGAACCCCGCCTTTGTCGCGCGCCTGGAAGAGAAGGAGCGCTCGATCGCTGCGGCGAAGCAGTCTGCAGGTGCCAAGGACAAGAAGCGCAAGGCGACAGCGGACCGGCGCGGCGCGGGCGCGGGCGCCGACCTGACCGACCGCGACGGTAGCCTGCGCCTCGCGGCAGAGAACCCGGTGGATATGTACGTATCGCATGCGTCGTTCCAGGACGTCGATACGGAGATGCGGCACGTCCTCGAGACGATTCACATGTCTGCAACGCGTGAGCGCACTACGATTTTGCCGCTCGCGACGCGCAGCCTCGCGGGACAGTATACAACGCGCATGAAGCGCTTCCGTGTGCTGCGCCAGTATCTCGCGCGCGGCCTCTCGGGCACGGCGCACATGCAGGCGCGACTGAGCAGCGAGACGGCCGGCGCCAAAACGGTCGCCCAGGGCGGCGATGCGCCTGTGGTGGCGGCCGGTAAATAGTTATGCTTTCCTTCGCGTCTCGTAGTAGTGGGGCCTGTCATGAGCTGTGTGTACGTACGCCAGTTGCAGGAGCCATGCCTCGTCCACGGCTGTCACGTCGCGGATCATTGGCTGCGTTGTGTGCACGAGCTCCGTGTAGACGACCCAGCGGCTGGGCGGGGTGCGCGTAAAGTACACAGACGACGGATGCGCATGCAGCGTCGTGCCGTGTAGTGTGCGGAACGTGCCGTCCGGCATCCACTGCGCCGTCTGCTGGAAAAAGCCAGCGGCGAGGCAGTAGCGCAGCTGCGTCGCATCGTGCGAGGCGCGCAGCGGGAGGCGCCAGTGCAGCGTGACGTACTGAGCGAGCTGGGCGCGGATTGCCTGCGCCCGCTTGAGCGTCGCATAGTTCAGCGCGTGCCGCGCCGCCCACGCCGCTGAGCAGCGGCCCTGCTGCGGATCGACAAACGCATCGTACACGTTGAGAAGGGTGAGCGCATCGCCCTCCTCGGCGACGAACTTGCGGCGCGCAATCTCCGCACGCGGGTCGGCGGCGCGGTGGTCCGAGTGCAAGAACGGCGTGGCCACGGAGAGCATCGCGGCGATCGTCACGAGCTCGTCCGCACAGCCCCGCTGCGCCCCCCAAAGCACGGCGCGCGCCATCATCGGCTCGAGCGGCGCCTCGGCCAGCTGCTCGCCTAGCGGCAAGAGGCGCCCATACTCGTCGAGCGCCTGCATACTCGCTAGGAACGTCAGGGCCCGCGCCATGTGCGCAGCGGGCGGGGCGGGCGGCACAAACTCAAAGCGCGCGAGGTTGTCGATGCCCAGTGCCTTGAGCTGCAGCAGGTACATGGCCAGGTCACACCGCACAAGCTCCGGCGTATCGGCCGCCGGCATCTGCGCGAGCTGCGACGCAGGGTACAGTCGCAAGCACTTGCCCGGCGCCGTGCGCCCCGCCCGTCCTGCGCGCTGAAAGGCCGCGGCACGCGACGTAGGGCGCGTCGCGAGGGTATCTAAGCCCGTGGCAGGGTCGCGCATGCGCACCTTGACGAGGCCGGCGTCCACGACGAAGCGCACGCCATCGATCGTGACACTCGTCTCGGCCACGTTCGTGGCAACGACGACTTTGCGTGTGCCGCGTGGCGCGGGCGCCAGCGCCGCGCGCTGCTCGTCGAGGGCAAGCGAGGCGTACAGGGGCAGCAGGTGCAGGCGCAGACCGCCCGGTGGCGCCTGGGCCTGCCGGTCCGCGAGCGCCTGCAGCGTCGCATCAATATCGTCGCGCCCGGTGAGAAACACGAGAATGTCGCCGGCGGGCTCGGCGATGTGCAGCGCCCATACGGCGTCCACCGCCGCCGCGACATAGTCGCGGACCGGCGCGGCGGTGTACGCCACGTCCACAGGGAAGGTGCGGCCCTCGATCGAGAGGATCGTAGAGACGGCCTCGGACGTGCCGTGCGCCGCGTCAAAGTAGCGCGCAAACGCCTCGGCGTCCATCGTCGCACTCGCGAGAATCATGCGCAGGTCCGGGCGCTTGCGCCGGATCTTCTGGAGAAGAGCGATGAGCAGGTCCGTGTATGCGCCACGCTCGTGTGCCTCGTCGACCATAATGACGCTGTACCGCGAGAGCAGCGGGTCGCTGAGGCACTCGCGGAAGAGGAGGCCCGGCGTCGTGTACCGCACGCGCGTGCGCGTAGGGTGCGTGCAGTCCTCGAAGCGCACCGCGTAGCCGATCACGTCGCCCAGGCAGGTGTGCGTTTCGTCGGCGACGCGCGCTGCGACGGACGAGGCTGCGACGCGCCGCGGCTGCGTACATACCACCTGCCGCTGCTCGGCGGCCCATCCCGCTTCAAGCAAGAACTGGGGGATTTCTGTGTGAGTGCGTGGACGTACGTGTCGTCTTGCCGCATCCCGTGTGGCCCACCACGACCACCACAGGGTACCGTTCGACCAGCGCGAGCAGGGCCTGGCGGTAGCGATGTACGGGCAGGCGCGTGCGCTCAACGCCGCTGCCCACGAGTGCGACTGCGTCCAGCGCGCCATCGTCGCCGCGGTCCAGGTCACTCGCTGCGTCAGTCGCCCCCACGTACCGGGCCGCTGCGCGCCGGGCTTCCAAAAGGCCATCGAGGCGCGTAGGTCGCGCCAGGCTCGCCGTTGCCTCCACTTATGCCGCCGCCCCTCGCTGCGCAGCTCGCCGCGCTGCCCGAGGCGGGCACGTCCGAGCTCGTGTCGCTCTATGCGGACATGAGCGGGCAGCGGCACAGCAATACGGGTGCGTTTCGGCAGCGCCTCGCGTGGTGGGCGTCCACGCTCGAGCGCGCATGCTGGGAACAATGGGACCGACCGAGCACGCCCCTCGTCCTCCGCGTCGACGCCGACATGCCGAATCGGTGGGCCATGGATTCGGCAGGGCGCCCACTTTGCCTAGCCGTCGTTGTTGTACGTGTGCGCTACTCACCACAGGAAGAGCTCGCGCGGCAGCGCCGATTGATACGGGTCGACGAATATGGGGCGTCGTCCGTTGGTCGCCTCGCGCGCGCGGTGCGCGCGCTCGGAGCGCCGGCGTGGCGTTGGCTCACGGCGTCGGATGACAGTACGTCAGACGAGGCGCTTTGGCCCGCAGTGCAGGGCGCGTGGGTCGTCGTTGCGAACGTGGAGCGCGCCGCGCAACGGTACCTGTCGTCGCTGCCGGCCCACCGCACCCTGTTTGAGTCGGTCGTGTCGCGCGCCGAGCTGCAAGCGCATGTAGCCGAGATGGTGCCGGGTCTTGGCGAGACGGATCTGGACGTGCTGCTCACGTATCTCGAGCGCGATCGTCACGCGATCGCTGTCGATGGCGACGTGGTCAAACTGGTGTATGGCCGCGCCGACGCGCGCGGCATTGGCGAGCAGGAGCGCGGGATTCATGCTACGAAGCAGGCACACGCGCAGCTGTCGCGCCAGGTGGACGAGCTGCGTGTCCGCATCGAGCGCGCACAGGCTCAGGCAGCAGACGCGGTGCGCACCAAGGCGCCACGCACCGTGGCCACATCGTGCTTGCGCACGAAGAAGCAGCTCGAGGATATGTTGACGAAGCGCGTCGGTGCTCTCGAGACGATCAGCGCACTCCTCCTGCAGATGGAGCAGGCGACAGGCGATGCGGCTATTCTGCGCACATACGAGGCATCGGAGCGCACGCTGCGCTCGATCCTCGCGGACCCTGCGCTGCAGCCGGAGCGTGTTGATGCCGTGGTCGACGGGCTGGCTGACGCGCTCCATGCGCAGGAAGAGGTGCACGAGGCCATGCAGGTGGCGCCACCAGCGGATACGGACGACCTGGCCGAGGAGCTCGCGGCCCTGCAGCTGGAGGCACAGGCAGCGCCAGAAAGACCCGCAGAGGCACAGGCAGCGCCAGAAAGACCCGCAGAGGCACAGGCAGCGCCAGGAACACCTGCAGAGGCACAGGCAGCAGCCAAGCGCATCGAGTTGCCTGCGGCCCCACAGCATGCGCCACGTCAGCCCGAGGCACTTCTGGAATAGACTATGAAAATAGAGCATGGTATAGGAACAGCAAAAGGGCCAGCGCGCACACGCCGACAAGGGCAAGTATGCGCGTGTTGCGCCACCACATTTCGCGACGGAGGCTCACCGCGCGGCGGCGGAACGCGAGACTTTGGCTGGCGGCCGAGTCGGTGCGGTCCATCAGCAGCTCGATCTGCTCGCCGCGGCTCAAAATTTGCTCAACATTGCGTGTGATGACGTCCTTGACGCTGCCTAGTTCGGTCTGTGCGCGTTTGATGGGGTCAGCGTCGGGATCGGCGTGGCACTCGCGCCGCAGGGCATCGAGGGGCGCTTGAAACGCGCCGGGCGCCCCGGGCGTCGCGCGGTACGCCTTCTGCATTTCCGCAAGGAACGCAAATGGCACGCGACGACCCATTGCGGCGTCTGCCACAGCAAGGAACACGAGGCCGTCGTCGTCCGCCATGTAGTGGAAGAGCCACTGCTCGTAGGCGTACGAGAGGCGCGGCGCCGTGGCCGGGTCGATCTTCGCGAGGATCGCGGTGGCGGCAGTCTGTGTCAGTGGAGCCATGCCAACGTACTAGAAAGCGCTCGTGTTCCGGGTCATGCGACTCGACGAGGACATCGCTGCCGCGCGCTACCAGCGCAAGGACCAGCATGGCGCTCTCGGGGCAGCGCCACCGATCTAAGCTTCGCGGTCCCCGGTCACGTGCTGGTGATAAGCCGCGGGCAGCGGCCGGGCTCGCTTTAACGTCCGACATGAGCGTATCGGGCTCTGAAGGCAGCGATGCGACGGCATTCTCTCGTTCTAAGCGCTTATTTCATGTACTGAGGCATGGAAGGAACCGCGACGACGATAATGCCGCCCCTTCAGAAGACTCGAGTATGGTTTCGCGAAGCGAGATTACGAGTGCGTCGCTGCGCGAAGAGCGGCAGGAGCAGAAGCTCGCGGAGCAGCGGGCGTTCCAGCGCGACCTGCTGATGCGCCGGCGCTGCTCGGAGGAGATTGCGCGCATAAAGGAGACGGAGGAGCAGCGTTCCCGATACGGCGAGCTGGGTATGTACCACGACGAGCCGGAGGGGTGGATGCATTTCGACAAGTTGCTCTCATTGAATGCAGCCGTGCAGCGCGGCGATGCAGCGGGCACCTCTGCGCTTGGAAAGGAAGTGCGTTTGCGGGCGCGTGTCCATGTTATCCGCCACATGAGCTCGCACCTCGCGTTTGTGGTGCTCCGTGAGCACGGATTGACGTTCCAGACGGTGCTGAGCGAGGAGGGCACCGGCATCACATCGCACATGATGAACTGGGTGCAGCGCCTGCCCACCGAGACCATTGTGCTCGTACGCGGTCAGCTGCAGCGGCCGCACGAGGTGATCACCGGGTGCGATGTGACGCATCTGGAGATGCGCCTGACGCATGTGCATGTGGTGTCGAACGTGGAGAACAACTTACCGTTCACAGTGTACGCCGCTGAGCGTGCCTCGAACAACCGTCTCGAGGAGCACAGTGATCTGGACGAGAACGAGGGCGATCACTCATCGGCGTACGGGGACTCGGACCACGATCAGCACTCGATCAAGAGCTCGGTAAACACCAATGCGCCGATCATTACGCAGCGCACGCGTCTGAAGAACCGTTTGATCGATCTGCGCACGCCGACGATGCAGGCGACGTTCCACATTCAGTCGACCATCGGCCGCGAGTTCCGCCAGTATCTCCAAGACCGCAAGTTCACCGAGATCCACACGCCCAAGCTGCAGGGGGGTGCGTCCGAGTCGGGTGCCAGCGTGTTCCAGGTGGGCTACTTTGGGCGCATGGCGTTCCTGGCGCAGAGCCCGCAGCTGTACAAGCAAATGTGCATTGCTGCCGACATGGGCCGCGTGTTTGAGATTGGCCCTGTGTTCCGCGCGGAGAACTCGAATACGGCGCGCCATATGACAGAGTACACGGGCCTCGACCTGGAAATGGAGGTGAACCACTACTACGATGCGCTTGCGATGATCGATGGCATGCTGAAGCACATCTTTACCGTGCTGCGCACCGAGTGTGCCGAGTCGGTGCGGGCGGTGCAGCGCCACTTCCCAAGCTCGGACCTGCAGTGGCTCGAGCAGACGCTCGTCCTGCCCTTTTCCGAGGGTGTGCGTATGCTGCGAGAGTCCGGCTACCGCGAGGAGGACGGCAGCGAGCCGAGCGAGTTTGAGGACCTGGCGACGCGCGGCGAGATCCGCTTGGGACAGCTCGTTAAGGAAAAGTACCATACGGACTACTACGTGCTCGACAAGTTCCCGCGCAGTGCGCGGCCGTTCTACACGATGCCCGACCCGAAGGACGACCGCCGCACGAACTCGTTTGATATTTTCGTGCGTGGCCAGGAGATTTGCACGGGTGGTCAGCGTATTCACGACCCGCAGGTGCTGGAGGAGAACATCAAGCGTCTCGGCATGGATGCAGCGAGCCTCGAGGAGTACCTAGAGGGCTTCCGTCTCGGTGCGCCGCCGCACGCGGGCTGCGGTATCGGACTGGAGCGCCTCGTGATGCTCTACCTGAACCTGGACGACATCCGCCTGGCCTCGCTGTTCTACCGCGATCCGAAGAGCTTCCCCGCGCGACACACCTTGGAGCTGCGCCACCCCGAAGCAAGCACGAACCCTCCGCCGTGGCGCCAACCCTCTGCGCAGCGTTTCCTCACGGTCGAGCCGCCGGAGAAGGAGCTGCAGCCGCTCACCAAGCTCATTGCCAACTACGGCGACTCGACCAACACGTCGTGGCTGGATGCGCGCATGCAGGTGTGGCGCGACAGCGACACGGGCGCCGCCGTGGGCTACTGCCGCATGCGGCGCTACGTCCTTGTCATGGGGAACCCGCTGTGCGATTCGAGTCAGTACGAGCGTGTTGTGTCGCGCTTCCTGGAGTATGTGCGCGCCGAGATGCACGCCAAGCCCGTGTGGATGATGGTCGGCGAACCGATCGAGAACATCCTGGGCGGCCGCTTTGGATGGTGCTCACTGACGTGCACGGCGGACCAGCGCATTGACAACGTGCGCAACAACCCTGCGAAGCACGATCACGAGATCCAGCGCAAGATGCGCCACACGAAGAAGCTAGGCGTGTCCATTGACGAGGTGCCGTTCCACGAGAATGTGCCGAGCGCGCTCCAGGAGGAGGTCAACGAATGCATCCAAGCCTGGCAGAAGAGCCGCCGCGGCACGCAAGTGCACCTTACCGATGTGCGCCCGTGGATTGACCAGGAGCACCGCCACTACTTCGTGGCGCGCGACAGCGACAAGAAGGTGTGCGCGCTGGTAGTGCTTGCGCAGCTGGCGCCGGTGCATGGCGTGCAGGTCAAGTGGGCCATAAGCTTCCCCAACGCGCCGAACGGCACGATCGAGATGACGATTCTGCACGCGCTGGACACGCTCGGCACGTCGGCCGTCACGTTCGGCACCGCCGCGGCGACCCGTGTGGAGGCCGTGCATGGGCTCAGCAGCCTGGCGTTCCGGATGCTCTCGCGCGTGTACAATGGCGTCGCCGAAAAGACGCGCCTGCAGAACAAGACCGAGTTCCGCGAGAAGCTCGGGACGTACCGCGATCCAACGTACATCTGCTACCCGAAGGGCGGCATGTCCATGCTCGCTGTGCGCGAGATCATCGACTTTTTCCGGGAGTAGGGCTCCGTAGAACTACACACCTACATTCCAATGTGGCCCCGGCACCGCGCCACGAGGCCAGGCATGGCCGTGCACATCCTTGTCGTCGGGGCTGGCGCCGTTGGCGGCTTTTATGCAAGCCGCTTTGATGCGGAGAGCGCGCATGTATCGCTCGTGTGCCGCTCAAACTATGACGCGGTGCGTGAAGGCGGCCTGCAGCTGCGCACGCACTCGTTTGGCGATTACACGTTCCGGCCGCGCGAGGTGTACGCGTCGATCGATGCGGCTGGCGGCGCACCACATGCATGGGACTATGTCGTCGTTGCGACCAAGGCGCTGTCGACGGACGGTGGCGCTGCCGAGTTTGTCCGGCCGGTCGTGCGTGACAGCACTGCGCTGGTGCTCGTGCAGAACGGCGTCGACGTTGAGCGGCCGTTCCGCGCCGCTTTCCCGCACACGCCGATTATCAGCGCAGTGACGGTCATTAGCGCTGCGCTCGAGGGGCCCGCGACCGTCACGCAGTTCCGCTGGACGCGCATTAGTTTCGGGCCGTACGTCGAGGACCTGCGGGGGGGCGCCGAGACCGACGCTGCTCGCACGCTCCTGGCGCGCGGCGAGGAGGGCGCACGTACCATGGCCGAGCTGCTGACGCGGGGCGGCATCAAGGACGCCGAGGTGTACGATGCTCTGCACCTGCAGATGGTGCGCTGGCACAAGCTGTGCATCAATGCATCGATGAACGTCTCGGGCGTCCTCGCAGGCGGCCGCGGCAACGCGGATATGGTGCGTGATCCCGTTCTGCGTGCGCACATCGAGGCGTGCATGCACGAGGTGCTCGAGGCGGCGCCGCGCGTGTTCGGCCGCGCACTTCCGGACAAGCTGGCGACGCCCGAGGCCATTTTGCGCAGCACGGAGCGCAACACCGGCAGCCTATCGAGCATGGTGCAGGACTGGCTCGCGGGCCGCCCCCTCGAGCTCGAGGCGATCCTGGGAAATGCCGTCCGTCTCGGCGAGGCGCATGACGCGCCGATGCCGCGGCTACATGCGATGTATGCGCTTCTTCAGAGTGCACAGGCGCAGCGCGCCAGGGAGCATTAGCGCCTACATAGGCTACTTCTTCTTGCCCTTGAGCTTCTCAATGGCGGCCTTTTTCGCAGCGGCCTCTTCCTTTTGCTTCTGCTTGAAGGCAAGGTCCTGCGGTGAGCGCGCTGCACGTACGTCCTCGTCCAGCTCCTTGTTCGTCTTCTTTGGTGCCTTGAGCGGTTTCAGCTTGCCGCCCTGTCGTCCGGACATGTCTGCACGTGTCAGTGCGCCGGGCGTGCGACACCTACTGGTTCGGTGACGACCCTGCTGGTCAGCGCGGCGCCGCGGGGGGCGGCTGACTCAGCATAGCCACCAGGCGCCTGGGCGTGCAACTGGCAAGGTACTGGGCCGCCGCATGGTGGCGACGGCCCACGCCAGGCCCGCGTCCCACGATGAGCCTCCCCTGTGCGTACGCGAGCGGGCGTCCGCGGCGTGCAGCATCCGCGCGTGTCGAGCCCGAGTCCGATGGCGAGCCGCCTCGCACGCCGAAGCGGCCCCGCACGTCGCGTGCGCTGCACCGCAAGACGGACCACTCGGTCATTGAGCGCCGGCGGCGAGAGAAAATCAACGACCGCCTAGTGTGCCTGCAAAACACGGTGCCTGCATGCCGCCAGAAGGCGCGCGAGTGCCTCTTGAAAAAGGCGAGCGCCACGCCGATGGAGATGGACGACATCCATGCACGCATTGCGTCGGACATGGTGCTCGAAAAGCTGTGCATTATCTCGCACACAGTCGACTACGTGATGGAGCTGCGCGCCAAGCTCAAGGCGTACGAGGCGCAGTGCAGCTGCGACCCGAAGCTGCCCGTGACGCAGCGCGACGACGAGGCCCACTGCCTCGAGACGCACCCCGAGAAGACCCAGTGCGAGCGCACGAGCCCCAGCTCCCATACGAGCTCAGATATCAAGTCAGAGGAGGCATGCGCTGCGCAGGAGGTCGATTCGGTAGAGCTGTGCGATGATCCAGCATGCGAGCTCCCCGAGCTCGCGCCGCCCGCCGAGTCGGTCCCGCACTGCCACGACATGTGGGTGCGCCCGTACCGCCCGTGGGTCCCCTGGCACGCGCGCGCATGCCACATGCACATGTGCTATGAGCCGCCTATGTATGCGGCGCCGCCCGCCTACACGCCGCGCGAGTCGGCGCACTGGTGCGCCGGGCCGCCGCTGCCCCCGCCGTCGCGCGCGTACCCCGCATGGGACCGGCGCCATGCTGTGCCTCATAGCGTGCATCGGCATGCAGTACGCCCGCGGGCGTACGAGCGCCACATGCACCGCCCTGCCATGCCACCGCTCCAGCCGCCCGAGCACGACACGGCGCCGCTGCCGTAGCCCGTCCGTAATACCCTGTGGAGGTGGAGTCGAAGCGGCGGCCGCCGTGGATGCCTTAGCATGGTGCGCCTTGCCGTGCGCTGCGCGCGCCTTGTGCGCGCCTCTGGAGCCTGGGAACGTGCCGTGCACACCCCAGCCTATACCTCCAAGCCGTACTATGTGACGACGCCTATCTTTTACGTAAATGCCGAGCCGCACATGGGCCACCTGCACTCGTGTGTGCTGGCCGACGTGCTCGCACGCTACGCCCAGCTGCGCCGCCACGGGTGGTCCACCGAGGGCAGCGGCACGACGCAGCCTCTATTCACGACGGGGACGGACGAGCATGGCATGAAAATCCAGCGCGTGGCCGAGTCGCAGCAGGTGGCGCCGCAGGCATTGTGCGACCGCGTGAGCGAGCGATTCCGCGTACGTGCGCGATGCTGACCGCAGGACCTCACGCGCGCCGCGCATCTGTCGTGCACGCGGTTCATCCGCACGACGGAGAGAGAGCACGCCGTGGCCGTGCAGCACTTCTGGGTACGTGCGTGTGACTCACCGCAGCGGCACCTGCAGGCACAGGGCCACATTTACCTGGGGGAGCACGAGGGATGGTATGCCGTCTCGGACGAGGCGTTCTACCCTGCGTCGCAGGTGCGCGCCGTCCAGCACGGCCGTGAGACGGTGCACGAGTCTATGGAGAGTGGGCAGCGCGTGGAATGGACGCGCGAAATCAACTACAAGTTCAGGCTCTCGCACTTCCGCGACGCGCTCATCGAGTGGCTCACGCGGTGTCCGGACGCCATCCAGCCGCGCAGCATGCACGAGCGCGTGCTGGCCGAGGTCCAGGCGGGCCTCAGCGACCTCTCGATTTCGCGCCCGCGGCAGCGGCTGTATTGGGGCATCCCCGTGCCGGACGACGAGGCGCATACGATGTACGTGTGGCTCGACGCGCTCGTCAACTACCTGACGTCGCTCGGCTACCCCAGCGAGGCGTGCCCGCCGGGGTGGCCCGCCGATGTGCATGTGGTCGGCAAGGACATTGTGCGCTTCCATGCGATCTACTGGCCGGCGCTGCTCATGGCCGCCGGTCTGCCGCCGCCGCGCACGATTGTGGCGCATGCGCACTGGACGGTGAACAAGGCGAAAATGTCCAAGTCCAAAGGCAACTCGGTGAATCCGTTCGACGCCATCGACACGTACGGGCTCGACACGATCCGGTACTACCTGATGCGCATTGGCGGGAACATCGGCACGGACGCCGACTATGCGCCTGCGCTGCTCGAGGAGCACAAGCGCAAGTACCTCCAGGGCCAGCTGGGCAACTTGCTGTCGCGCGTTCTCGCGCCCAAGATCCAGCGGCGCCTGGCGCCGGGCAGCGACGGTGCGCTTGTGCAGCCTGCATGGACCGCGGCCGAGGCGGCGCTGCTGGCCGCGCTGGCTGCGCTGCCCGCTACGTGGGATCGGCACATGCAGCAGCTGGAGCTCAGCAAGGCGATGCAGGCGGCGTTCCATGCGCTCGCGCTCGCCAACGAGCTTGTGCAGCACACGGCGCCGTGGGCGGCCGATGCTCAGCCTGACGCGATCCACCGGTGCGTGTTCCTGGCGATGGAGTGCTTGCGTGTGTGTGGCACGCTGCTCTCGCCGGTGATGCCAGACGCCATGACGGCGATGCTCGATACGCTGCAGGTGCCCGCGGCGCAGCGCACCTGGGCGAGCCTCGCCGCGCGGCCCAGTGCGCTGCCGCTGCGCATGCAGGCCGACAAAATCCCACCGCTGTTCCCCCGCTAGCAGATGACGCAGTTCTTTGAGCCAAGCTGGGCCTTATCGCCACTGAGACACACATAGAGGCGCCCCGTGTGGGTCGACAGCTCGCACACGTCGCCGCGGCGGCCCTGCCCAGTCATCCAGCCCGGCAAGTCGGGATCGACGACCATCTTGGCCGTGCCGCGCTTCTTGGACGGCTCCGAGTCGAGGCGCTGCGTCCGCGCATGGACGAGGGGCGACATGCTAACGAGGCCCGACTCTGTGTTCCACCGGATGAGCCCGTTGAACGAATGCGGCAGTACGACGGTGACGTGGCCCGAGGTCGAAGCGGCTCGGATATGCAACGGCTTGCGCCCGACGTACTGCGGGATGTGCAGGCACACCGAGTTGTGCGTCGACTTGCCCGACACGAACACGGCCTGCTGCTGCATCGTCTGGAGCACCTGCACGGGATTCAGCCCGCTCGTGGCCGGCGCATCGTGTGGCGTTTGCGAGCCCTGCCCATGCAGCACCTGGACGGTGACGTTGATCGGGCTCGTTTTGCTCCGAAAGACGGCCGAGGACGAATTCTGCTGGACGTCCTCGGGCGACGGCATGTCATACAGCGGCGGCCGCATGTCCGGCACGCTCGGCCCGATCGCAAAGCGGCCCTTGATCGTGGACGACGGCCAGTCGATACGCAGATGGCGCACGGGCGGGTCCGTCTCCTGCCGCGCCAGCTCGCGCATCTCCGCCTCGGCAAGCCCCGGCGGCACAGTGTCGTCCTCTGTGCGCGAAATCATCACACTGCGCCGGTTCTCGCTGGTGCTCAGGTTCGACATGGTGGTGAGAGGGCGCACAGCCTCGCCAAGCCAGGGCCAGGGCTTGGCAGTCGGTCGGACCAATCGCCTCAAGGCCGATCAAATCGGGCGTCCTGTTCGCCACCTTCGCCATGCCTGCCTCGACTGCACCGCTGGCGGTGAGCGCCTGGGGGGGGACCGCGGCGCTGCCCTCGCTCGATCCAGCGTCGCTGTATGTCCTAGCGCTCGTACAGCTGGCGCAAGTGCCCGCGCACGCCGTCGAGCCGCCCGCGTGGTTCCACACAGACGCTGTGCCGAGCGTGTACGCCGCGCACACCGCGGAGGGCCGCGCGTATGCGGCCGAGGTGCTCGCGACGACGCCGGCAGCGGCGCGCGCATACTTGTACGAGCATGTGCCGCAGCCCGAGGCACAGCGCGCCGCCCGAGTGCATGCGGTACTCGCCCTGCTGGACGACGCCGCGAGCGACCTCGTGCTGCACACGCTCTTCTCGCTGCCGCCCAACTTCCAGAAGGTGACGTGCCCGGCCCTCGCCGGCTCGGCGCGCGGCTGGCCGTCGTCGCTGCCCCGCCGCCTGCGCGCGGCCGTGCGCGCGCGCCTCGAGAGCCCGCATGTGGCCCTCTGGGGCATTGGCGGCTCGTGGGAGCGCGAGGAACGCGCGCAGCAGGCGCGCTGGGACACGGCGGCCGGCCTGCCGGGAGCGCGCGACCCCGCCGCGCAGCTCCCCCGCGTCGGGTTCCGCGGGAACCCGGGCCTCGCGCAGGACATGCGCGAGCAGTGGGAGCGCTCGCGCCTCGCGTCGCGCGCGCGCCATGTGCTGCGGGCCATCCAGGCGTCCGTGCCGGACGGCGGCTTTGTCGCGGGGTGCGCCGAGCCGACGGCGGCGGATGCGCGGCTCTACTCGCTGCTGGCGCCGCTCGTCCTGGAGACGTGGCCCGTCGATGTGCTGCCGGCGCTGCTCACGTCCGAGTTTCCCGCGCTCGTGCAGCACACGCACCGAATGCACGCGCGCCTGTGGCACGGCACGCGCGGCTGGGCATGGCAGCGCGACGCATCGATGGCGCCGCCGGCGTCCGCATGGCTGGCGTGGCCGTCGCGGCCGGCGTGGCCGTCGTGGCCGCCGTGGTCGTCGCGCGCCAAGGACACGCGCCCGCTGCCGCCGACGCTGCGCTGGGGCCGCATGGCCTGGATCGCCTCGGCGCTCGTCGGCCCGCTTGTCTACCTGTTCGTGTCGGGCCTCGTCGTGATTGAGGTGGACGAGCCAGACGAGCTCGAGGAGCCAGACGAGCTCGAGGAGCCAGACGAGCCCGCGGATCCGGACGCGCTCGAGGACCCGGGCGAGACGCTCGGCGCCGACGAGATGGAGGATCTGGCCCTCGAGGACGATGCGCCCGAGGACGACGATGCATAGCCTCTATACCACTACTGCTTCTGCTTCTTCTTCTTCTTGGGCTCGTCCGTGTCCTTCTTGCGCTTCTTTTCCGTCGTGTCCTTCCGCGGCGCCTGCGTCGGCGCGGGGCCTTGCGAGCCCGTCGGGCGGCTGCGTCAGTAGTGCGTACATACAAGGTCCCTTTGAGGCGGTCCCACGGCTGGGCGCGCGGGCGCGGCGTCGACGCCGCGTCCGGGTGCGCGGCGCGTGGCGCCTGCCGCGCCATGTACAGGCGGCGTGCAATGGGCGCTGCGGTAAGCAGGGAGAACGTACCCAGGCGGAGCGACCCCTTGCGCGGCACCAGCGCCGATACGCTCACGAGCTCGCTCGCCACGCCGGCGCTCTTCGGGGTGCGCAGAAACTCGCGGTCCAGGCGCACGCGGTCGTCCGACGGCCCTGCCATCTCGATCAGCTGCGACGGGCCCTCGTTCACACGCTCGGCCGTCGTCTGCGTCGCGACCAGCACGTCGTACGTGTCGTCACCCGGCACCTCGACCGAGGCCAGGACGCCGTGCTCGCTAGCGAGCGCCTCGCGTGGGATCGTCACGCCATCGAGGCTCGCGGGATCGACGCCTTCCGGCACACGGATGACCCACAGCTCCTTGTCGCTCATAGAGCCCATATCGTCCAGGCCGCACGCGCGGTAGCCAACAGGTGGCGTAAACGTCGACGCAGCGGCACGGCTGCCGTCCGTGCTCGTCATCGTCGTGCAAGCCGCGCTCGCTTTTTTTCGGGTGGAGGGCCATCGCTCCCCCATGGCGCTACACGTCGTGCTCGGTGGGCTGCTGGCCCTGTGGGCGCTGCGCTACGTGGTGCCGCGGCGAGGCCGGCGCGTGGCCAAGCTGCCTGCGGCAGATGAGCACGTAGTGATTCTCGGCGCATCGACGCTCGATGGCCTGGGCGCCGCGCTGCTGCAGCAGTACCTGCTGCGGGGCACGGAGCACCTGATGATCGTGGGGCGCCGTCTCGATGGCCTGGAGCAGGTGCGCGATCGCATGCTGGCGCAGACGGCTGGGCGCCGCAGTGTGCGCGCGCATGTCGAGATTGTGCAGGCCGAGCTGACGAGCAGTGCCGACGTCGCCGCGCTGCGCGACCGCCTCCTGCAGCAGTGGGGCAGGCTCGACACGCTGCACGTCGTGTTTGGCGTGACGTCCATCCTGCCGATCCTCGGCGTGGCGGACGTCGATCCGTGCGGCGTGAATGCGAGTGGCGCTGCGAGCACGGACGTGCATCCCACGCGCGACGGCCTCGATCGCATCGCGACGACTGTGCGGCAGAGCAGCGACGGCAACCTGACGGGCACGGCCATGGTGCTGGGCGCGCTCGTGCCTATTCTGCAGACGACGTCCGCGCACCCCGCCGTCGCGGTGATCGGCTCCGTGGCCGGCCTCGTGCCCGCGCCGACGCGCGCCGTGTACTGTGCGACGAAAGCATCGCAGCACTTTTTGGTGCGGTCCATCGAGCTCGAGTGCGAGTCGCAGGCAGGTACGCCGGTGCCTGGTACGCAGCGGCGGCGCGCGCGCGTGCCGTTCCTGCTCGTCGCGCCGGGCCCCATCCAGAACTCGTTCGTGGCTTCGTACGCGGTCGATGCGCGCACGGGTCCACGCGACGACCGCGAGCACGCCCTGGATGTGCACGACGTGGTCCGCGCGACACTGGCGCGGCTCGATCATGCGCAGTGGGGCACGCTCGTGCTGCCGGCGCGCGCCTATGTGGCGTCGCTCTTGGCGCAGGTGAACGCGACGTACGTACGGCGAACTTACGCAGGCGCGGCTGGATTGGGCGCGTGGCGCATCGCATGTACAACTACTAGCTATGCCGCACGAGCGAGCGCACGCTGGGCCCCTCGGCAGGGTGCGCGCCCGGCGAGAAGTGGCGCTGGAGGCGGCGGCGCAGGGACTCGGCAGGTATAGCGTCCCGCGCGGCACACTCGTCCGACCAGGTGGCCGCGCAGGGCGACGTAGGTGTGGGTGGCATGCTCTGTAGGCCCGTGACGCGTGTGCCAAACTCGCGCGAGAGCGGCGACGGCGTCGCCGGGCGGAACTGCGTGCCGGCGCGCCGAGGGGCAGGCGCGCCCGGCGGGCCGCTCGCAGGCGCCGCGCCCGACGGCGCGTGGGCGTCCCTGGCGGGCTCCGGCTCGCTGGCGTGCGGGAGCGATAGAGCGCGCCGCTTGGCAGCGCGCATGGCGGGATCCTGCCGCGGCAGGTCGCCGGGCGTTCCGGGCCGCCCGTCCTCGGCAGCGGCGCCGGGTGCCCCGCTGCGAGACCGCTTGCGGCCCAGGCTGTCCACGAGATTGGGGTCCATGGACGTCGGCGAGCGATCGGCGTCCCACGAGGCCCGCCGGACGCGGCGGCGATGAGCAGCGAACGAGCCACACGCTGCACGGTCCTTCTCACGTCGCCACGTGCAGCGTGTGGCGTGCCCGATCGCTGTGCCTGGGCCAGAGCCGCCGCCGCGGCGCTGGATCGCTATGGCCTACTTATGCAAACTCGGGCACACAGTGCTCGCCGGGGCCGTACGGCGCTTCCTTCAGCGTCCGGTTCTCGCGGTCGGGCGCCGAGTGCAAGCGGCCGTTCTGGGGGCCGGTCGGGACGTTCTCGCCGCGCGCCAGGCCATCGAGCACCTGGACGACCGATTCGGGCGTGAGGTCCTCCTGCGTGTGAGTGCATCGACGTACGTAGTAGCTGTCGTTGATCTGGACCATGGGCGCGTTCGAGCAGGCGCCGAGGCACTCGACCTCGATCACGGTGAACTTCTTGTCCGCGGTCGTGTGGCCCGCGGTGATACCGAGGTGCTTCTCGATCGCCTCGAGCACGGCCGTCGAGCCGCAGCCGCCGAGCATGCACGGCGTCGTCGTGCACACCTGCACAAAGTACTTGCCGACGGGGTCGCTGGCGTAAGTGCATTCGACGTACCGGTTGTACATCGTGTAGAAGGTGGCCACCTCGTACACACGCATCGGCGGCATCTCCAGGAGCTCGGCCACGTAGTTCATCGCGCTGATGCTGAGCCAGTTGTCGTTCTGCTTCTGCGCGAGGTGCAGCAGGGGAATCACCGCCGCCTTCTTGTACTGCCAAGGGTAGCGCGCGATGATCTCCTGCGCCTCGGGCATGTGCTTCTCGTCAAACGCAAACGGGATCGACGGGTTGTTGTACGGCGTGTCGCGGTGCACAAACAGCGCATCCGAGCGCACGGCCGCCGTGCTGGAGATCGCACGCACACCCGCAGAGCGCGCAAGAGGCGCCGTGGGCACACCCCGCGAGAGGAGCGCGCGCACAGTCTGTCGCAGAGCCATGGCCGACATGCTAGGTAGAAGCTCGCTAGCGGGGCGCCCACCACGGACCGGGCGCCTTTTGCGCTCTGTCACGTGATGCGCACGCCGCGCCGCTGCGCCGCGCGACCTGCCCAGGCCGCGTCGGTAGCATGGACGCCGCGTGCGCGTGCCCCGTCTGCGAGCAGGTCGGCACCGTCCAGTGGCTCGCAGAGGCGTGTGCGTACGTGTGCTGTGCATGCGCGGCGATCGTCGCGGAGGCGCCCCTCGACGCACCGGACGCCCCCGGCGCGCTGCCCCCGTCGCCCGCCCGCCCGTACAGCTCGCGGCGCTGGCCGCTCGCGTACGACCGGGAGCACGCACGCGCCGAGTCGGACCGGCGGCGCCACGCGGAGATGCGCGCGATGCTGCAGGGCGCGTGTCTGCGCCTCGGGTGGGAGCACGCAGCCACAGGAGCGTGCGCCCTCTTTGAGCGCGCGCATGCGGCGCTGGCGCCGCAGCGCGCACATACCCGGTGGGGCGCGTGGGCCGCGGCTCTCGCGGCGGCGTGCCTCTATGCCACGCTGCGCGAGGCGGGGTACATTGTGGATGTGGCCGCGGTCGCCGCAGCGACCGATCAGCCGCTCGCGGCGGTCGCCCACGCATGCGGAGAGCTGGGCCGCGAGCCGCGCCTGCCGCGCGTGCCCGTCAAGGACCCGGGGCTGTACTGGCGGCGGTACACCGAGTACCTCGAGCGGCATCCTCCTGCGGCGCTCGCGTCTCTGCGGCGCGCGATACCCTGGCCCGACGTGCGTGCAGGGACCGAGCAGCTGTACAGGCTGTGCACGCGGTACCAGTGGGCGAGCCTCGATGCGCAGCCATTTGCGTACGCCATGGTCATGCACGCGATGGAGGGCGCACTGCAGCGCGCGCTCCCGGTACGTGCGCTCGCCGACGCGGCGCCGCCTGCGATGGCATGGAGCGGCGGCGACGGATGGCTCCTGGGCCCGCCGCGCGGGTCCGTCGCGTCGGTCCTGGCGCGCTACGCGGAGCTGCACAAGATGCTGGCTCAACACGTGCAGTCTCTTCCCTGGGTCGCCGCGCGGCCCGTCACGAAGAAGGAGCGCGATCGCGCACGGCACCAGGCGCCAGGCACGCCGCGCAGTGTGTCGCGAGCAGAGGTGGCTCGGTACATGGGGGACGCGGTGCAGATGGCGGCGCAGGCGCCCGAGCCCGCATCGCGTCCGTCGTGGACGCACCTGTATGGACGGGCCGAGCCGCCGCGGCCGGCGGCCCCAGGCGCCCCGGGGCCGTCGATGGCCGCGCGCTTGGGCCTCGCTGCGCCGCAGATCGATGCGCTGAGCGAGGCGCAGGTGGATGCGTGCCTGTTTGAGCCGGACGAGCTATCGACCTATCTGCGCACGCCCGACGAGCAGGCGCGCTGGGCGCGCCTCAAGGGCTGGGACGGGGCGCCCGCGGTGCGCGCAGGGCCGCCCGATGCGCCGGCGCCGAAGCGGCCGCGCCTGGCGCTCGACAAGGCGCACCTGACGCGGCCGCTCGACCTGGCGCAGCAGACGGACGGGGCAGCGGACTGGGACGAGCTCGGCTAGCCGCCGCTGATCTCGTTGCGCTCCACGCCGGTGGCGTCGTGCTTGGCGCCCTGGAGGTCCTCGTACCAGTCGCGCGTGAGCCCGGCCTCGGCGCGGTCCGCGACGTTGAAGGGGCCCTTGAGGCGCCCCGCAAAGTGCCGCTGCACCGCGCCGCGGAACACGTCCACGGGCGCGAGGTGCTGGGGGTGCGCCTCGCACAGGAACGTGAGCCAGCGGTGGCCCGCCGCGACATGCGTGATCTCGTCGAGGTGGATCGTCTGCAGCGACTCGACCGACTCGGTATCGCCCGCGGCGGCAAACTTGCGGATCGTGACTGGATTCACGTCCAGGCCCCGGGCCTCGTGCACGAGGTGCACAATGGCTGCGTCAGCACCGTGGACGTACATAGACGCGCGAACAGGTCCTCGGACGTCTCGATGGCGGCCTCCCACAGTCCGTGGTGCACCGGCAGCGCGCCGAACCACGAGCCGAGCTCGAGGAGGCGCTGCTGGAGCAGCGTAAAGTGCTTGGCCTCGTCGTAGGCGACCCGGCAAAAGTCGTCGAAAAAGGCGCGCGGCAGGGGCACCGCCGGGGCGGCGTCCGTCGGCGTCTGCATGTGCCGCGCACTGAGCCGCGGGCCGCGCGCGATGATGTCCCACGCGAGGTCGATGGCCCACTGCTCGATGTTCGCGAGCGCATGCAGCAGGGCGATGCGGCTGCGCTCCGTGCCGCCCTTGCCGCGCTTCCCCTCGTGGCCAGGCCGCACGCGCTGCTCGTCGGGCATGCGGGGCGGCCACACAGGCGGCTGCTCGCTGTCGGGCGTGATCCACGCGCCATTCTCCCACGCGCCGCCGCCGATGGGGATGCCCTGCGCACACGCCTCGTACGCGAAGCGCGTGTACGCGACTTTGTGCAGCGGCGACGGCGTGCGGAGGATCAGCGTGGCCCATGCCACGAGCGTCGTGGGCGCCGGCTCAGGACGCCGCACGGCACTCGGGTCGAATGTGGCCGCCTCGCCGAGGCTCGCGAGCGTGCTGGGCGCGTCCTCCGCGCGCGGCCGCAGAGGCGGCGGGTCGGCCCACGCTGCGTCAGTCGCATGCACGTACCGTCCGAGATGGGGCGGCGCGCCGCGAGCGTCCACACCGACGCACCGTGGTCCGTCTCGTCGGTAGGCGCCTCGATGCTCACCACGCCTGCGTCGATCGAGACGGCGTACACACACGCCCGCAGGCCCGTCGACGAGGCACCGGTCCGGATCCCAAAGTCGTATTGCTGCGTGAGTACGGCGCACGCACATGCCACCTGCGGTCAGAAGCGCGCACGTACGGGCACACCACAATAAGATCCTCGACGTCGTCCAGGCCAGGGCGCAGCGGCGCACGCTCGAGCGAGGCGCCGAGGTGCGGGCACCGCGCCTCCATGCAGTAGAACATCGGCGCGGCGCTGGCCATGCGGAAGAGCAGCACGTCGTGCGTCTCTTCCGTGTGCGTGTGGCGCAGCGTGAGGACATGGCGGTGCGCGCTGGCCAGCGCAGCCACGTCGCCGATCCGCACACGCGCCATGAGCTGCGCGAGGCCTGCGGCGGCCGCGCCCGGGCACCGAGGAGCATCACGTGAGTGGCGGCCCCGTCGCGGCGCACCCGCGCACCACCATGATGGGCCGCCTGCTACACTATGCGGCCGATGCGCTCATGGTCTCGACGATCCTCGCCGGCATCAAGCAGACGTCGGGCATCACGCCTGACATCACGCAGGTCTCGGAGCCGAACGTGCGCCAGGCCGTGTACTACTACCTGTCGGCGGGCGAGTACATCTTCGACAAGGCCCTCGCCTTTGCGCAGAGCAGCTCCCACTTCCGCCCCGCCGAGCCGATCAACCCGCTCTCGCTCTTCAACAAGGAGGTGCATGGCAGCCTGCGGCAGTACTCGCATAGCGATACGCCTAGCCGGTTCTAGCGCGGCGGGCGTCGTGCCTACGTAGTTGCTCGACTCTTGTACCACCGCCCCGCCGATGCCACTACGCGCACGCCGCGCTTTCGGCGGCGCGCCGCGCGCTCGCTCGGCCGCGGGCGCTGGCGAAAGCGCCGGGCGCGTGGAAGTGCCTCCACCCGAAAAACGACCCTTTTCCCATGGCCCCTGCTGAGCCGGCGCGGCCGCCCATCGCACTCGCGTACCCCGAGGGCGTGGGCGCGGACGCGCCTGCGCGGCTGTATGTGCTCCCGCACCCCCACAGCGGCGTGCCCACGTACTTTGCCGTGCACGATGACGCCACGTACGAGCTGCTCGTCGTGCGGCCTGACCAGCGCGCTGCGCGCAGCTGGATGCTCGCGCCGAGGGGCGGCGCGCCGCGGCCCGGGCACATCCTGCGCGACGGCGCCCTGCATGTGCTGAGCCCCATGGACCCTGCGCTGCTTTTGCTGGGCCTTCTCGCGCCTGTGTGGGGCGAGCGGCGGCTCTGCCCACGCGACGACCTCGCTGAGGCCGCTGCCGAGCACCATGCCGCGCGGCGCGCCGCTGACCTGGCCGCCCGCGCGCCAGAGGCCGCGCCTTCCACGCCGGCGTGGCCGGATATCGCTACCGTCCTTGCGCTGCCGGCGATGCAAGCGCCCCTCACGCGCATCTGCGCGACGCAGGCCGAGCCAAGCGCCCACGACGGCCTCGTGTACCGCCTCGACGAGGCGCGCGTGTATGCGCTCCTCACACGCAAGGTCGAGCGTGTGCTGCACGACGCCGCGGACGTGGTCGCGGCGCAGAGCCAGCGGCACTACGGCGCGGAGGCCACCGACGCCGAGATCGCCGCGGCGCAGCGGCGCGTCGCCACCGACCTGGTCGCTATGTACGTGCCGCCCGCCGTGGACGACGCATGGCGCGCCGAGAGGAAGACGTGACTGTACATGATCTAGGGGTCCTCGCAGGGCTCGTTCGGCGGCCCCGACATCGCCCATGTCCATGCCTCCAGTGCATGGGAGGCACATTGCGACGCCTCGTGTGCCGCGAGGGAGGGGGCCCCGTCCACCGGGGAGGCGTCGCGCGGCGAGTGACCCTCGGTCGTCCAGAGCCACTCGTCGCGCTCCAAGTCCATGTAGGGCGCGAGGCCGTAGCGCGAGCCGGACATGTTGTGCGACGGCGGCGTCCGTGGCGAGGCCGCGAAGTTGCCAGGCGCGCCGAGCCCTCCGCTCAGGCGCCGCCGCTCCGCGTCGATAAATGCACTGAATGGCACACTCGCGAGGTCGAGCGTGAGCGAGTCACGGGAGCCCGGCCGTGTGCTGTGGCGGCGCGGGTCAGGTTCGGCGTGCTTCGGGCTGGGGAGCGGCTGTGACTGGGCGCGCTCGCGCTGCGCGGACGGCCTCCGCAGCCGCACCTCGAGCGCGTCTCGCGCTGCACCCACGGGCTCGTCGCCGAGGGACAGGAGCCGCTCGCGTGCCGCGCGCAAGTGCTGCATCACTTGCTCGTCGTCTCCGTCACTGCCCCGCTCGCGCGCGTCGTCCGGCCATGTGTCGTCCTGGCCAGACCTGAGCGCCTTCACATCCAGCGGCGTGAGAAAGTCGGGCGACGCTGCCCGCTCCAAGCGCGCGAGCACGGCCGCCATCGCCGACGGCTCACACGGTGCTGCCCAGGGTTCCTCCGGCGCTCCACCGTTTCGGCCACGTGAGCTCGGCCGACATGCGTCGGAGCCCGCGAGGGCGCGCGCCAATGAGGCCCCGGCGATTTCCACCGCGGCTTGTCTGCTTGCGACGATGGCGTCGATGCTCTCTCGTGCTGCGGCCCGCGGGCTGATGGCCCCTGTGCGCGGCGCGCCTGTGCGTGCCTTGACGACGACGGGCGTGCGTGCTCGTGCGGACCCTGTGAACCCCGACGGCACCACCGGCCCGCTGCGAGTGTCGCCCGTCCACGACACGCTGAACGTGCGCGACGACCACACGCAGCCGCGCAAGGCGCACACCCTGCGCCCGCCGAAGCAGGAGCCGGACTACCTCGAGGGCCCGAGCGCGCTCGAGAAGGCTGGCCAGCTCTTCCTCTTCACCGAGATGGCGCGCGGTCTGTGGATGACGCTCGAGAACTTTTTCCGCCCGCCCTACACGATCCAGTACCCGTTCGAGAAGGGCCCGCTGAGCCCCCGCTTCCGCGGCGAGCATGCGCTGCGCCGCTACCCGACGGGCGAGGAGCGCTGCATCGCGTGCAAGCTGTGCGAGGCCATCTGCCCGGCGCTCGCCATCACGATCGAGAGCGAGACCCGCGCGGACGGCGCGCGGCGCACGACCCGCTACGATATCGACATGACCAAGTGCATCTACTGTGGCATGTGCCAGGAGGCGTGCCCCGTGGATGCGATCGTCGAGACGCAGACGCTCGAGTTCGCTACCGAGACCCGCGAGGAGCTTCTGTACAACAAGGAAAAGCTGCTCGCGAACGGCGACCGTGCCGAGGCGGAAATCGCCTCGAACATCTATGCCGACCACCTCACGCGCTAGTAGGTAGACCACGCATAGCTCTCCAGCGCCTCCTCGTCCGCCAGCGCGAGCTCGTGCTCGTCCTCGGCGATCGCGCCGCCCATGCCGTGCAGCGCCATCTTCGGCAGGTCGCCCATCGCACTCACCTCCCGCACGTACCGCGGGTCCAGATCCACAGCCGCCGCGAGGTGCTGCGCAATCTCGGCGTGGAACGCGTGCGGCAGCTGCACGGGGCTGTGCGCCTCGCGCGGCGGCGTCGCAGCCACGCCGCTGCTGCCCTCGTGGCTCGGCGCAAAGCGCCCGCCGCCCAGGCGCATGTACGAGCGCGCGAGCATCAGATGCACGCGCGGCTCCGCAGGCGCCAGCGCACACACACGCAGGAGCTCCGCATGCGCCGCCTGCCGCCGCTGCGCCCGCTCACGCGCACTGAGCGGCGGCGCATCGCCCCCGTCCTGCTCCGCCGCATGCACCGTGCGGAGCAGCAGCTGCGCCTTCTTGAGGCGCGTCATCGCCGCCTTCGGCTGCATCGAAATCGCCCGCTGGTACACGGCGAGCGCGCCGTCGCTGTCGCCCGTCTGCTCGAGCGCCCAGCCGAGCAGGTCGAGCAGCACAGCATTGCTCCGGTTGATCAGAAAGGCCTGCGCGTACGCCTCACTCGCCCGCGCAGGCTGCCCCTGCCGCAGGTACACCTGCCCGAGGCCCGCGAGCGCATTCCAGTGCCGCCGGTCACACCGCCGCGCACACCGGAACAGGCGCACAGCCCGCACCGGCTGCTCGAGCTCCAGCGCCTCGTAGCCGGCCAGCGTGTACGCATACGCACACTCCGGCGCCACAAGCGTCGCCTGCTGGAAGCACTGGTACGCCGCGTCGTGCTGGTGCTGCAGCGACCACGTGTTGCCCGCCGCCATGTGCGCGACCGCCGAGCGCGGGTCCAGCGCCAGCAGGTCCTGCGCGAGCGCCGACAGCGCCACCTCGCGGTGCAGCTGGAACAGCACGAGCGAATAAATGTCCATGTGCATCAGCAGACTCGGCTCCAGCGCGCGTGCACGGCTAAAGTACGCCTCGGCGTCCGCATACTCCGTCATGTCGTGCAGCGCGCGGCCCAGCAGGCAGTACACGCCTGCCGTGCGGAACGCGCGGCGCGCCGGCCCTTCCTTCGCGCTCGTGCACAGCTGCGCGACGGCCACGGCGCCCTCGTACAGCCGCACGTGTCGGTACGCATGGCCCAGCTCCTGCACGAGCGCCAGCACATCCGCCTCCGGCGCCGCTCGCGCCGCCGCGCGCGGGCCGGGCGCGCGCGCACGCGCCGCAGGGCCGTCGGCNGCCGTGCGACGCACCACGCCCGGCTCGGGCCGCACGCGCTTCGCGCCACTCGGCGCGTCGGGCGCGGCGTCCGCGCGCACGCCTGGGAGCACGAACGATGTGTCGGCTGGCGGGGCCATGCCTGGTGTCAGTCGGGGCACGTACCCATATCGCACAGGGCGGTCCATGCGCTCCAGTTGAACGGGTCCTTTTCGCGCGCCAGTTGGAGGTGCGCGGCGGCCTCGGCGTACTGCGCCTGCTTCATCGCCATGCGCCCCATGTGCGTGTACATCTGACTCGCGTACACCTGGCGCGCCGGCGGGAGTGCGCCGTCGGACGCCTTGCGCTTCGTGCCGTGCTCCATCGTGTACTGCAGGGCGTCGTGCGCCTCCTGGAAGCGGCCGAGCACGCGGCACGCCGACGCATACACGCGCGCGGACCCCGGGTCCAGGAACGTGGCGTGCGAACCCTGCTGCAGCACATGGATGGCCGACAGGGCACACGCACGCGACGGCTCCCGCGCCTCGTAGCCCTGCGCGCGCGCGTCGGCGAACGACGACGGCGCGAACGGGAAGAGCAGTGCGGCGCCGCCCATCAGGTAGCACATCGCGAGAAGCCGGCGTGCCGGGACGCACGCTGCGTCGAGGGCGAGTGCGAGCGAGGCGTACAGCGTGGCCGACGCCATATCGGGCGTCAGCGAGAGGGCCGCACTGCTGCTCTGCGCGTCGTCGCTGACGTGCAGGTACGACTCGGCGAGCGCCACGAGCATCGCCACGACGTGCGCGTCTGCCTCCTCCGGCGTCTCGCGGCGCTCAGGCACGGGCTCGTGCGCTTCCGCGGCGTGCGGCGCCGCGGCGGGAGGCTGCGTGCGCGGCGCTGCGCGCTGCGCGCTGGGTGCGCGGACCGCTGTGCGCGTGCGTGCGCCCACGCTGCTTGCTCCTCGCGTCGATGGAGTCGCATTTCGCAAGCCGCGTCGCGCCGGCGGCGCTGCCGCTCTCATGCTGCCGAACAGGCGGCGACCGCGGCGTGTTGTGCGGCGGGGTTCGGCGCACGTGACGCAGCGCGCGTCCGGCCGCGGCGGGCGGCGGCGCCGGCATGGGCGACGTCGATCCGAAGATCGATCGGCGCCTGCGCCGTGTGCGCCACATTGTGCTCGTGCTGTCTGGCAAGGGCGGCGTGGGCAAGTCGTCTGTGGCTGCGCAGCTGGCCTTGTCGCTATCGTATGCGGCCGTGTCCGCCGAGGGCGGTGAGCGGCGCCTGCGCGTGGGCCTGCTGGACGCAGACCTGACGGGCCCCTCGATCCCGCGCATGCTCGGTCTGGACGGCGCGGCGGTGCACCAGAGCACGGACGGGTGGGTGCCCGTGTACACGGATGCGTCGCAGTGCCTCGCGGTGATGAGCGTGGGCTTTTTGCTGCGCTCGAAGAACGACTCGGTCGTGTGGCGTGGGCCGAAGAAGCAGGGCATGCTGCGCCAGTTCCTGGGCGATGTGCGCTGGGGCGACCTGGACTACCTGATCATTGATACGCCGCCGGGCACGACCGACGAGCACATCTCGCTCATGGAGGCCCTCCATGCGTACGGCCCGGTGGCGGTCCTCGTCACGACGCCGCAGGCTGTGGCGCTCGCGGACAATGTGCGCTCGCTCGACTTTGCGCACAAGGTCGGCCTCCCAGTCGTGGGCCTCATTGAGAACCTGAGTGGGTACGTGTGCCCCCACTGCGCCGAGTGCACGAACGTGTGGGGCCGGGGCGGCGGCGAGTCGCTCGCGGCGCAGCGGGGCCTGCCGTTCCTGGGGCGCGTGCCGATTGACCCTGCGCTCGTGCGCCTCCTCGACGACGCGCGCGAAGAGGCCGAGCAGCAGGACTCGCCGGACGCGCTCACGTACGCGACGATCCGGCGGTACCGCACGAGCGCGACGTTCGTGTACTTCCAGCCGATTGCCGAGGCGGTGCGCCAATATACCCGAGCATAGCTATGCATCTATCACGCACGGGCGCCATCGAAGACGGCGCTGATCGAGTGCCACACCGTGCCGGGCGCCTGCGTCGCATCGATGGGCGACCAGATACCGCGCTTCTTGTAGTACTCCGTCACGGCCGTCGTCTGCTTGTGGTAGGTCACGAGACGCTTCCGGAGCGCCTCCTCGTTGTCGTCCGAGCGCTGCACAAGCGGCTCGCCCGTCACGTCGTCGGTCATCGGCTTCTTCGGCGGGCTGAACTCCTTGTGGTAGCTGCGGCCACTGCCGGGGTGCACGAGGCGCCCGGTGATGCGGCTGATCAGCAGCTGGTCGGGGATCTGCAGCTCCACGACGTGGTCCAGCTTCTGGTGGCGCTGCTCGAGCATCTGGTCGAGCTTCTCCGCCTGCGGCGTCGTGCGGGGGAAGCCGTCCAGGACAAAGCCCTTGCGGCACGCGCGGTTGTTCTCGAGCTGGTCCTTGATCATGTTGATCATGATCTCGTCGCTCACGAGACCGCCCTGGTCCATGATCTTCTTCGCAGATTTGCCGAGATCCGTGCCGAGAGACACCTGCTGGCGCAGCAGATCACCCGTGGCCAGGTGGCACACCATGTTCTGGAAGCGCTCCAGAATCTTGGGCGCCTGCGTGCCCTTGCCGGCACCAGGCGGGCCGACCAGGATCATACGCACACCCTCCTTCGCGGGCTGCTGGCCCTCGAGAACGGCGATCTTCTCGTTCAGCTCGTTCACGAGCGACTTGAGGTACGTGAGCTCGGTGGTCGCGGGGGTCGACATGGCGGGAGAGGAAGACGCCGTTCCGTGCCGCTGCGACCCTAGTATCTTTAGTCATGCCTCCACCCCTCGCCCCCCGCCACCGCCATGGGCGCCGGCAGCACGCCGTCCTCGAGCTTTCCGTGCAGCGACGAGGATGTGCTGCTGGAGGCGCTCCGAGGCGTGGAAGGCGAGTCGGAGTTCGCCGTGTATGAGGACCCGGCGCCCAACCCCGCGCGCCGACCCGCCACACCCCCGCCACGCGCGCCCCTCACGGAGCGGCGGGACCTGATGGAGGCGGTGTCGCCGCCCGCCTCGCCGTCGCCCGACACCTCGTACCTCGCGGGCAAGGCGTACCAGGCGCTCTCCTTTGGCGATTGGGGCGCGTACATGCGCCACAAGCGCGCGAAGCTGCGCGTGCAGGACGCCGAGCTCGCCGCGTCAGCGCCGGCCTCACGCGCCCTCGCGGGCTGCGTCCTGTACGTGAACGGCCGCACAGATCCACCGTACGCCGAGCTCCGGCGCCTGGTCCTCGCGCACGGCGGGCAGTGCCTGCCCTACCTCGACCGGAAGCGCGACTGCACCCATATTGTCGCCAGCACCCTGCCCCCGAAGAAGCGCGCCGAGTTTCGCCACTACCGCGTCGTGCGCCCCGCCTGGGTCCTCGAGAGCTGCCGCCTCGGGCGCCCGGCCGACTGGACGCAGTTCCGCATCGACGGCATGGACCAGGGCGCGACGCTCACGGCGCACTGGGCGCCTGCGGCGCCCGCGGCGGACGAGGCAGAGGACTTGGCGGCCCCTCATGCGCGCGCAGCGCGCCTCCTCGCCTCCGAGGCATGGCGCGCGTCCCACACGGCCGCGAGCCCGCACTTTCTCCGTGGCTACTACGAGCACAGCCGCCTGCACCACCTGAGCACGTGGAAGGCCAATCTGCAGGAGCTCGTCGCGCACGCCTCCAGCGAGACGGGCGCCTGTGCGCCGCTGCTCCCCGCGTCCGTGCCTCGCACCCTGATGCATGTGGACTTTGACAGCTTCTTTGTGAGCGTGGGCCTGCGGGACCGCCCGGCGCTCCGCGGCCAGCCGGTCGCCGTGTGCCATGCGACGGGGCCCCCCAGCGCGGTGCCCAGCACGGCGGAAATCGCCTCGTGCAACTACGTGGCGCGCGCGCAGGGCGTGCGCAACGGCATGAGCCTCGGGCACGCGCGGCGGTGCTGTGGGGCGCTCCAGACGATCCCCTACACGATGGAGGCGTACTACACGACATCGCTGCAGTTTTATGCGATCCTCCTCGGCCTGGCCGACGTGCTCCAGGTCGTGAGCGTGGACGAGGCGCTGATCGACGTAAGTGCGCTCCTGCACCGCCTCGAGACGGCATGGGCGGACGACACTCGCGCGCATCCCACCGGCGCGCTGCACGAGCTCGAGACGCACTTTCGTGCGCGGCGGGCTGGCACGGACGTGCCCGCCGCCGCTCTGGCCGAGGCGATCCGCACGCTCATCCGCACGGCGACGCAGTGCGAGGCAAGTATTGGTGTCGGCGCCAATGTGCTCCAGGCGCGACTCGCAACGCGGCGCGCAAAGCCCAGCGGCAGCTTTGTGCTGCAGGGCCCAGACGTGCTGCCGCTCCTGCGGGCCCTCGACGTGGGCGACGTGTGGGGCGTCGGGGCCCGGCTCCAGGCACGCTTTGCGGCGTGGCTTGGCACGACGAATGTCGGCGCGATCCTAGACACCAGCTCCGAGCAGGCATTTGTGCAGCAGTGGGGCCCCAAGCACGGCGCGCGCCTGTGGGCCCAGTTCCACGGGCGCGATACAGATCAGCTGCGTGGCACGCACGAGCGGCAGAGCGTCGGCACGCACGTCACCTGGGGCGTGCGCCTGTCCAGCGAGGCCGAGCTGCGGACATTTGTCGACGGGCTCTGTGACGAGGTCGCGCAGCGCCAGGCGCGCCTCGGCGTCGTCGGCACGCACGTCTCGGTGCAGGTGCTGCAGCGCGATGCAAGCCGCGGCGAGGCGCCCAAGTTCCTGGGGCATGGCCCGTGCATCGCGCACAACCGCTCGGTGCGGCATCGCATCCCCGACGCGGCTACGCTGCGCCGCTGTGTGTGGACGATGGTACAGGCGATCGGCCTAGCACCCGTGGATGTGCGGGGCATCTCGATGAGTGTGTCGAAGTGGGAACGCACGGGATCGACGCTCGAGGCATGGTGGGCACGGCGTGCACCCGCGGCGGACGGCGGCGGGGCCAGGCCCGAGCCCGGCGCAGCGCCGGACGCGCCCGTTTTGCCGGCGCCGGACGACGCGTCTGCTCTACGGAATGCGGAACCGCACGACGCGCCTGCGGTACCTAGGGCGGTGCCGGACGATGCGCCTGCAGCACCGGACGATGCGCCTGCAGCACCGGACGATGCGCCTGCAGCACCGCACGACGCGCCTGCTCTGCCGAGTGCGACACCGGTCCAAGTGCCGCCTGCTTCGCAGCTCGACCCGCAGGTCCTTGCGCATCTCCCGACGCCGATGCGCGCGCAGATCGAAGCGGTGCTGGCGGAGCGCCGGACACCTGCACTCCCGTCGTCGCCCGCGCCAACGACGCCGTCCAAGCGCCGGCGGTCCTCGGCAAGTCCACGCACGCCGCGGCGTGCATCGTCCACGAGTCCTGGGCGCCAGGCGCGTCTCTCGGCGTACTTTTCGCCGACGCGCCGCGCACAGTCCGACACACTGCGTGCCGCGCAGGCGCGGGGGTGGGACGTGGACGTCTTCTCGGCGCTGCCTCCCGCGCTGCAGGCGGACCTCCTGCAAGAGCCGGCGCCGCGCGAGCCGCGGCCAGCGCGCCGTGCCTCGGCGCCCGCGCGCACG